GGCGCTTAGTCGGCGCCTACTTTGCACAGTGGCAAAATCGTGCGGCGAGCAGGGCTAACCCTAGCCTAGGGTCGGCGCCTAACTGGGCCCCTAGGGGGTGACATAGTCGGCCAAATACCTAGGGTCCATCGTGAGCTGAGAAAGACCTCTTGGGCAGAGTTTGAAATCCGCTGCACCTTCAAACCTGCGCTGTAGATTATTTGGACTGCACAACGGGGACCATTGCGTGCAGTCACCTATGCAGATCGAGCGCCTAAATGCCATATCGAGCGATTATTACCATATACGGTAGGTTGTTCCCATCCCTGGCAAAATTGGAGGGCCCAAAAATAAATAACTCGGTCAGTTTTGAGAATTTTGGAAATCCCTCTGACCGTTTTGTTCCCCTGATGAAAAGGAGCCGATTGGTCAGATGGATAAGGATTTGGGCAAGAATTGAAGTGTCCAATGTCTTGTTCAAAAGTAGCGGTGACTAGACGCCCCGCTCCATAGATGGTGTTGATATGTCATGTTGAGTACGCTGGACACCAAGAGTATATATGTGTCTGGGCAGCAGAGTCGCAGCGGAGGAGAGAACGAGGTCGAGGGCGGGAACAAGAAGAGCCGCAACGTCATCTAATCGGGGGTGGCCGATCTCGATCGAAAGTGCCGCATCGCGACAGATCTACGCTCCTCCTTTGGCGCCACAAACACGATCGGGAGTGGCGCGCTCACCTTGTAGAGGCAGGAAGAACGGTGCAGCGGCGTTGTGTGGTTCGGTGGTAGATGGTGGTAGGAGGATGAGTGCAAGTTGAACACCATGTAAATCCCGGCAAAACAAACGCCCCAGCTCGACCGGAGCCGGTTGTGACTGGGCGGGATCTAATTTCCAATATCGACATAGTAACTTCACCAACTGTATACAAGATAAGTATGCACTCTCAAATCTTTGGTCCAGGATTAGAAGTTTAGGATGATCATACATTACATTATAACATTTCCGAACGGTACATGGGTCTGGTAGATTAGGGTAAAGCGGCCCCGGCGTACGACCTTCCACACCAGGTAAGAAGTATTACAGACACTATGTATGCGACTCGGATCGGGGATGATATGCGCGAAGTACACGACTGGGACATTCGTAGGGGTACAGTAACAGTGGAATCAAGATGCCGTTCTAGCTCCGGATGGTCGCCACGAGCCTGGATGGTGACGACCCATGCTCGCGCCGAACCTGGAGCTAAGCTGCGACGGTGCCAGATGGACGGCGGAGAGGCAGGAGGCTGTTGAAGTGGCGGCCTGCCGCGCACCGATCGCGAAGGCTCACGCGCAGCTCCTCCGACCCGGCCTCGTACTGGTGCTCGTCGAGCCAGAACTTGGCGTCGTCGGACCACCGCTTGGTCGTAGAGTCGTACTGCGGGCCGCGGTTGAGACACTTGGCATACTGGAGACGAAAGAGATGCCATCAGCTCAAAACACACATGATGAACAAATGAGACGCACCCTGTCATAGATCAACCAGCGGATGGTCTGCCACCCGCCGCCCGCATCCCCGAGTCCGAACCGCGTGACGAGACCGTTCACTTCCGTGAACAGCCTCTCCAGGTACGTCTCACTCCACTCGTAGAGGCCGTCCGGGCCATCGCCGACTCGAACAAACTCCAGACCCTGCACATCCGTGCCCCAGGTCTGTGAACTCCTATCCGGAGCACTGGGAGCACCGTCCAAGACATAGAAGAAGTTGTGCGTGGCGATCGTGCGCATGGGGATGTTCGGGTTAGGGCGGGCGGGATATACCTGATAGAACTGTTGCGCGAGCACGCGCATGGCTTCCTCGCGGACGCGCGTGCTGGCGCCAGGGCGCGTTGGGGAACCGTGGAAGGTGTCGAGCGCGTTGGTGCACGCGGCCCAGAGCCAAACCGGGACGCATTCCTTGGCTGCGGCGGATGCTCTCGAGCTCCCGACGTCCGGGTCGACCCGCTCCAGCACTTGTGGGATGAGAGAGGTTGACGGAACGGGTGCGGGCAGAGGCCGGGGTTCAGTGGGGGGAGGGTCTGTCTTGTTGAGGTCGTACAGTCCGTTGGGCAGATAGTCGTGCGGAAAGAGGAAGCCCTCCTTTGTGCGGTACTTCTCGACATAAGCTTGGAGCTCCCCCTTGAGCCTGGAAATAGATCAAGCGACAATGAGTGGACGTGGAAGCAGTTGAGAGAAGGAGGAGCGTACATCTTCCAGTATTCCGTAGGACCACCATACAGTTTCCAGGCAACGTGCTGCACGACATGTTCGAAGTACAACACGGTCACCATGTCGTTGTCGCCGCTGTGTGAGCGAAGAAGGGTGAGCTGTATGATAGTCAGCACATAAGACTTGATATCGAACTTACTGTTTGATATTGTGTGTATGACCTTTCAAGTGCTCATCGTCCAGCCGATACTTGGACTTCGCCAAGGTTTTGTAGATCTAGAATGAATGAGTCAAGCACAGACAGAAACAAGGACCTATGCGGGCATACCGTGCGTTTCTCCGGAATCTTAGTCTTCCATGATAGCTCGCCGTTTACTTCGAACCGCTGTGCAACCCCGCGGGTGGGCCCCGCGGTAGACTTGCTTGCCCTGAATGGCGGTTCCTTGGGCATACTGCAGCGCCATGATGAGCATATTGAACAAGGATAGCCAGAGAGAGGGATGATGAGGCGAGATGAGGGGCGGGAACAAGAAGAGCCGCTACAGTCGCCGAGCGGGGCACGCTGCGTCTAATCGGACGCAGGCGATCAATAGCACCGCATCGCGCGAGATCTGCGATTCCCCCTCTTCCCGACGCCACAAACTCGATCGGAAACGGGCTACTCACCTGGGGAATGCAGGAGAAGTGTTTCTGTTGGTGTTGTTGGGTGGTAGGTGGTGGTAAGAGAGAGAGTAGTGGGGCGACGCTGAACAACGACCTCAGGTCTCTCAGACGGACCGGGTCGGAGGGAGTTGGCGAGATCTAATCTCACTTCGCCGGCGCCGGCCGGGGCAATTTACTGCTTGTAGGAGGTTGATAACATGAAAAGAGAGGAAAACCCCAGGTGTGGCTTAACCCTACGAGTATTCGAGGCGACAATCTGCGTGCAGGTTACCCGGTAGTGGGCGTTGCGGCCCGCCAATGGACATAAATAATCATCAACCATCTACATCATCCACAGTTGCGCCGTTCCTCCGCCAACGTCAATTCCTATCGAAAATATAGAGTTTTCTCGGTGTTTCATGCGGATCATCGAAGCTGTTGGACCGGCCATGTTCACTGCTTTCGGCCAATATGTTCAAATAAACGACGCTGCGACAAACAACTGCGGGAGTTGGAGGCGTGAGAAGGTGAAATTAGCCACAAAAACCTCACGTGTAGCACACCCAATGTTGACGAAAGTCCACGAGGGAGCGACTGAGTCGAAATGCGGGTAAGATGGAGAGAGAGAGAGACGTTTGAAAGAATCTCCAGAAGCTACGACTACTTCACGACGCCCGGAGCACTTGGTGGGCTATCAACGTTGACGACGGGCTTCACGCGAGCTGCGTACCGTCAGACCTGCATGGAGGTTAGCAGTTACTTATATCTGGGGAGACATAGGGTACAGAAGACACAACTTGCGTCTGAGCACTTCCAGTGGCACTTCGAGGTGAAAGAGCCGCCGCCGACGTCAGCGGAGACAGCAGCTTGGTAGAAGTGCAATCTGAGATCTGCGATCAATGTCCCTTCCAGGTGATGTGATCGCGCGACCGGGCGCGCTACCGTGCGCTCCCTCCGACCGGCGATTGCAGTCGCGTTGCAAACGCAGATGTCTTGCTCTCTGACAACACCCGTCCCCTTCATATACGCTCGTCAACCCATTCTCGAGCCCCATTAGGTCTCCCTGCAATGGCCGATAGGAGACCACCGGGACTGCCGCGGTGGGAGCCCGGGCTGAGCAGTGAGAGCGTGCGCGGCCTCGCAATATTTCGCACGGATCTGACGACACCCGCCGGCACATTCTAGTAACGCCCCTCTCACCAATTCGACCCCGCTCGCTATAAGTACTCCCACCTGGACGCAAGCAGGCTGCGCACATTGCACACTATCCCTCACTTTCCCTCAACCACTACAACCCGACCTCTAACACTATGGGCGTTCTCTTCTCGGTTCTGATCTCGCAGGGGTTCCCGCCGAAGAGCAAGTTCAGCGTCGACCAGATCCCCGACCTCACAGGGCGCGTCGTCCTCGTCACCGGTAAGTACGCATCCCCTACAGCGCGCGCGTGTGTGCCTGAGTGAGGGTGCTTGTAGGCGGTAATGTCGGGATAGGCTACGAGACAATTAAGGTGCGCGGCGATCTGATCACAGCTTCTCAAGCTTCTACCCGCTGCACCCCGCTCACCGCCACCATCCACTCGCAGGCGCTCCTGCAGCACAATGCGAAGGTTTATATGGCCTCGCGGAGCAAGGATAAGGCGGAGAAGGCCATCGCGGCGCTGAAGGAGGCGACGGGCAAGGAGGCGCTCTTCCATGAGCTCGACCTCTCGAGTCTCGCGTCCGTGAAGAAGTCTGCGGAGGAGTTCTTGACGAAGGAGCACGAGCTGCATATCCTCTACAACAACGCGTGCGTCCCCTATTCCTAGCTCCTCTCACCTCCGCGTGCCCTCTAACGTCGGAATGTGCACACAGCGGCGTCATGATTCCCCCCGTTGACCAGCTCACAAAAGACGGGTATGACCTCCAGTTCGGCACGAACGTAGTCGCGCACTTCTACTTCACCGAGCTGCTTATGCCGGCGTTGCTCGCGGGCGTCGCGTCGTCTCCGGACCACCACGCGCGCGTCATCTACACGTCTTCCTCTGCCGCGTACATTGGAAAGCTCCGCTACGACACGTTCAAGGACAGCCCCGCGCGCAGGAAGTTGGCTCGGGACGCGCTGTACTCCCAGAGCAAGCTGGTGTGTACTTCTTCGTTCACGCGGCTTGATTTGTACATGTACGACTTGCTCATGATCCAATGCTTAGGGTAACGCCGTTGTCGCGCACGAGACGGCGAAACGTTATGCGGACAAGGGCATCATCGCTATCTCCCTCAACCCAGGTAAGACGTTCGCTAGGACATTTGCGTACTACAGGTTGCTCACCACGGGGGTCTCGCAGGTAACATCAAGACCGACCTCCAGCGCTACGTCCCTGGAGTCGCTCGCAAGATCATGGTAAGGCGCAGTACTCCCCCCACTCTTAGCAACACGCGCGTGCTCACCTGGGCTCATATCTACAGGACGCGCTCATTCTCTACCCGGCGCCCTATGGTGCGCTGACGCAGCTCTACGCCGGGACTTCAGAAGAGGCTCTGAACTACAACGGAGAGGTGCGCCTTCCTGCATATTGTTGTCGCTTTGTCGTGCGGAGCCTGAGTTTTGGCGTGCGTTGCAGTTCTTCATCCCCTGGGCACGTCCCGGGAAGTGTATCAAGGAGGTGTACGACGCCGAGGTCGGTAAGAAGCTGTGGGAGTGGCTCGAGGGCGAGACCAAGGCCTTCGAGGCGTCACAAGCTACCGCCTAATTCTCCTCCACACTCGAGCTAGGACTTTTCTATGTTGTACGCTGATCATTCTCACATTATAGTACGAGCCATATTATTGTAATTTGGACTTTCGATGCGCTATATATCCTCTATTCCCGCTCGGCACTACCCCACGACATAGAATGGGACGCGAATTCGAAGACGCACAGCTACGACCTCCAAATGGAAGTCCCGACCTGGGGCAGGGGCATGTTGCACCTAATCAGGCGTTGGCGATGAACTGCGCTGCTTCGTGGGAGATTTGCGATCTACTGTATCTTAGCAAGCTGAACAGCGCAGCGATCGACGTCAGGACCTTGAAACAAGCGCGATCGCCGTGCGTCCCCGGCGCTCCAGCCTGGCCACCAATGGCAGTGCCATTCCAGACGCAGACGACTTGCTCTTCAACTGAAACCTCCTGCTCATGCCAGGCAGTTCATGGCCGTGTCCTGCCCGGCTTCCTCAGCAATGAGGGTGTCGCGGCGCCCTGGTGATCCACCGCTGGTGCGCCCTCCCTCCTGCGCGGAGACACATCATATCGCTACTGCGATATAAGTACTTACGTCCAGACGCGAACTGAGAACGCACTTCGCATATCTCACCTCAGCGTCCGCTCCTTTCCAGCCACATCATGGGCACCGCTTTGTCCGCTATCATAAACCAAGGGTTTCCGCCGAAAAGCAAGTTCAGCGTCGATGATATCCCCGACCTCACAGGGCGTGTCGTGCTCGTCACTGGTAAGTCGCACGCATGCCCTCTGCATTATATCTTTACGACTGAAGGAGGGTTCCCGCAGGCGGTTATGGCGGTATAGGCTACGAGATAATCAAGGTACGCGGCGAGCAGCTCTCAATATCGTAGCAACGCGCTCACTGCCAGTATGCACTGTAGGCGCTCTTGCAACATAATGCGAAGGTGTACATGGCCGCGCGTAACAAGGCGAAGGCAGAGGCCGCCATCGCGTCTCTGAAGACAGCGACCGGCAAAGAAGCCATATTTCTCGAGCTCGACCTATCGAGCCTCGCGTCCGTCAAGAAGTCCGCGCAGGAGTTCCTCACCAAGGAGCACGAGCTGCACATCCTCTTCAACAACGCGTACGCCCCCTCCCACTCTTTCACCCAAGCGGGCGTTAACGTCGGTCGGCGTGCGCAGCGGCGTGATGATCCCGCCCCTGCGCGAAGCCACGCAAAACGGATACGACCTCCAGTTCGGCGTGAACGTCGTCGCGCACTTCTACCTCACCGAGCTGCTCATGCCCGCGCTGCTCGCGGGGGTTGCGTCCTCCCCGGACCGTCACGCGCGCATCGTCACGACGACCTCGTCTGCAGCATACTTGGGGAAGCTCCGCTACGACACGTTCAAGGACGGTCCAGCGCGGATGAAGAGCTCTAGGGACGCGCTGTATACCCAGAGCAAGCTCGTGCGTAACTCTCTACTGTTATGGTGAGCGCATCAAGCGTGCTCACGATCTGGCTCTTCAGGGCAACACCATCGTTGCCCACGAGACTGCGAAGCGCTACGCGGAGAAGGGCATCGTCTCCTTCTCGGTCAACCCAGGTTCGCTCTTACTCTCTTCAGGACACTTTCGTGTCGCGGGGCGCTCACCGTGCCTTCCCTCAGGTAACATCCAGACCGAGCTCCAGCGCCACGTCCCCGGGCTCGTCCGCAAATTCCTGGTACGACGCAGTACTCCCTAACCAGTCACCGCGTACTCACCAGAAATGCAGAATGTCACGATGCTGCATCCAACGCCCTTCGGCGCGCTGACGCCGCTGTTCGCGGGGACGTCGGAAGAGGCGCTCAACTACAACGGCGAGGTGCGTCTTGCGTCTTTTGCTTCCCTCCGCGCGCTGACTGCGCGTGCTGCAGTACCTCATTCCGTGGGCGCGCCTGGGGAAGTGCTTACCGGAGACGTACGACGCTGAGGTCGGCGCGAAGCTGTGGGAATGGTTGGAGGGAGAGGTCAAGGCCTTCGAGGCGACACAGGTCGCCGCGTGACCTTCTTCCGACGTTACATTTGCACTCAGTGAACATACCTATGTGGGGCGCTTATCAAGTTAGAGTACCAGAGAGTGATTATCATAGGACTTTTGGTCAGACTAAGTACATACATGCCTCTTTTCGCCTAGCGCTACTGGCGGCCACCAGGCAGATTTAAATTTCTACGTGTAGCGCGTAAAGGTTTGGAGGCTTAGTATATTTGCGTAAATTGCGTTGTCCGCGCGCGCGCCATGTACTTGGGAACGCTTCTTACTGACATACGTATGACGGCAGCTTGGAAGTTGGTACAAGTGCAATCTGAGATCTGCGATCAATTGAGTATGCTCGCCCGACTCGGACCGATGCTGCCGATCGTCCTGGTGGCGTTGCAACTTGCGACTTGCAGAACGCAATCGGGCCTCCTCTCTGACCACCACATCCACATTGCATACTACATACGCTGGGCAACATGTCCTGACGACCAGCCTCAGGCCTGCTTGCAATGGCCAATGGATAATGCGGAGTAGCTAACAAGCGCGCCCTGCCAAACCGCACGGGACGCCCACCGGCATCTTTAAAATGTGGACTTCGCTATAAATGCGCCCAACAAACTCCCACCCAGAAGCCGACGACGGGCCTGTGCACGCACGTTGCACGGTCTCGAACGCTGTCGCACACCCCTTCAACGCCTACTACGCCACTACGATTCCTGCTAAACCATGGGTGCATCCTTGTCTGTTCTGTTTTCGCAGGGTTTCCCGCCGAAGACCACGTACAGCGTCGACCAAATCCCCGACCTTACAGGGCGCGTGGTACTCGTTACTGGTATGTACACACATTCACACACTCTGGAGTGTACGCGTGTATGTCTAAACGAGGGTGTCCGTAGGCGGTAATACGGGCATAGGCTACGAGACTATCAAGGTGCGTGAGGAGCACAGCTTCGGCTTACGCGGCCCCGCTCACCGCTACTGTCCAGGCGCTCTTGCAGCACAATGCGAAGGTGTACATGGCCACACGCAGCAAGGAGAAGGCAGAGAAGGCCATTGCGTCGCTGAAGGAGGCGACCGGCAAAGAGGCCATATTCCATGAACTCGACTTGTCGAGCCTCGCCTCCGTGAAGAAGTCTGCCGAGGAGTTCCTTGCCAAGGAGCATGAGCTGCATATCCTCTTCAACAACGCGTGCGTAGCCTACCCTCTCCTCCATGCGCGTACACTTAATCCCGCTCCGTGCGCATAGCGGTGTGATGATTCCTCCCCCGAACCTCGTCACGAAGGAGGGGTACGACCTCCAGTTCGGCACCAACGTCGTCGGACACTTCTACTTCACGGAGCTGCTCATGCCCGCGCTGATCGCGGGCGTGTCGTCCTCCCCGGACCACCACACGCGCATCATCACGACGTCCTCCTCGTCGGCGTACATGGGCAAGCTGAACTACGACACGTTTAAGGACGGCCCCGCGCGCAAGAAGCTGGCCAGGAGCGACCTGTACAACCAGAGCAAGCTCGTATGCTATCCTCCTCGAGTCAGTTTGCTCGATTGTTTGTTAACGATTCGGCACTGTAGGCCAACACCGTTGTCGCGCACGAGATTGCGAAGCGCTATGCCGACAAGGGCATTATCTCCATTTCTGTTAACCCCGGTACGTCCTTACGCTCCTAGACACGCATGTGCCGCCAAGACGCTCACTGCGACGTTCTTGCAGGGAACATCAAGACCGATCTCCAGCGCCACGTCCCTGCGTTCGTCCGCAAGCCCCTGGTCAGCCCCTTTAGCCCCATCACCAGTATACGCGTGCTTATTTAGCCCTTGTCCGCAGAGCGCGCTCATCCTGTACCCGACGCCCATGGGCGCCCTGACGCAGCTCTTCGCCGGGACGTCTGAGGAGGCGCTCAACCACAACGGCGAGGTACGTCTTGCTGCTCATTGCTATTCCTTCGCCATCCCTCGTCAGGATTCATTCCGCTCATGACGTATGCGCGTCACAGTTCCTCATTCCGTGGGCACGCTTCGGCAAGTGCGTGCCGGAGACATACGATGCCGAGGTCGGTAAGAAGATGTGGGAGTGGCTGGATGGCGAGGTCAAGGCCTTCGAGGCGTCGCAGACTGCCGCTTGATTTCCCTCTTTCTCACTCTTTCTGGGATATTTCTTTCTTGTACGCTGTTAACGTGGTAGGTCGGGTGATCTTGTTGTATTCTGGACTGTCGGCGCACTATGCCATACTATATACCCTCTTTCACCATGTCAATGCTGGCTTCCGATACTCTCTGGTCTGTTCTATGGCACATTTACGGAGCTCTTACCTCTTGCTCCGCGCGCGCTGAGGGGAGACAACTTGGAGACTTTGCGTTGTCCGACCGGGACGGGCGGAACGCCTCTTCGGCAGAGGTTAATGGGCGCCTATGATATGGGCACCTTGCTCTCGACGCCCATCTCGACCTCACATTAACCTTGCTATCGGTCTTGGTCTCAGTCTCGCGTACTCTGCATCCAATATACCCCTTCTCTGAATTTCCGCCCCTGCGAATGCACCAGCCATGATTCGCTTCATCCTCGTCCAGGTCGGTGCTGGACCACGGACTGCGGATAGCACGGCAGCAGCAGCCTGACGGAGCTCGCGTCCTACAGAACCGCCAGGGGAAGACCCGCCTCTCCAAATGGTACGTCCCATATGATGATGACGAGAAGGTCCGCCGTCTCTCTCTCGGCCCGCGCGCGGGGGAATGTGTCGCTTACGCCGTGGTGCGGGATGTAGGTCCGCTTGAGGGGAGAGGTGCACCGGCTGGTCGCACCGCGCGACCAGAAGTACCAGTCGAACTTCGTCGAGGTGCGTGCTATCCGCTGTACTATCAGTACCGGTATATGTGGAACGCGTGCTGACGAGGCGAAATGTGTGGGGTTGGCAGTTCCGGAACCACAAGGTCGTGTACCGCCGCTACGCGGGCCTGTTCTTCTGCGTATGTGTTGACGCGGACGACAACGAGCTCGCATACCTGGAGGCCATCCACCTCTTTGTTGAGGTTCTCGGTATGCCCCTCGTCTTCCACTGTCAGGCTGCGCCGTCGAAGCGAAGCTGATCGGGATTCCGTTTGCGCAGACTCGTTCTTCGACAACGTGTGCGAGCTCGACCTCGTCTTCAACTTCTACAAGGTATGCTACACCGCTGCAACCCCATCCCTTTCTGCCTCTGATTCGATGGCGGGGCAGGTTTATGCGATCCTTGACGAGGTATTCCTCGCGGGTGAGGTCGAAGAGACAAGTAAGGATGTCGTACTGGCAAGGTTGGAAGAACTGGAAAAGCTTGAGTAGCCGTGCTGTACCATGTTTTTCCGTTGGTTACCAGGACATAACTCTGTTTATTTGACAAGTGGCAGTCATTGGAACTGTCCATACGCGCAACACCAGCCCCTTGGCTGGTACTCTATACTTCGCGATGTATAATAGCTTTCGCAGCTAAGTTCATAAAAGTCATCGTGGCTGCACAAATTAGGCTCATGTCAATCCGATATGGTGTAGTGGCTAACATTATCGCCTCTCACGCGATAGCCCGGGGTTCGATTCCCCGTGTCGCAATACCTTTTGCTTCTGTCTGGTGAAAGTTGTTTGACATATGCCGATTCCACTCTCCGCGTGTAGGCTTCGCGAGATAGTCCACTACACAAGCACTACTCAGAATTTATACTTCGCATGTCAAACGCTACAAGTTCCTTGATTATCCAATTCATACATGCAGACCGAACTATCCTAGTCCTTGTTCAAGTTCTCCGACAGATACTCGTACTTCTCAAACTCAGCCAGCACCTTGCCGAGTTTGGCCTTGCTCATTCCAATCGAGTCCTTGCCGACGGCGATATGAAGAGGGGGTTCCGGTAAGCCCGCGACGGTGTAGAACACCTCGACCGCCTTCTTCACGTCGCCCTGGGGGTTGAACTGGTCCCACATGTTCCGCATCCCGTGGACGGGCAGCTCGGGCTTGCTGTATGCTGGATGCGGGGTCGACCAGGCGATCTTCTGTATACCCTCGGTGGAGAACGCGCCGAGCTCGATGAGGGTGACCTGCAAGGAGAACATCTGCGTGAGCGACGGTCCAACGGTGGCAGTATTACAGTTTGCAAGGCTCACCTTGATGTTCCACGAGGGATCAATCTCTGCAGCAATCGACTCGGAGACGGCCTCTAGAGCTACCCGGCGCAATGACTGATCAGCTGGGACGTGGATTTATAACCTGGTAGCGGGTACATACCGAACTTGGACGCGCAGTAGAAAGCCTGGCCGGGGAGACCCACGACGCCGCAGCACGACGAGATCTGGACGAGCCGTCCCCCGACTCCGGGCGCGTTCACCTCGCGGAAGAACGCGAGCGCAGCGCGCGAGACGTCGACGGCGCCCCAGAAGTTCGTGTCGAACATCGCGCGCGCGTCCGCGTCGACGACGGACTCGACCTCGCCGAACGTGCCCCACCCGGCGTTGTTCACGACGACGTCGAGCCGGCCGAACGCCTCCTTCGCCTGCGCGAACGCGGCGGTGATCTCGGCGGGCTTGCTGACGTCGAGCTTGAGTACGAGCAGGCGGGAGGCGGGGTACGCGGCCTTCAGGTCGTCGAGCGGCGCGGTGCGCCGGGCGGTGGCGACGACGATCTCGCCCTTGGCGAGTACGAGCTCAACGAGGGCTTTGCCCAGACCGGTGGAGGTACCGGTAACTAGAGAGGATGTTTGAGTGCGCGGTCTGGTGAAAAATATCGCAGACTTACTGAACCAAACTCGGGGAGATGCCATGGTAGTTGTGTGTGTGGTGAGGTTCGGATGCGTATCCTGGTGAGGTCTCGAGGTGAATTCATCGGACCTTATATACTGTAGTGATCTCCTGCCAAACGTCTGCGCATGTAGAGGTTCTGCATAGGCAGACGTTACAATACAAACACCCGTGGAAAAGTTTCGGCGCCAAATTGTGTCATAACCCGACTTCGGGGAGAGTGAGTCAGCGCTAGTCAGCGCTCACCGGTGTATACAAGTTAGGCAGATCCGCCGAGCAAACGCGTTCCATCTGCACGCAAAAAAAGCGGTCTGGTACGTCGTTGCATCTGTATGTGCACAGCAGTTAGCCGAGCCGTGGAACTTCGTTTGCACTCCCATGATAGTGTATGTGAAACTTTTGAGAACCTGCGAGAACGCAAATATCGGGCGCTCCACCCCATCTTGCTTCAGAGCTCTTCCATATCTGATAGGTGCAGTCGGGCAGATGAAATTGTCTATCTTGGAAATTTTGAGGCCATACGGAGGGCTGCTGGACGAGGGACAAGCGAATTTGCACATGTTGTCCCGCGTTGGAGGTCAGGTGAGGAGACGCTGGCGAGCATGTGGCGCATGGAGAAATAGCTGCGCAATTCAAAAGTTTACAAAGCAACGCGCCCGGAAGACTACGCCGCTAACAGCTAACAGCTAACAGCTGCAACACGCCAGCAAGAAGAGTGCCACAGATTCCATCAGTACATACTGTACATACACCACTCAGAGCTTTGGTACGATCCCCGACATCGCACCGCCAGTCCCTGTATGAGCTCCTGCAGAGGCCGTGCCTTCGTACGCTGTGCCTTTTCCCGACGGGAGCTCTAGGTCGTTTGACCAATCTTCGAAGCGCGCGATGGTGTCCTGTAGTTCAGCCGCTTCTTTCTTCGCCAGCGCAATCGCATCCTTCCCAAGTACGAGATGCAGAGGGGGGTTCTGGATTGAAGCGGCCCGATATAACGCCTCCGCAGCCTTTGTGGGGTCCCCCGGCAGAACGAAAGAGTCCCAACCCGCTCGCATGGAGGAACCTGGTAATGTGGGCTTGACATATGCCGGGTGAGTGGGGCTCCATTTTGCTACCTTCACAACCTCCGTCTGGAAGAAGCCCGGCTCGAGTATGGTGATCTGGACGGGGCGGTTAGGTCGCTTCTTGGATCAAACTGCCAATTATGAAGGGACTGACTTTGATGTTCCAAGCGGGGTCAAGCTCCTGAACGATGCTCTTCGTAAATCCTTCCAAAGCTACGCGAGCGTTGTGCGGTGAATACCGGCCACGCCATTGTATATTCTTAAGATGCTCACCATGTTTTGACGCGGAATAGAAAGCTAGGCAGGGTGAGCCGGCGATTCCAAACATGGAAGACATCTGGAGGAGACGGCCTCCGGCCCCTGAAGGATTGGACTCGCGGAAGAAGTTGACGGCTTCGCGGGTAACGCTAACCGCGCCCCAAAAGTTGGTCTCAAGCAATCCGCGCGCATCGGCGTCTTGGACACTCTCTACCTCTCCCAGACCCCCATAGCCGGCGTTGTTAAAGACGACGTCGACATGTCCGAACGCGCCCTTGGCTCGAGAAAACACATGGGAGACATCGTGAGGTTGGGTGACGTCCATCCTGACCACGAGGATGCGGTCGGCGGAGTACTGGCGCACGAGGTCGTCGAGCATGTGCGTACGACGGGCGGCCGCGACGACTGACTCGCCATTCTTGAGCACGAGATCGCATAAAGCGCGACCAAAGCCAGACGATGCACCGGTGACTAGGAAAGCTGTTAGCTCATGACAGTGTGGGGCTGGAATCGACCTACTCAACCAGACTCGATGACCCGGAGATTGGAGCATCGCAGCAGGTAGTCGGAGTGGGAGCCACGACCGGCCTTGGTGTCTTATGAGGCACACCAGCACAGCGCTCCGGCAGTCTTCGATACATGATAGTTACTTTTATAGAGAGGGTTCGTCGTACAGGGGCAGCCGTTGCATGTCCCCGGTATGATGGGAACGTCTGCACTATTTATGAAAGCGCCGGACGTCGCGGTGGCCGTGGCTGAAGAGAAGCAGAACAGTCTTTAGATATATCGAGTACCTGAGACGCATGTGGTACTCACATTACTATGAAGCATATTCCATAGGGGCTTTTGAGGTCAAGGTCAAAACGGCAAGCAGCTTGTGGCTTGCAGCGACAACTTGATACACGCGACGCCGAGTTGCCGACAGCACATTGAATCTCGCAAGTATAGCGGACTCATAAGATAGCTGCACCTTCCCATGACTCCGCCCATTGGTACCCGAACGACCAGGCAACCTCCATAAAGTGGTCTGGCGAGTACCAGATGGCGGGAGGGACTCGGGGAGCTGCCAGCTGAAAGTCTGAGCGTCTAAGCCTGCTCCCCATCACGCTTGGCTGTGATGTCACTTGATCACGAGAGTCACACCGCGCATACAACCCAAGCGTGACGCGACCGAGAGCCAGCGCGTCGAGTTAGCGCTGTGAGCCTGCCTGCCCTCTTCCACCTACCGCGCTGCAGTCTGAGAGATGAGAGTTTCCGAACCTCAGTGCGTCTCTTACACAGTCATGCTGATATGCTACGGGCGTTCTGTGCAACGCAGCCTATAAAGGTTGTGCCAGTCACTGCTCGGTAGAGTTTTTAGCGGTATGCCTTCGATCATTTTTGAACAGTAACAAACACGCTGATCGCAGCCAGGTTAACCAGCAGTAGATTTGCTTATTTGGCTCAGATCGGCTCGATGTGCTTATATACGAGCAAGTATATGATCCACGGCTCTAAGGCTAAGGATAAGAGATGAGGATCCCGACTGCTAAAGCGTCACAATCAACATCAACAGTGAGCAAGATGTGGAGTATTCTATCGTTCGTATATATTTTCGAAGACGTGCAGGTTAAATGTGTTGCTGATAGCTTGCTGATCTCAGCAGTCAACTCCAGGTCAACTATACAAACGATGGCGGCTTCGTCTATCGTACATGTGTCACGATCCCCGCGTGTCATACAGACGTCGGTGCGGGAGAGGCCAAGGCACAATGTTCCACGTGAGTTTAGAAGTGGCTTCGACCGGGCTTCCGTCCTGACATAGAGCACCAGATCCGCCCCCTCAGGATGCAGCACATTAAAAGCATTGCAGGGTTTACGGACATCCGCCATTGCCGGGTCCTCTCTTTACATCTCCCATGACGCATGATGACCTGCTGGCGGGGGCGTCCGAATTCTGCGCCATTCGTAGGCGGTGCGTCCCACACCTCAACCACCCTCTGCAACTCTATGGTACAGCTGTCGCCAATGGGGTGCGCTCCATTACTCGGATCATTATTCACCATCCTTGCCGACGTCGTCCAGGACATACGTCGGACAATCTGCCGCAGCTTACGCTGCTGGTCATATATATCATGGAGATATGTCGGGCCCTTGGTCTAGCCATCATCGTGTGTCGCGCTTGGGCTGTTGCTTCGTTGAATAGCGTCTCTAATCATTTAGCACCGGGGGCACATATTTCATGTAAAAGTGCCCCGTCCTGTCTAGACCAACACCTTCTTGAACCAATGGCGAACGGGCCCAGCTGGAGTACTCAATCCTCTCTTTTGAGTCGCTCATCGCGGGAATAAGTTCCCTCCGCGGTGGATGCCGGAGAATCGCTTATGGGGCCCTCGGCACCTTTGGGAAGACGCGGCGCAACCTTTTCTCTCAGGCCTCCGTCTGGCCGCCGACGCTGCTGCGCTACGAGGTGAGAAGGTGAGTTCAGCTTTGGTGGTCCGCTCCGCTTCCAGATGTCTTGCGAAGGCACCTTCTGACCTCAGGAACGAACAGGATAGGCTTGTCTCCTCGAGCGCACAAATTCGTCCCCCAATGTTAGCTCTGCAGCCATGGCAATGCACATGCGAAGTGAGCAAGGCACTTGCGCAGTCGTAAACTGCCGTCCGTAACCACTGCAGTCCGGTATCGCCGTTGGTCACCGACGCCTCCGAGGACACGCGAGAGCCACGAGGCTCACATGGCCGACGCCATGAGGTCTCAAAATAGGCTAATAGCTCCGAGGTAAGCTCGCCTTCCACTCCTTCGGCTACCCATTGCTTCGGCGGAGGGAACGCTCGCTCTACTCGGGAAGCGTGAATGCTCCTCTACTCCGCCACGTTCGCACTGTCGCGAGCGAGCGATGATGGTGATGTAACGTGCCGATGATGCTCTGCACGATTCCCGCATCCTTTCCCCCGCTCATCTGATAGGCCACATCCGCTTTCGTACCCCTCATATAAGAGCAGGTGCGCCTCCGCGGGACATCCGCGATTTCCTTGGGGCAATCATTCCCCGCACAGCACCAGCCTCTTCTCCTCATTGTCCCGCCGATACTCCGGATGGTGGTTCAGGGTACGCACCGCTGAAACGAGGTATGACTTCATACCGTCGGGCCCCGTTGATCTGCGCTCGCCAGTCCATGGTTAAAGTTCGCTCGGGGCCGATAGGTCTGAAGGCTGTTTCTAAGCTCGGACTCGCCCGTCGAGAACACAATCCTCCCCGAGACGCATCGCATGCCCAGGAGGTGCCGTAACGGCGCTCCTGCCCCGTACCTTCGGTGAGTCGTGAATACCTGCCTACATCTATCATGCAGCTGACACATCTGAAGCACTTCAACACGTGCGAGGAGTCTTGACAAGCCCAATCCCCCGCATAGCGCCTTTGGCACCGGTATCATCGTATACGTAGCCAGAGCGCCACTTGTAAGGAGCGTGAAAGGCTCGCGGTCCCGAGGTGAGGGCAATTCCCCAAGGTCATACATCTTGATTGCGTGCTCACAATTTCGCAGGAAAACCCCCACGCTTCATGGCACTTCCCCCTGATGCCTGCAGTCTCATCGTCAAATATGTTGCAGACTCCAGACCGACCCTGGTATCTCTCTGCACCGTGTCCAAGCAGTTCCAAGTTGCGGCCGAACGCGCACTATACAACACACTACACCTCACAACCTACGACCTCACCATTTCTGTCTGCCGCCTTCTCGCGTGCACCCCACGTGTGGCTGGTCTTGTCGTCGCCTTATCCGTGTTCAACCAGGGAGAAGAGAGCGGTGACGAGTCGGGCTCCGAGGACGACGACGCACAGCTCCCGGACGCAGACGCGGATACGGACGCGTACTGGAGTGGCCTCGCTGGCGCCCTCAGGAACACCTCACGGCTCCGGTTCCTCAGCTTCTACTTCAGCGACGGCGGCCAGACGGAGAAAGCGTGGATCCTCGACGGATGCACTTTCCAGCTCCGCACATTTCATTGCGACCTCGCGTGGGACACGCACCTACAGAACTTCCTCGCAACCCAGATCCGGCTTTCTGATCTCTACCTTGCCGATTTTCAATCCCTCGCTATCGCGCCGCCCATCTCCACATCGTCGTTCCTTCCAAAACTCACCGTGCTCGAATGCACGTTCTCCGAAGCCGCGGCCGCACTGGTCCCCGACCGCCCCGTGTGTCGCGTCAAGACGTGCTTCACGCATAGCCGGCTCGAGGAGAAGCGGACGGAGCTCCAGATCATCGCTGCCTCGCTGCGCCAGTCGAAGAAGCGTCTCCGCGCTCTGGACATCGCGGACTCGTCGTACACCCCGGAGTTCTCGCTCGAGCTGCTGTCGCACATCACCCACGAGCCTGCGCTCTGCGCAGAGCTCCGCTATATCGGCACACTCGTCTTGCCGGTCGGCGGCCAGCAGGTAGGTCAGAGCTGTGTGGCTACGCTTCGCCCGTCGACGTCTTCTCACCGGCGTTGTCAGCGTTTAGAGTTCTACGGGTTCCTCATGCGCCTCCCGCAACTGCGCTGCATCGAGGTGGACGTATCCGATTGGGACCCTCCGCCGACGCATGCTGCTGCGCTCCGCGCTTTGACACACGAGCTACGGCTGTACTGCCCGACGGTGACTTCGGTCATCTTCGTCTTCGACTTCGAGCGCCACTACGTGCGAATGGAGGGCCACCTCGCGGTGTATGACGAGGATGCCCTGACCGACGGTCTCTGGCGCGAACTCTGACATTTGAGATCCGGTAACCTAATGAGCCACCCGGCACTACCGACACGCTTCCCTTCTGACACCCGGTAGATTACAACCATGACGCTATATGGCTTGCATGCTTCTGGTGACGTTCTGTAGCCCTTCCTCATAATCTTGCTGTATCTTTAGCTACCCACGTTACTATATTCCTCGCAATATGCCTTCCTTCCCTACATTGTACACGTAACCGGACCACCAGCAGCGCTGTGTGCCTACCTTCGTACTCTTCCTCCCTCACACGTACCTCAAATTGACTGAATGATGCAGTCTACGACCGCCGAGCGTTTCTCCTGAACGACGACCCTGACCGCCTCCTCCAGAACGCTCTGCAGCTCGTCCGCCCTCTCGACGCGCCTGCCCCACGCCCCACCGGCGGCCACCGCGATCTGGGAGTAATCGGGCATATCAGGGCCAAAGCCCACCGTGAGCTGCTGGCCGGACGCCGTGCTCCCCAGGCCCTCCGGGTACACTCCCATCATCGAGAACTTCGGGGACTGTAAGCGGAAGCGCGAGCCCGGGTCAGCGTCCTCGGTCGCGTGGCACACATGCGGCGGCCACTCACAAACCACCCGCCGTTGTTCAGGACGACCGTGAGGAAGGGCTGCGCGCGTGCTCGTCAGGGGGTGCACGTCTAATTGCCTCGCGGGAACGCGCCCACGTGGGGGCGTGGCAATGGCGTGGCGTTGGCACTCACCGTGTTGTACCGCCGCGCCATCCAGTACGCGCTCGCGGGCACGCTGAAGAGGAACACGCCGTCTCCCACGACGGCGGTGATTAAGTCGTACTCCTTCCGCGCGACGAGGCCACCGAGGGACGCCCCGACGGCCGCCCCGAGTGCGTACCCCAGGCTGGATGCCCCCGAGGCGATCATGCTCCCAGGGTGCTCCGGCCGCAGGTGGCTCCACGTGAGTGGGTAGTTGCTGATCGCCTCGTTGATCCAGAGTGTCTTCTCGCCCTTGCTGGGAGTTTGGGAGGCCACCGCGCTGCGCAGGGTGGTGAGGAGGTAGGGCACGGTCGGCGTGGTCTGGTCAGCAGCGAGAGACTTGACGCGCTCCGCCGTCTCCTGGGAGTTTGTCCACGCCGACCGAAGCTCTTCTAGACGCGCTTGGCGGGTAGAAAGCTTTTCAGCTGCGAGACGTTGGCCACCTGGACCCTCGATCGCCTCAATGAGCTGGGAAAGAGCAACTTCGGGGTCCGCCCTGCACAGCAGCTCAGCGTCGACGTGTGACCAGCCAAACGTGGTCTTGAGAGGGTCCGCATCGATCACGAAGACACGCGCGTCGTCGAGGGGTTTGTTGCCCTTGGAGTCGACCCATGGAACGTCGGCTTCCAGAACGATGATTACGTCCGCGTGATCGAGTAAGTCGTTCTTGCCTCCGAACGAGAGTCCGATATAATTGGGGTGCGTCCACGGGATACAAACGGCCGAGGGGCATGATGTGAACACACCAATGGCGAGCAGGGTCGACAGCGTCGAGAGGAGCGGAACCGTCTTCGGGTTCCGACCGGAGTTCGCTGCGATGATGAGGGGAAACCTCGCTTCGAGGAGCGCATCCACAATTGAGTTGGTCGCTGTAACCCACCATTGTCAGGAGGTAGACGGACACAACTTTTATACTGTTCGCGTACCTGCAGGAGACAGGCCCGGACCCTGCACGGCAGGCCATCGCGTGACGTCGAGTTTCTCTTCCACGATCGAAGGGTCCACCTCCTCTTCGGTGGTCTCACGACGTGCCCAAAGGTAAACGGGGCCCTTCGGTTCGCTGTTCGCACTGTAGTACACATCAACGAAGGTACCTCATGACGGGTTCATGTTCGCAGACCCACATTTGGAGAGCACGCATCACCATCTTCCCAGCGTTCTTTCCGCTCTGTATCTGCACCGTGTATCGCATGTATTGGCGGACAATCGACGGCTGGTCTGGGACATCTGCGGTACTCTATCAGCTGCGCCCGTACCAACATACACTAGCGGTTGGGCCCACTCACCTTGCAGCCACATCGGCCATTCATTCTTCGTGCCCTTCAGGCGCTGATCCGAGGACTGCGGTGCCGCACCCGCGAAGATCAACACGGGGGTATGGCCCCTGTCCACGTTGTGGACTGCGCCCGCCAGACCCTGTGAAGTGCGCGGTCAGAAGGCGCACATCGGAGGCCGCCGCCGCTCAGGCTCCCATACATACCTGTGTGCCGACGTCGACGTGCACGATCACGGCGGCCGGTTTGCCAGTGACCTGCGCGTACCCCTGCGCGGCGCTCAGCGCGACCATCTCGTGGGGGCAGGTAACGATCTCGACGACGGTCTTCCCGCTCTCCACGCGCTCGCGTTCGAGCTCTTCTAGGAAGGCGGGGTGGTCGTTTCCCCAGTTTACGAAGGCGTGCGTGATTCCGGCATCGGCGAAGGTCTTGAAGAGGACGGATGCAGTTGTGTACATTGCTGTAGGGGGCCACTGGAGAATGTCTACGTGCTATGTGTTGGGCTCTCAGCTAAAGGGCTGAGCGAAAGATGGTGGCTGTCGATGACTGCGGGATCCGTTTAGAGCGTGAGTGTTTTGAGTGCGTAATAGTGAGCGTCCGGCTATTTATTTGCTTGTCTCCCCTAGGATTGAGGTCATGTGGAAAGAAGGAATGAGCGGATACCGGACTAGGAACAGCTTCTTCAGCGGTTCGCGTGGCAGTTCTCAGGGATTGCCAATCGCATGTAAACGTAGATTCGGCTGAGTACACAGAAACGAGCTTGTCCTAGGCGATATATTAGCTGAATCTTTAGCAACGGCTCGGCAACGACTTCTACCTTAAGTGAACTCAAGTAACAAGCTCGTCGTGAGCGATGAGAAGAGAGGGGAGTCGAGCGTCGGGTTTCGTTCCATACCCACCTGACATAGATCAGACGGGCGAGAGAGCGCGCATAGCCGGACCGCAAGTAAAGCTTCTCATGATAACTTATACGATTAGCCTCCATAATCTATGTGGATGAGATGGGATTTGAGTTGTCCAGCTCACGATACGAAACACTCACCAGAGCGCACAACACTCAAGTCGTGTTCTTCCTCCTCCCCGACCGATCCGGACAAGCAGACTGATCTTCCAATACGTATGCTCGATCTCTGAATCGCTCTTATACGCCATGTGCATCGTCTCCGCCGCGTTGGCCTGCCACGCGCATCCGAGTCGACTAGCCCCATACACCGCACCCCCGCGACCGCCTCCAGTTCGTCCCCAAGCCACGAGTACTTCGGGACCAGTACAACACAACCCCACTCACCTCGTGCATCAGACAGTCGTGCAGCGGACACTCGACCTACGCCCGCATGTCTTCCAGCCCGACGACGCGTTCGGACATCACGTACTGCAGCCCACGGCATTTGCTGCGGTCTTCGTAAACGATACGGGATGTGTGGCGTCTAGGGACAGCTCGCGCGCGATCTTGAGCCTTCTTGAGCACGAGCGCGTCGCTCGCCTTGAGGCGCGCGAGCTCGGCAAGACTGACAAGAGGGCGGTGGCGTCCCAAGGATGAAACTCGTTGAAACGACCCCAGGCAGACACAAAAGATTTACGAGTCTTTGATGACACTGAAATTTGGCGTGCAACGTGCTCTGCGTGGTGGTGGTGGTGGTGGGCTCCGGGTAGCACGCTGTCCTAAGACGTCGCTGTCCTAAGACGTAGGGGTGTGAATCTTTCGGTGTTCGATAGAGCCTTCGAACGAGCGGATGTGTAAACGAGATACCATGAGATGGGGGCGAACAGCGCGGAGGAAAAGAGCAAAGGTGCTTGGTGGGCGGCCACAGATCGGGCGCCTATTCGTACACCCTCATCCGCAATAGGCAATTTTTGTGCAAGATACTAGCCTTCTCAAGACCCTGTCGATGGTGAACGTTCACCGCCGTGCAGTGCTCTATTCTATATATTCATCCAAATAAGTCATAATCAAATCTGTCAAGTAAGAGTTTACTTCTGTCTGCTGAACAGTGACAGTGGACCTCCACCGTCGGGATTGAATTTACGATCAACTTCGGGCGCGGCAGACTACGGCTAGCATGAGAATGGTAAACACACGTCGGGGCTCATATGCATATGACTGTAAAATACTTACGTCAAAATGTTGCCAATGTACCTAAGGATAAATAAACTTAGGTCACCAGGTACCAAAACATGCAGCATTAGGCTTACCCCGTGGCTACTAATGTCTGGGCCTGGTACCACCTACATTTCAATTCTCCTTGTTTGGTCGCAGTGACCAAAGCACCGCATCTGTCTCAGTTTTGAGTTGCAAACGGCTGCCAAGCGTACTACCCGGCGAGGGCAGGCTCGGACGCCAAGATCATCTCGTGCTACAAAAGCACCAGATGGGAGAAGGAAGCAGACCATAACCACAGCTCAGTCTTTTGCACGATGCACCTATCCGACTCCTTCATCGTTTCTGTCGCCGTGGCCGTCTGCGCCAGCACCCTTGTCAGTGCCGAGGGGCATCTCGTACGCTTTCTGAACAGGTAAACGTCTATGGCATGGCGGATATTGCTCAAACCGCTTATGCCAGAGGATAATCTATAGGTGTGGTTCTGGTACTGTGAGCCCTTATATCACGGCAGCATCGGACGTGTGCAGGTGACCGACCCACAATCCCGCATGATTTAGCCAACGCTCGTCCAAGGCGGCAGGGTCCTCTCTACTGGAGGAGATTTCGTCAGCAACGGGCCCTTGAACAGCGCCGTAGCGTGAGTCCTCTTTTCCAGAAGAGTCCAGGTTTGCGACCTCATGTTAACAAATATCGCCACCTTCGCAGTTACCTGCAGACAGGTACGCCGTCTCGCTGCGTGCATCCCTCAGTGATCTTGACATCTGATATGGACACATCGCCCGATTACTCCCAGGCCAATGCGGCTTCGACGGCCAGAACTGCGCCGCCGTAGAGATGACGCTCGCGAACCCGTCCGACTCCTTCGCCGACATCAGCCTGATCCCGCCACACGCCTTCAACGTCGGGTCGGTCTCGTTCAGGTTCTTCGGCACATGCTCCGGCTTTGGGGCGACCTGCGCCAGCGCGGGCTGCGGCGCGGCGATGCATTCCGCGGACGACACGGGCGCGATTGTGTTCTGCGGAGAGAGCGATGTGAACCTGCTTGTCGAGTTCTGCGTGTGAGGGGGGATGTGGTCTGATGTGCGTTCCCCCACGTCGCACGTTGCAACCATACCTGTTCATTCCCTTGCTCATTGAGTACAAACGACCTCTTACACGACGCGTTACTTTATTCATGCACCAAGGACCTATGAGACCGAAACACTCACCAATACGCGCAACTCAAGTCGCAGTCTCCCTCCTCCCCGCCGGCCCGACCCTAACAAGCAAACTGACCTTCCAATACGTATGCTCAACATCCGCATCGTTCCCATACGCCAAATACGTCGTCCTCGCCGCACCCACCCGCCACTCCGCATCCCCTTCCCCCGCTCCCGCCCCCACCCAATGCACCTTCGCAACTTTCCCCACCTCGCCCTCCAGCCACCCCTCCAACTGCCCATCCGGGTTCAGCACGACCCCGCGCGCCTCGCGCATCAGGTGCTCGTGCAGCGGCCGCTCGACCCACGGCTTTACATCTTCCAGCCGCACGACGCGGTCGCACATCACGTGCTGCACCCCGCAGTACTTGCTGCGGTCCTCGTACACTATCCGGGGCGCGGCGTCGAGGGCCAGCGCGCGGGCGGTGTGCAGCACGAGCGCGTCGCTCGCCTTGAGGCGCGCGGCGACGCCGCGCAGCGCCGAGCGCCCTTCCGAGTCCGTCTTGGGGGACGTCGAGAGGGGGTATTGGTGGCGCAGAGGGAACAGGAGGTTTCCGCCTTCGGGCAGGAACACCGGATCGCGGAGGAGGCGCTCTAGCGCGTCCCGGAATGGGGCTTCGTGCGGTGCGACGGGGTGCGCTGCAGGGGGCGGGGCGGTGGGGGCGTCCTGGATGTGGTACAGGTTGTACGTGATGGTCACGCGATGCCCGAATTGGACGGGCATGACTTCGTGCTCGACATCGCTGTAGAACGCGACGTAGGCGAGGGACGGCGAGCGGGCCTCCGCGAGGTGCGCGGCGGAGTCGAACGTCCACTCCTGGGTCTTCTCTTCTGTGCGTTCGCGGAGCACGAGTGCGCCGCCTTCGTGCGGGGTCGGGAACACGAGCACGAGGGAGCCGAACATGAGCTCGCTGCGCGGGGTGTCGACGTGCGCCTTGAAGAACGACTGTGGTCCTGCCCAGAATATCGTGAGATCCGCATTCTGAACGTTAGACGGAGCGCCTACCGTAGACGTTCAGCTTGTACAGCTCCGCGCGGATAGCGTCTGTGGCCTTCTTTCCGCCCTCTACGAGGAGCTCGGCGTGCACGGCGTCCAGTAGGCCGAGGGCCTCCGTGGAGAACTTGAGCGCGAAATCAGACGCGTCGAGCTTCCCAGCTTTGCGGTACGTCTCGTCGTACACGTCCTTCTGACCCATTCCGAAGGTCGCAGGATCGCATGTCTCTGCGAGGTGTTGCAACTCGTCGGGGGACGCGTGTGCCAGGTTTATGCGACTGGATCAGATGCCTCGGGGTAAGGGGGCATATAACGCGTCGAGATTCAGTGCGATTTACCGTGCGCTTGCGTCTTTGCCATAGAACAGCGTGAAGGCATCTGCTGGAAGAGGAATGGTGCCCTGACAGTAAGGAGGCCTGTGGGTAATGGCATCGCGCAAAGCGATGAGGTACTGCTCCAGAGGCGGAGCAACTGGAATTGACCGTGGTGCGGGCGTGTCGCTTGACATCAGAGTAGCAATGCAGGCGCCGTTGCGTTGTTTATCATGATCGCCGTTTGCACACCTGTAAACAAGGACCGCAGTAGATCAGATAAGTAGGGGTCACTCTACCTGCTACACCTCGGTGCCCTTGCAACGTGCAACTTCGCGTAGCATACACGTTCCTTGAGCCCGGAGCGCCAAGGGAGCAATGTGCCATGTACACTCACGGTCGCCGTCCGTATTCCTCACCAGTTGACACGATGGCCTGACAATCAACGGAGCTGCTGAGCGTAGACTGGGCAACGTACCTCATGACCTTTACACTTGCGTCAAGTAGAACGCCGTTTCCACGAAGTGCCGATATGTCGGCGAGCGACGCGCGCAGGACGTTCGGCCATCTCAGACGTGCCGCGGTCGGCGATGTTGCGTTGGCAGGGCGTTAGTACCCATGAATGATGATGCTCACCCAACTTGTACCCCTTGAAGAGTTTCACTAAGCATCTGTAACAATTTCCAGGCCCAGTAGGAAGTGCTCTAGTAGTGGGTACTAGTGAGAGGGAAGCTTGAAGCTTTGAAGAGCAGTCCGACGCGAACGCGACGGAAAACGTGGCAGATGCAGCGCGGTCACGTGGCCTGACAAACCGGTTGCGTCACACGGAGCGCGCGTCTGTCCGTCGGCCGGGGATTAGCGACTCGGAGGTCTTAAGCCCACCGCCTCTTGCTTAGGAACGACCACCTCCTCTCCCACAGCTCCTCATTCTCGCAGAAACGGCCTCAGCGAACTAATTCCAGATGTTGAACGTAAACCAGCCCAAGCAGGACAGAGGATACATACCCCTCGCCGACCATGGCCTGTGAGCGCGCATGGCAGCCATTCTAGATCTCGGAATCGCAGCCTGCTGACCGGGGTATTTCTTAGGATCGGAAACCTCCGTACTGCTGCCCTGGTAAGCCAGTCTACTCGAAAGTATATCGCTTTGTTTCTCACGACGCGTAGATCAGCACCGACGGTTCCGGTAAGTGAACGCTTCGGCATGTACCTCGGAAGTGCTCTAGAAGCTTGGTGCTTGCTCCACGCGCCGGCGAAACATAAGAAATGTCTTATTCGCCGTTAATCTAACACGACTTGCTCAGTGGAAAGTTATTGTGTACCCAACTTTGACTCTCCCTCCGTCTTTGCTCGTATTCTCGACAAGGACAAGGTAAGCAGCCAATTTGTACTTCAGTTTAAGGTCACACTGAGAGAGTTGCCTTAGGGAGGGCACTTCTCTGTCACGCCCACAGACGCTTTCACAACCAAACAGAGCTACCTACCGAACTCTAACGTAGGTTAACATCTTATAGCATCTGTAGTACTTATTATTGAATCCTGCCTAGATTCTACAAACCAAGTATGCTTACTATATGCATGTGAATCATGCAGCCACGCCACTTGCTGACGCTTCCAAAGATTTCTCAATGAACAAGGAGTGGCTACCGTCACAGGTTCGTAGATCGCATTAGAGACAGTCCCCAAGACCAATATCTTGCTAGATTTCCTGCCTCGCCAGCCTAGCAGCGCGACCGCCCGCCCTCTCCTCGCATGGCTCATCCGCCGCGTCGAGGTCATCCGCGGTTCCATGCGCCTCCGCGTCGAATGCGCGCCCGCATTCAACTACGCCCGCTCCACGCACACGACCGACATCCTCCTCGACACATCCGTCGCGCTCTCCCTCACCCCAGTCCCGCACGGCGGCCACAACAAGGCACTCTTCGCCTCCAAAGACGCAGATCTGACCCTCGATCTGCGCTACATCGCCGAGTCCGGGCTCGAGAACGTGTCCGAGCCGGGGGTTGAGCTGAACCTGCTCGACCTCAGCGAGAAGGGGCACAAGGGCCCTGCGGTGTGGACCGAGCTCGAGCTGAGGGAGGGACAGGCGGTCACGTTTGTGTTGAGGACGCCCCCTGAGGGGAAGTTGCCGCCCCAGGCTCAGCCGACGCATAAGACTGCCGAGGAGATGGGCATTCCGTATGAGAGTGAGTGCTCGGTTGCAGACGCGCAGCTTTCGCCTCGTTGATAAGGGTCTGCGCCAGAACTGGTCGCCGGCGCGTCGACGCTGCGCCCCTTAGATGACCCCATCCTCACCAAGGTACGCTACGAACGTGCTCTTTTCACCCTCAAACACTACTTATCGCCCACCAGACTCTCCTCCGCGAGCTCCTCGAGGTGCGTCACCCCCAAACACCACTGACTAGCGCTAAAACCCGCACCCACAGCAAACGAACAACTACTGGAACGCGTGGATCCGGCGCTCGACATACACCGGGTCCTGGAAGGAGGCCGTGAACCGCAGCGCGCTCGCGCTCAAGCTGCTCATCTACGAGCCGACTGGGGCTGTCGTCGCGAGCCCCACGTTCAGCCTGCCCGAGTACATCGGCGGCACGCGCAACTGGTGCGTCCTCCCTTCCACGCACTCACACCCACAGCGAGAATAGTGCTGACGCGCGAAAACGTTGCAGGGACTATCGGTGAGTGCTCCTGGGTACACGTATGTAAGGGATCGGCCTGAGATTGACCGGGCTCGTAGGGCGTCGTGGATCCGTGACTCGTCGTTCACGCTATATGCGCTCATCCGGCTCGGGTTTACCCATGAGGCCAATGGTCTGTTTCATTACCCTGACTGGGCACGCGGTTACTCACGTCGTGCGATGCAGCATACATGGAGTTCATCTTCGAGCGCGTCCGGTCGCGCGATCCGGATGGCTCGCTCAAGATCATGTGCGTCCCTCCGCTTCGTGTGGCTTCAGGTTGTCTCTCATGTGTTGTAATCCGCGGTGTCCAGGTACACTATCCACGGTGGGTGACTACTGCGCGTGACTGCGTGCGATATATGTAGGAGACTGACCTTACATGGGCAGGCGAGAAGGAGTTCCCGGAGGAAGAACTTACGCATTTGGACGGGCATAAGGGTTCCAAGCCTGTTCGGTACGACAGCTCTGACACTCTATCCTGCTAGTGGCGGCTAAGATCTTTACTTAGAATCGGCAACGGAGCGATTGACCATGTGCAATTAGTGAGTGCCCAGGCGAAGGAGTATGCGAAGAGCATTGAGATTTGACCGTTGTATGATATGCAGGACATTTACGGTGAACTGTAAGATGGTTTCCCCAGTACGGCGGGAACCTACGTTCACACACATACGCGCAGGATGGATTGTATCTACCTCTCTCAGAAGGTACGTCGCCTTCTTATGCCGTGCAATCCGAAGCAAAGCTAAGATGTCGCAGCATGGCCGTCCTCTGGTACGTCGTATTCGGAAGCCATCTATATGCTGACCACTAAAATGCTGCTTAAGGGGTATGACACTTGGTGAGATTCTCCCTTCATCCCACTGCTGCACGATACTGAAAGACGGTCCGTATCAGGGTTGCCGTCCGAGATATGTGAGCTCTCATTTTCCCTTTGCGCCGTGTACAATACTGACTGCATTACTCAGCGTCGAATGTATGCGCTCTCTTTGCTTCGCGCGCGTGCATATCACGGCCGACCTGACCACCCCGCTTCGGACTAGACGTGATCTCGCACATTGGGGACCCGGACTTGTACGTCTTCCCTCGCCATCACGTTTTGCATATCGCCGCATTCACTAAACATGTGTCCTCCATGAAGGTCGATTTGGTCAGTGAGCTATTGTGCAGATCCCTCTTAAGAAAATCAGCCTGATCGCATATGGGATTATCAGGGAAGTCCGAAACCGACACAGACATTTCACTGTAAGCCGGCTGCCTTGACTGTATGCGCAACACGTACGCTTACATGGATCGACCTTTGTAGTACTCCAAGGTACGAGAGTCGCAATAACTCACGAATCACATTGCTCACAATTGTGTGCGGCAGGTCATGATGTGGTAAGCAGGGCACCGCACATCACTCTGCTATCGACATTTCGATCGCTCCATTTACTTGTTTTCGTTCATCAGGGTCGCCATAGATCGAGGTGCGCTTGAGCGACCCGTATTCCATCTCTCCCCCACAGGCTAATCGCCCCCATGTTAGGCATCCGCCTCGCGGAGAAACGCTCCCTCCCGTGCCCGCGGCGCAACGAGTGGTACGCCGCGCGCGACGCGCTGTACGAGGAGATCATGCACAAGGCGTGGAACCCCAAGAAGCGCTTCTTCGCGCAGAGCTACGAGGACCTTGAGATCCTCGACTCCGCGCTGCTCATCATGCCGCTCGTCTTTTTCTCTACTCCGGTGCGTCGGTCGTTGCGTGGGAGGGGTCATGGACGTTCTGGTGCTGATGCCCGTGCGCAGTCGGACCCGAGGTTCTTGAACACGCTGAAGCAGATCTTACTCAGCCCCGAGAGAGGTGGGCTGACGTCCAACGTAAGTTGATTGCTGCTGCTCTAAATACCGCAGGGGATGCTGAAGGGCTCCGCACAGGGCCTCGTGTACCGCTACGACGTCTCCAAGACAGACGACGGCGTCGGCGGCGAAGAAGGCACCTTCTGCCTCTGCACGCTCTGGTACGCCCCACCCCTCCTCTCATCCATGCACACACGGCACACGGTACTGACGCGCGGCGACCCTCTAGGTGCGTCGAGGCGCTCGCGCGGGCGGGCGAGTACGACAAGACGATGCTCGCGAAGGCCGTCGCGATGTTCGAGGACTTCCTGCAGTACACGAACCACCTCGGCCTCTGCACGGAGGAGATCTCGGACGCGGGCGAAGCGTACGTCCCTTCCCTCCCTGTTCTCTTTAACTCTTCCCGGTTACTTCTGCCTCTCCTTGATGCTGACGACGACGACCGTGCAGGCTGGGAAATGCGGTGCAAGGCTTCACGTACGTCACTTGTTCCCTGAGATCGTGGTGTGAAAACGAGGTACTGACGCGCGGTTCGCGATTGATATAGACACGTTACGCTCATCTCTGCGGCGTACAATTTGTCGCGAATGCGCACAAAGAGTGGCGCGTCGTTCTGAGGGGAAACGTGCTCCCAGACCATACTCGAGAACGGTACAAGAATGTAACCATAGTATGCAGCGTCGCGAGAGAAATATTCACAGGACAGATGACGCGTAGTGCGTACTATAAGAGCGCAGAGTACTAGAAAATGAAGCGACAGAAAAAGCACAACCCTCTCAGCGACCAATGCATTAAGGGGGAATCGAACCCCCGGCGGGTCGATGGCAACGACCCAGGTTACCACTACCCCATTAATGCTTGTGTTCTCTTACACTCAAGAGTGATTAGATAAAACCACCTGCCGTTGAAATTGCGTTCAATGTAAGCCTTATGTAAGCCTCTCGACTGTCTTCCAAGTTGCTTCCAATTGTTGAAGCACATCCGTCATGAACAAATTTCTTACGATTCTAGACTCTAAGCTCTAAGAACGTCTAAGGCCCAAGATATGTAAGTCTGACTCCCTACTGCACCAAACATACTTCCAGGTTTGTCACATATTGTGCCCTGAAGAAAGCACGGAGCAGCGTTGCCGATCGTCCTGCCCGGCCCCCTCAATAGACAAACCGCTTCCCCGGCTGCCACTGCGGTAATCTGCTTATGTGGATAAGAACCAACACACTAAGGTCGCAATTGCAACCACCAAATCCAGCGGAGCAGAACCTTCAGCGACATCATACGCTATTGGCGACCGTTCGCAACCCTCACCCAAGAATCGGCCGAGATGGATGCCCCGCCGCATACCCAGCTTACCCGGCCCCTGCGGCTCATGGTCTTCCTGATAACTATGTGCTACGTCCTCTCAAATGCTGCTAAATGCGTCCCTCCAGCCCTCAGAGGCCGCAGCTCGCCCACGGCATGACGTCAGCTCTTCTTCGCACCCGTCTTCTCTCGCATTCGAGGTCGAGTCGACCGCGGGACCGTCGGGTGTCTCATGATTCTGCGCAGGGCCTCGTGAGGCCTTGGGTCCGGGTTGCGATACTATATAAAGGTGAGCACACGGAAGCGGCCGACACTGCAAACACGGTTCTCCGTTTGCTATCTCCAGGCTTTCACCCTACTTACATTTGAAAGACAGCTCGCAAAAACACACGACTATGAGTACCGCAGCCAGTACCTCCACTCCAGGCAAACGCGTCGCCATCATCACCGGGGCCGCAGAGGGCATCGGGCACGGGATCGCGCTCCGACTTGCGAAGGACGGCTTCCACCTCGGCCTGTTCGACCTCCCCCGCGCGCAGGAGAAGCTAGAGCGCCTTGCGGAGGGCGTGCGGGGCGAGTTCGGGGCGCGCGTGGTGAATGTGTACGGGGACGTGTCGCGCGAGGAGGACGTGGAACGGCTCGTGGAGACGGTTGTGCGGGAGCTGGGTCCGGTGTGGGCGGTGAGTGCTGCAATTCATGCGGGCTGGCGTCGGGAATGCTTACTTTGGGGCAGATGGTGGCGAATGCGGGTATTTCGATGAACCGTGTTCTGCATGAAAGTGCGTGCGTGCCCGTGCGGAGCTTTGTATAACATGTGCTGAAACAATCGTGTAGCACCGACGGAGGAGATGGACAAGCTCCTGGGCGTGAACTTCAAGGGCACGTTCTTCTGCTACAAGTACGCGGCGATGCAGATGATTAAGCAGGGCAACGGCGGGCGCATCCTCGGCGCGTCTTCCATCGCCGGAAAGAAGGGTACGCGTCCGGTTCGTTCTTCTGGTATGGTGGTGGCTGATACGGGATCGCAGGCCTGCCTGAACAGGCGGTTTATAGTGCAACGAAGTTCGCGATCCGGGGCATGACTCAGTGCGCGGCGATGGACTATGGCAAGTATGGCATCACGGTCAACTCGTACGCCCCTGGGGTCATCGAGACGCCTCTCAGTGAGTGCTATGAGGATGTATTGCGGGACTACGGCTAACCTGCGGATGCGCTATACAGTGGGGTACTTGGACGAGTACCACACCTCAAAAACCGGGCAGCCCAAGGGGTCATGGACGCAGTCGGTAAGCCATGGTCTCGACCACAGCGCTATCGAGGGGTCACTGAGAATTGGGGCACAGTTCAACAGCCTGAGCGTGCTCGGACGTAATGGCCAGCCGGAAGACGTCGCCAAACTCGTCTCCTTCCTCGTCTCCGACGATGCCTCATTCATCACCGGTACGTACTCCCACCTAACCCTCTAGCATCGCCGCTCCCCCGGTGGACTCACGCACTTACTCGCGACCGCGCTCCGGTTATCTAGGCCAGTCGGTGAGTTGCCGCACCGGTGTTCACCGCCGCCGCTCGGATCACCGCTGACGTCCCCGCCGCAGTACCTCGTCGACGGAGGCATTTGCTTCGACTAAAGCGGGCGTGTTACGTCCGGGGTGGCGTGTTGCGCGTCGATCGCCGCGGCGCACCCCGGAGTTAAGACACAGGTGCGCTTCGTAGTTTCTCGAAGCCGCGGGATACTCTATGACGTTGAAGTATGTGTCGTAGCGGCAAGCATGCAGTGGGAGATACAGGTATGCGAGTATGGTGTATCGTACCACATCTTACGCAGGTACGTCAGTGAAGAGACGTACAGTAGGCGGACACTGTCAGCGGTGCGCGATTTGATCATGGTGCACTTGTAATGTATTTGAACTTCCATTTTCATTGATTTCCCTTGCTAATTCAAACAATACTTTCCGCCTCATTCGTGGACCAGCCAAACATGCAGTGTAGACCCCTTATTCTTGAGCGAAGATGACCAGAGACGGAGAACACAGGTATACGCCACTGGGCGGCCCCTAAGGTCATCGGTCCTGCTCGCCGGCGTATGCGCCTACATGCCACCGTGCAAGTGAGTTGGTTGTCCAGCTCCGTCAGCCGCACCTCGATACCGGGGCGTACTCTCACGGGCTTTTCGGGTTTACGGCTTTACGTGGATTCGGCCTACGCTGATTCGTTGAAGGGACCGTAGTGCGTAGAGCGGTTCCAGGTTCGTTACTTCCCACTTCGTCCAAACTCCAGACACTCGCTGAGTCTATAGACTGTAGGCCCGTGCTGGCGATGATCGGTGTTGCGATAAGCAGGACGACTCCCGTCTCTGGCAGACACAACGCCATTGGCACGCGCGGCGGTCAACCAAGAGCAACTTTGCGTGGCGTGTTCAGGGTGCAGCCGTAGAGCTTCGAGGGGCTGCATGCTCGGCATTTGCCTAAGAACTTCCCTTGCACAGCGCGCGGGAGCTTTGCCACGCCGGTTGCGAGCGCCCCCTTGTGCCGAACGCGCGCGAGAAGGTTCCTGTGCTCCATCCGCGGCTTGCAGAGTACCTAGGCACTCTATCTGATTCCAGGTTCGGTCCGCACGCGCTGGGAGAACGTTGGGCAGGTACACCAGTGCAGCGCGCCCGATACCACCGTGACTTTGCTATTCCTGGGCTGCTCAGACAATGAGGCTGGGGCGCCGTGCCCTCATCGATGAAATACAACGCCGCCCAAGATACATCCGCACCTGTCGGCGGCATTAATGTCATTCCGAAGGGAATGCAGCCCTTTACACACCGGGTGTCTCAAGCGCGAAGGAGCGCGTTTGCATTCTGATTAGATAGAGATGGGCGGATGGAGATATCATCTAAGTTGGCTCGCGCGGGGTCTAATATGACTATCACAGGCGTTCTGACAGGAGCTACAGACGTTCTATAAAGAAGCACCAGGAATCCTCATTATATGTGCTCCATCGCCGCTCTACCACCCTCTCCTCCTCCCTCGACCACTCCGACGTCAACCACGCCCACGACGCCCACAGCAACGGCGAAGAGTGCCCCTGCTGCGGATCTACCAGAGCAATGATGTCTCTTCCCCCGGGCTTGCGCTACACGCTGCGCCAGCTCCCAAACATTCTCATACCTCCCGCGATCGTATACGCGTCCTCGTACATCGCGCGGGAGTACTTCCAGCTCATCCCACCCACCTGGCTCCTTGTGCTCTTGACTCTCTTCTCGTGGCCGATCGCGTTCACCGCGCTCGTGCAATACCACGACTACGCCAACCGGCTCCGCGCGCGCACGCTCGGGGCAGTCATCCCGCGCGAAATCTCTCACAAGTGGCCAGGGAGCATTGACGTGCTCAAGAGAATCTTCGCTCTGGACAATGTACGCTACTTGGGTACGTACAGCCACTATCCGTGCCGAATTTGATGGGTGTATGCGCGCGCCTGCCACCTTCGGTTCCGAGGAGCGATGGGCCCCGCGGGGTTAACGCATGTCGCTGCTTGCCTGCAGGACACTCGTTATTCGAATGGAGAGAGGAGTATGGCAACATATTCAACTTCAGGGTCATGTTCGAGGACAGGGTGAGTCGGTCGCAGCAGCACCCTTGAATATGAATGCGGAGTCTCATACGTCATAGATCTTCACTACTGAGCCGGATTACATCAAAGTGCGTGGGCCGAAGAGGTGCACATCCATGGGTAACTTTAGCTTGCTAACGCGCTCGCGTAGATGATACTCGCGACCGAGTTCAACCATTACGAGAAAGGCGAGCATACTACCCTCTTTGTCTGACGCTCGTGGGACTGAAAGTGGAGTAACAGGTCCGTTGCTGTGGGAGCAGTTGAACACACTATTGGGTTATGGCGTGTTCAACTCTGATGGTGCGCACTTTCATGCTCCTCAATGCACGTCAAACATTCTGAACGGCACCACAATCGCGCAGGAGAAATGTGGAAGTAAGCATGAGTGTCTGTGAAGTATGATGGGCGCCCAACCTAAAGTGGAATTGCAGATTCCACCGGACCATGACACGTCCCTTCTTCAGCAGAGACCGCATCACGGAATTCGACATCTTCGACCGGTAGGTACATCTTCGCCATCGCGCGCCCTGACCGCCTTAATGCCGAATTAGACACGCCGAACATGCGCTGAACAAAGTTACCGCGCGCACGCGCGAGGGCATTCCAGTCGACTGGCAAGACGTCGTATCGCGCTTCACGATGGACTCCGCCACAGAGTTCCTCTTCGGCAAAGACGTGCGCTCGCTCGACGCGCCCCTGCCCTATCCCTCTACCTACGCCGCACCGACTCCCTTCTCTGCTGCTGGTACAGACGCGCCCTCTCACGCGGGGGCGGTCGCATCTGTGCATCCCGCTGATCGTTTCGTGCGCGCGTTCCAGAGTGCGCTGGAGGCGACCGCTACTCGCGGGCGGTTCTTGCAGTCGTGGCCGCTGTTTGAGTTCTGGGGCGACAAGGTGAAGCAGCACCTGACGGCTGTCGATGAGTTCATCGATCCCATCGTGGAGGATGCGTTGAGGAAGAAGTCCGAAAAGGCGAACGCCGGTGTCGAGGATGACAGAGAGCGGAAAGAACAAGTCAGGGACGATGAAACTCTCTTGCAGCATCTGGTCAAGTTCACAGACGGTAGGTGATCTTTTCGGTGTATGGAGAATCTGAAGGCTTACCCTTTGTGCACGGAAGATCACAAAGTGATCAAAGACGAAACACTGAACATTCTGCTCGCGGGTCGGGACACGACATCTTGCACGTTGACTTTCGCAGTATACGCCCTAGCGGAGCACCCGGAGGTACTAAAACGGCTTCGTGCCGAAGTGCTATCTGTCGTCGGCCCTTCGCAGAGGCCGACGTATGACAATGTTCGCGAGATGAAGTACATGCGGGCGTTCACCAATGAGGTTTTGCGTTTGTGGCCGCCTGTGTGAGTGACATCCTACTGAGTGTTATGAATGATGCTGACGATGGCCGCGATATGTTCTAGCCCGGTGAACTCGAGGTAAGCGCTCTTGGAAGATGTTCGAATAGAAACCGTTGGTTAACATATACTTTCGTAAAGATGCTCGATCCGCCCCATGACGTGGAAGAGCAAGATCGCGGGCGAGCCAGATATCTACATCCCGCCACGCACGCGCTGCCTGTACTCCGTCCTGCTCATGCACCGCAGGAAGGACCTCTGGGGCCCCGACGGTAAGCTGGACCCTACGCTTCCGGTGCGCCCTCGTCGCTAACCAGCGCGCAGCCCTGATGTTCGACCCGGACCGCTTCCTCGACGAGCGCGTGCAGAAATACCTCCTCCCGAACCCGTTCATCTTCCTCCCCTTCAACGCGGGCCCGCGCATCTGTCTCGGACAGCAGGTACGCTCGCCCCTCCCCGATGTTGTTATATCGAGCTGACCGTAGCGCGACACACAGTTTGCGTACAACGAGATCTCATTCATGCTCACCCGCCTCCTGCAGCGCTTCTCAGGTATCGCGCTGCGACAGGACGCCCACCCGGCCGCGGCGCCGCCCCCGGGGGTGGAGCGGAGCCCGTATGCGGTCGACGGGCGCGAACGCGTGTGGATGCGGAGCCATTTGACGACGTATGCGAAGGTATGTCTTTGTCATATTGCTATGCACTTAGCATGGCTGATAATTTCGTGCGTGTAGAACGGGCTGTGGGTAGAGATGGAAGAGGCAAGCCAGGAATAAGGCATTTGGGCAGCGCGGTAGAGTGTCATGTATTTGTATCGATACGAGGTACGATGATGAGGTTTTAGCGTTGGCTACGAGCCCGTTTGGGATCGGCTATAAAATTGTTGACGTTCATACAAGCGCAATGTCCTCCCGAGGATACTCTCCGCCCATGAGATCTCGCCACAGCTCACGTACCGCCTCCGCCGGCTCTCCACCAACGTGGGACTTATCCCATAACATGGAAGGAAGAGAGAAGAACCCAACTCTCCGATAGTAGGTGACGTTCTCGTGCGCCGCCTCTTGACCCGGCGAGTCGTTCGATCTAGCAAGAGCGACGATGATACCCTGTATTCCGGGAATCGCTTCATCCTCGGGGCCCCATCGCATATGCATCCCGGCTTGCAGCGGAACAGCCCACATAGTCCCCATTCTTCCGGTCTCTATATCGTCCGCGCCCGCCTTACAGTCGATCGTCGCCTCCCCTCGGAACGGCTTCGAGTCCATTTCGACCTCGCCTTCATCGTCTACAGCATTGACGTTGGCAGGCCACTGCTGGCGCTGCGCTTGTTGAATAGACTGCAGCAAGATCCCGCGGCTCAAGATATGGCGTGAGTCCAGACCTTCACGCCATTCAGCGCGAAGTATCTTGCATCGTAACAAGCTCGCGCGTAGGACCAAGATTCCGTCCGTCACCCGCCCGAACGGAAGCGCGGCGTCTTCAAGCGTGACCTCGCACCGAATGATCTCCGCGAGCGCGTCCGCTTCCCGATCCGCGCCAACATGCATGTCCCACCTGTATCCGACGTTCGGGGGGTGAACCTGTCCGTCAATCGACGCCCAAGACCACGACGGAGCACGGTATGCCGTGGGTCGATACACTTCCTCGCCAGAGAGTGTGTACCACCGCAGACCAGGGAAGAGCGCCGCGCGCCACATTCCGGCGACGTAGTCGGACTGCAGGACCTGGTGAAACTGCTCCGCGATCGCAGCGCACGCGACGAGCTTGTCTGACGGGAAGCTGATCTTGCGAGAGGTGTAGTCGTGCACGATCCATCGCCACGTCTCGTGGGCTTCCCGCCACTTGGCGGAGTCGTGCGGTAAAGAGGGCGGGTCTGGGAGGAAGAGCGCGGGGGGTAACAGCAGCCATCGGTATTCGTCGTTGCAGAACGCGCCGCCGATGCTTTGTGTGGACGTCTGACACCTGAACTGAATCGTTCTGGCGGTGAAGATGAGGGAGCGCGGGGACAGGAGGAACTCTTGCATGCACCAGCCCCGCGTACCGAGGAGTCCTAGCTGGTCATCGTACAGGTAGTGCTTTCCGTCGGGCGACCGTGCTAGTATGCTGCTATTGTCTGGAGTCAGATGAATGCTCCCCAGTTGCAGCTGTGGAGTGACAGTACGGTCTTCTGGTCGATCCGAAACAGTCCAGGTGGCAGAATCCGGCGGACAGAGGAACGGAAGTGTGATGTCGCCCATTCCGCGAGGGCCAGGGTGGAAATCGTTCAAGTCGAGTTGCGGGGTAAGAGATCGATCCTGGAGGAAGCCGTCGCTGACCTTCTCTGCGCTGGCGGCGATGATCGTGACATGTGCATAACGGTATATGCGGTGCATGCTCGCAAGCTCGCGCCGTCGGTCGTCGTCGTCGTCTTGAACGATGCACAGGGTGTCCGCCCAGAGGTACTGGAATCCCAACGCATGCGTGATGTATATAGCGTCTCGGATGGTGGCGGGGAGAATGGAAAAGTCTATTCCACGCTCGTACGCGGATACGTTGGATTTGGTGGTACTGTAGGGCTGGGGCTCGCCCCACACGTAGCTGAGGGCGAGGTATCTTCCGTGCTGATTCCTTTCGGTGAAAAGGAGTCGTGGGGCAGTGGGGTCGGTGCAGTCGATAAGGCGAGTGGGGAGGGTAGGGTCGACACTGACAGAGAGAGAGCCGCAGAGTTCGTGTCCGTGAACACACTCGTCAATACACTCTCTGGCGAGTGCTATGGTACGAGGAGACGCTACGTCTAGGATGGGGCTCCTCATGGAGATATAGGGTGCCGCGGGGTCATCTGTTGAATCATCCATGTCAGTTGCCGCTTTATTGCAACGAGGGCGCTGTTTCAGAGTAGGTAGGAACAACAACATACCCGGAGAAGCGTGTACAAGTGCATTCAGGTTGGGGAAACCTCCATTGATACGTATGTCTAGCATTTGGATCAACTCCGGACCTATCAAAGTACCGCCAGATCCGCCGCACTCCAACATGATCTTCAAGGGATTATCCGCGCCAGTGGAATTGTCGGTGCGGTCCATCTGCCAGTGCACCGTGACCACAAGTAGAAGTTGGCACCACACGCAACCTGCGATGGCACGAGACTTCAGGTCTGCGAGTGTTGTGAGGTACGAGTAGCAGTCCTTCCACCGGGGTTTGAGGAATGGTTCCCCCGTCGGGCTCATGGCCGGGACGGGAAGCCCCAGCTGCATAGAAAAGTGACCCTCCCAACAGGATTGACAGATAGACGAAGGTTTAGGTGGCTGCGCGAGCCCATCGACTCTGTCCTCAGAAAAAAAGGGAAGCTGAGAGAGGGTGGTGGCGTGCATGACTGTAGGAGATATCGAGGAGGCTGAACGATGGGCAGTGAAGTGAACTCGATAGTGAGAGAGCCAGGAATGGAGGTTATCGCGGTAGACATGTCGATCTGGTCGTCCTCATTGTTTCGACGCGTGTAACATGAGGTATTAGTCAACCTTGAATACGTGAACCGACTCGCACATACCATCATTGCCCACGCGACTGTCTCATCATACTCACATGTGGCAGCATGAGCTCCAGGCTGACTCTCGTGACTTCATTTCCCGACGACTTAAGCCTCGCGGGTGAGAGGATAATGTATCGGACACATGAATGTGTAAGGTGTCTCTTGGAAGACACGCCGTAGTTGCCGCAGGAGGACATCTGACATGCATACAACAGAGTGAGCAGGTCGTTACAAACGTGAACAAAACGTATCAAAGTCGTAACCTGTCATCAATCTCGTACCAGCTCCTACTTAACTGTCCGCCATCCGCGCACCTAGACCTTCTCAATAGCACTTGTCAAAATCCCCACCGCCGCTCCTCCGCGCGTACCCTTGGCTCTCGACGAACTTCTCGAGCGCACACAGACCGCCCTTACCCCCACAAAACTCCAGCGGCTGCTCCTGGTCGTTCACAAGCACGCGCACGTACGCACCCTCGCCGACGCGCCCGTGCTCCGCGTCCACGCACGCCAGCCGCTCGACGACCATTCGCGCTGAGAACGGCACCATGCGCGACGCGACCCACTTCTGTCCGGCGGGGTGGTCGGGGGCGGGCAGGTGGCGCGGGTCGAGCGGCCTGCTGATGTTGAAGAGCCCCATCGCGGCGTAGACGGCGACCATGAGGTTCTCGTGCGTGAAGTCCGCGTAGAGCACGCGATCGAGGGGGAACTCGAGCGACGCGTTGTGGGTGGTGCGGTCCTTGACGGGCGTCCCCGTCAGCCGCGCGAGCAGTTCGTTCACGTAGCCCACGCCTTGGATGGGCCCCAGTGGCTCTCCGTATCTGTAGGAGCGCGCGATGAGCAGACCTGCCAGGAGGCAAAGAAGCAGAAGCACAAGGAGACGTACCCGGTCCTGTAGTACTTCTCGAGGTCGCCGGTATACTCGAACGCGCGGAAGTCGTCCTCGGTGAACATAGAGCAGAACGGGCTCAGCGCCTCCTTCGCGACGCTCTCGAACGGGCACATCGCGAGCAAGTTAAACACATCCACGTTCGTGAGATTTACCCCCGGCGCGCCCTTCAGCAGCCGCTTCGTGATTGGGGGCGCGAAGTGTGACATCCAGATGCCCATCTCGTGCGAACCGTTGTTCGCATTCGGACAGTCGTTGTTAAGCGTGTTGTTGTACTATGGTGCGTGCGCGGTCAATTGGAGGCGGCTATAGGTAAACCTGTGATCGGACACATACCTCTTCGGAGATGATCTGATTGAGGTAGGGCTGGTAGCGTTGGTGGCTCGCCGCCGCAAACCCGACGGTCCAGTTCGTGGCGGTGGAGATGACTCGTGGTGCACCGGCCGCGCGAACATACGGGATCTGTGTCGAGTTCACGAGATGCGCATATCGTTTGAACGCGACCTGTCCCGCCTCGAATGTCCTGCATGAACCCAGATTAGGTATGTGCATACACTGGGCTCGCGGGCACTTACTGAGCAGCTCCGAACGGTACAAGGTCATCGGCACCGAGCTCGTATTCGTACTTCTCGAGGAACTTGAGCCGTTTGTCGCGGAACTTGTCGGCGGCAGCGAGGTGCTCGACCGCTTGGGCATAATTCTCGCCGTCCTCGGCGTTCGGGAAGCGTGCTCCGTGGCGTTGCAGCTGTATAAGAGGCAAGCTTGTATCGGCGCGTGCTTGTAAACATATTCAAGAGAGATGACGCACTATGTTGACCTATCAAAGACAAGGTGTCAGCTCCGTACATGGTGTAAGAATCAGTAGCGGGATGTCGGACTGTCTGGCTAGCATAGGCTGTACAGGGCACAGATACATCCCACGGGGTCTAGGCCTCTTGAAACGCGCTCTGGCGCAATCGAACCTTGCTCAAAGCTTTCGTCACCAGCGTTCTCGGCATAAGATAACGCTTCCCCGACCAATCACATCCCCGCGTCCTGCTCACACGACCAAGAGGGTGTATCCCGACTGCATCGCCTGCGCAGGACCCGGACGTAAGCCCTCGCCCTGCCCCACTCCACATCCCTCGCTGCCACACCGGTGCACGACAACTCACCTGAGTGATATTGCACCCCGCAGGCGGCGCACGGTACTCGTCCACAGGGTGCCACGGCGAATACTGGGCCCACTTCGTCTGCAGGCCCTTCGGCACCCCCGGCAGCGGTGGCGCACGCAGCACGCCCTCCGCGCCTACATGCGTAGCCTCCCCATCCGCCTCAGGAAGTTCTGGAGCGGCGGGCGCGTCGTGGTGGAAGTACCACGGCCATGTCCAGGCGAAGTACGCAGCAAAGATGACGAGCGTGACGGTGGTGCGGATGCAGCCGTTCGTGAGCCACGCGCGTCGCGGGCGCGGCTCCGACTCTGCGGGGTCGGCGTGCGTCGGTAGAGGGGGCGGGGCGCTCTTGCTCGAGGAGCGTGTCGGCATAGCTGGGGAGGTAAGGATCGGGAGAGGGGGGAGGATTACGGAACGTCGCGAGCATGATTGGGCGCGCGAGGGTTAAAAGGAGCTCGAGAGGGTGCCGCGCGCGTTGGAGCGCGAGTGCGTGAGGTGCATCTGCGATAATGTGATGTCATAGAGCGCCCATTCGTCGCGTCCTTACAGTGGTGTGGCGATCGGCGACTCCGAGTGCGGCGGCTAGGTTGGATGTGGTAAAGTCTGCGGGCTGGGGTCAGAGATGGAAATACGTGATATTGACGGACGGGGAGGTATCGATACATCTGGAGAGGGTGTCCATGGAATACAGCGGAGAGGGATCAGAGAACATGGATACATGGGACGCGCATGCATATGCGGGACAGTGAAAGTGAGAAGCGGCAGGAAGGAGGCATGGGAGAAAAGAGACAGAGTTAGATAGCCACCCTGCTCGTCGACGGCGCATACGGGTCGAACGGCGCTTTCTTCGCAGCCCGGCCCTTCTTGATGTTCGCTTTCCCTATAACCCGAATACGCAGTCAGCATCGGCGCAAAGTCGTAGACAAAGCTACTCACGAGTACGGCGTTTCCGCACCGGCTGTACAAGGTCCACTCCGTCCTCGTCCCCCGAGTCCAGCTTGCGCACCTGGTCACTGCGTACCTTGAGCAGGCACCCGCACGAAAGACATGTGCAGCCCTGCGCGCCGGTGTCGTACTCCGAGACACGCAGCAGCGCACGCAGGTACTCGTCCCTGAGCTTCGCGATCTCCGTGCAGAACATGCGCTTCCCAACTGCGTCCTGCGCCACTTCCGCAGGAGCTGCAGGCCTGGCCTTCGCCAATGCGCGGGTGCTGGCAGCGGCGGGCAGCGGCGGCGACGGTGCGGGGTACTTGTCCATGGCGCGCTCGAACGAGACTATTGCAGCCTGCGCGAGCGAGTTCTCGTCGGCCGCGTCCTCGGGCGCAATGTGTGGGGCGATACAGTTTATGTAGGCGGCGAGCACGTTCGGCACGGTAAGCTCGTGCCCGCGCTCCTTCACGGTGGCGATAGCGTGTTCGATGTTTGTGTGCATTGCCATGGCGTGTGGTTGTGTAGGGTGTAGGTCAGATGGTGTGAGGGGTGTGGCCGGCGTGGGGTGGTGGTGGTCGCGGATGAAAGGATATGTGCGAACGTGCGACGTGAAGGAGAGCTGGTTGATGTTGGGTGAAAGTGGGTGAAAGGCGTATTTGGACGCGCGATAGAAAGAAGCAGGTTATATAGCCGCAGCCAAGGACAAAGACGGTTGATTGGCCTCGCCACAAGAAGCCAGGATCCGGTGCTGCAGCTGAAGACAAAGGCCGTGCCACGAGGACACAACGCTCGAGAATCGTGCGAGGCTGTATCTTCTGTGGACAGAGTGGTACAGGTTTTGGACACAAGCTCTCGAGTCACTCAGCGTCGTATACATAGTCGCCAGGAAACTGCAAGTCGGCCAATCGCAAGAGTACCGCAGCAGTCTGGAGACCAGGAGGGTGGGTGGCGTACTGCGGTACCGCCGTATATGTCGACCAGCAGACCAGTTCTCGAGCCTCGCTAGAGCCCAGAAGTCGTCGGATGAGGCGAGAAACGCACTGAGCACATCGTCCTTGTTTTCGTCGTCGTCGTTAGCAGCCAACAAGCAATACACAATCCACCATCGACAACGACGTTCGCGACGGTGGGCAACAGGCGCCCATACAGGGAGGTCCGTGCGTGGTCTAGATCAGGGCTCGGCAAAAGCCGAAGACTATATAAACCGCCACGCGCGCCTCGTTTTCTTAACTACGCCCAGATAAATTGGCTCGCTGAATGCTCTCTTCGACCTTCGTGACGCCTCATTCCCTGGGCAGAGCATCACTCCCTTAACATCCTGCGCGGCTCTTCCAAAGAGGGCTGTGTGGCATACGACGCGTTTGGCGATTCAGGTTCTTGGTGAAGGACGGGTCGAGATCGGGGGAGGACATGCCATGCGCTTGTGAGTGGTCATAGCGTTAACGATTCATACTGTGTAGTTGTCTACTTTGGAATAGAATGGACGTTGTGCTACATCTCAACGAGAATGCTATCAGAAACGTTAGGGGGCATTTGTGCATGTCACGGATGAGATCTCCGTATACGCACGGCATGTCAGACGCGTCAAACAACGCATACACCCAGACAAGTTTCGCTCAGCTCGCCGCGAGGTATAGCAGGAGAGCACAAAGGTCATTCACGAATCTGTGTCAAAAATCCTCAAACTTGCAGAGGTGTATCTCGACGGTCCGAGGTAGGTCCGAGGTACCCATCGAAGAGGTCCCGTGTGCTGCTGTCGAGCTTTGGAAGACCCCTGGTGCAAAGGAGTAGCCATCTTGTCTTCACCCTCGACTGCGCCTGTGCGAAGACATGGCTATCGACAACCAGCAGGTTTCACATTCACCTCCAAACGCGGCGCTTCAAGATGCGCGAGCCTCTACCATGCTCCTCGATCAATCGTGGGTTTGGAAAGAGCGCGACCCCTCCATTCCCTCCGTGATCGATGAGGTCAATAGCGATACGAAGGGATGGACTCCCGCTACATCCTTCCCATCCGAGATTCACGCAGAACTTATCAAGGCGAAACGCATCCCAGATCCGTTCGTGGGGTTCAACGAGCATGAGGTGCAATGTGAGTCCATATCTCCCACCAATTATCGATGCACCGCTAACAGGAATCATGCGCACAGGGGTGGGCGAACGCGAATGGCTATATCGCACGTCATTCGAGTTGGAGGTAGAAAGCCGAGAACGCAGCCACTTTGAGCTTTTGTTTGAGGGTCTGGATACAGTCTGTGACGTCTATCTGGTGAGTGCAAGCCGCCGTATACCGATGGTTGCACCCTACGGTTTATCGAACCCGCCGATTCGCACAGAACGGGGCGCATATATTAGCAGCAGACAACATGTTCCGCGCGTACTCGGTAAGAAGCCCTCGCCTTCCTAAAGATCTCATCCTTCGATACGACCACCCGTGTAGGTTTCCGTGCCCAGGTCTTCTTTGAAGGACGCGGGAAATAGCCTTTTGCTTCATTTCAAGTCCGCAAAGCTCGTCGCGAAGGAGCTCGAGGCGCGTTACGGGCGCGTGCGCGCTGGCTCCACCAACCTCGGAGACCCGAGCCGGGTATATCTTCGCAAGGCTCAGTACTGCTGGAGGTAAGCTCGTCCATCTGCCGCCTGAATCCGTGCTCACTCATTCACGACTGGAGGTGGGATTGGGTGCGTTCTACGCAGTGTCTGTCGAAGCCAAACGCTCAACTCTTCTGTTATAGGGTCCTGAGATAATGACTTGTGGGCCGTATCGCCCCATTAAGCTGCTCGCATATACTTTGCGCATCGCATCAGTCTATACACACGCACTTGTGTCCCCCGCTCCAGAGCTCGCTGCTACTCTCAGGGTAGACGCGACACTGGCGGGAGACGTATGGTTGGCGCGATATGTTCGAGTTACCGTGCTCGACGGGATCCGGGTCCTCGATACCTTTTTTGAGGCGTACGACAATTCACTAGAGGAATGTAGCTTAGCGCTGGAAGGTATCGTCAACTCGGACTTTTCAAAGAGGGTCCAGTTGTGGTGGCCGGTAGGATATGGGGAGCAGTATCTATACGACATAGTTGTGGAGCTCTTATCAGATGTACGTCCGTTTCAAGCGACTGCTGCTCCTGGGGATGGGATTACTGAACCCGTCCTGTCCTTCAGGACTTTCAAGTGCTGGACAGGCAAAGCAAGAAGGTGGGCTTCCGCCGCGTCGAGCTCGTCCAAGAGCCTCTGGATGAGCCCGACCGCCATGGGAAGGGGACGACGTTCCCATTCGAAGTGAACGGCGTCCGAATGTTCATGGGAGGTATGTCATGAAATGCTGCTCTCCGTATTCGCAGGTAATGATGGTCTCGCGTGCTAGGCTCGAACTGGATACCTGCCCATAGCATCCTCACCGAGCTGCGCGCCGAAGATTATCGTGCGTGGCTCACGCTGCTCCGCGATGGCAATCAGAACATGGTTCGCCTTTGGGGTGGTGGGGTCTATGAACCGGATTGCTTCTATGACATCTGCGACGGTACGTCCCCAGTTTGATCCCATCGCATCATCGCTGATTATGCACCCGTTCGCGCCAACAGAGCTTGGTATCCTAGTTTGGCAAGACTTTCAATTCGCTTGCGGCGTCTACCCCGCGCACCCAGAATTCATCGAGAATGTGCGGAAGGAGGCCGAGGACAACATTATCCGCTTGCGGCACCATCCATCGCTCGCGCTGTTCTGCGGGAATAACGAAGGCGAGCTGCGCGCCGACCGTCCTTGCGGCGACAGAACTTACGCTGACAGATCCGCATAGATTACCAACAAGTCCTCCAGTGGGGTGGTACGTTCCGACCAGCATCATCGCTATCCTCGTCACCTTGCATCATCCTGACATACGCCGACAGATGTCGCCGACCTCCCCGCACGCGTTCTCTACGAAGACATCCTACCTGGGATCGTCGCCGCGCTGTGCGACCCCCCGATCCCGTATCACCGCGGCTCGCCATATGGCGGCGAAGGCTGGGACACGTCCGACCCGACTGTCGGCGACATTCACCAGTGGGATATCTGGGCGGGCAAGGAGCGCCCGTGGCAGGAGTACGCGTTCCGGAATGGGCGGTTTATTAGGTACTCTACACCCATTCTTCCTCGCCCTTGACTATCATTGATGATGTGCGGTGCGCAGCGAGTTTGGCATACCGTCGTTCCCGGATATCAAGACGGTCGACTACTGGCTGGACGGGAACGTCAAGGAGCGCTGGGCGCAGTCCAGGCTCATGGCTCAGCATAACCGCGCGGGCAATCACGAGCGGCGATTCGCGATCGTCATGAACGAGAACTTCAGGCTGACGGGCGATCTTGAGACGTACGTCGAGCCTTCCGACAGTACCAGCTTGCTGAGGAATCAAGCATTGCTTTGGCCAGACACGTATACAACACTCAAATCCTGCAGTCCGAGGCAGTAAGTTTGGCGTATAGAATGTGGCGGCGCGAATGGAGGGGAAGGGGCAAAGAATTCGTGAGCACCGGTCTTCCCAAGGTCTCACCGCCCATGAAGCTCACTAGGAACAGACTGCCGGCGCACTGATCTGGCAGCTCAATGACTGTTGGCCGGTCGTATCGTGGTCCATCGTCGACTTCTTCGTGAGTGCTAGATCGATGTCTTGGCGGGATATCGCGCTCAGACGTCCGCAGAGACGCGCGAAGCCGGCGTATTACACCATCGCGCGCGAGCTGAAGCCGATCACAGTCGGCATTATCAGGAATGTCCGTACATGTCAATCCGAGTAGCGGCGACGCCCCGCTGAGCTAGTCTCCGTATTCATCAGGTCACACAGAACCGCGAGAACGACCGCCCGAAGCAGGTACGCACCGATCGATAATTACCATCGCGCGCCTGTATGACCACTCACTGATCACATCGCCGCCTCTTCCCCGCAGTTTTATGAATTCGGCGCGTTCCGCTCGGTGGGCGCGACTATCGAAGTCTGGGGAACGAACAGCACGCTCGAGGCGCGCGCGGTGCTCCTCGAGCTCCGCTGCTTCGATCTGTATTCCTCCTGGATGCACACCGAGACCCGCTCCGCCACGCTGCTGCCGAATCAGTCCACCGAGCTTCTCGCCGCGCCATGTCCCCACCCACCAATTCCAGAACTTTCATCCACACGCGCGACGGGGGCGGTCACGCCGTCGCACTCCGTCGTCGTCGGCGCGCGCCTCATCGCCCCAGAATCCGGGGAAGTCCTTGCGCGCTACGCCGATTGGCCGCAGCCGTTCCGGCACGTCGATTTTCCTGATCCCGTGCTCCGCGTTGTAGTCGACTCGGAAGGCGGGACGGTGTCTGTGGGCGTCGAGAAGCCCGTGAAAGGCTTGTTCTTCACGGTGGACCAAGGGGAGAGCCTCCTCGACTCTGGGGAAACGGTGAGATGGAGCGATAACGCGCTGGATGTCCTGCCTGGAGACCCACAGACTGTGGAGGTGCGTGGGTTGGAGGGACGCGATACGAAACTCAGAGTGGCGTACATGGGATGTGAGCGCGGTATACCGATCTAACGGCGGTCCGGACGGAAAGTAGGTTCGTATTTATTCCACAGCACTTGTAAACGCTGATCATTGTACGAAGTTCTAGGTATTGAAGTCATGTGGTACAATACCAAATTCAACGACCACTTCTGCTCGGTCGTCGAGATGTTGTGCGGGCTTCTGCTTCGTTGCACCCTCTTCGACCACAGATGAACACGGCGACGGCGCCTCGGAATGCCGCGACCCTGGCGCAGATTAGGTTTCCGAGAATCAAGGCTCTCATGCAAGATATGCAACCGCGAGAATGAGTTACTCGCCGTTCCGATGTGTACGGGGTGACATGCTCTACGTATCCCATGGACACTACGATCGAAAGACACCGAGGTGAGCAGCTAAAGCCACTATAGTTCGTAACTCGATGACAACTAGTTTCAGGTGTCAGGCTTAACGGTGTTGACTGCTCCTTTCAACTCAGGAGATAGTCGGTCTTAACTCTCAGGAACTACCGCGACGTACATCGCTTTCCGGGGCCGCCCTTCCCGCGGGCTTCATCACGAGCGTTTATTGGGTGGCTGCCAGCGTCTCCTCTAGTCGACCTCGGCCCCGATGGCCCTACCGAATAGGCCCTGCGACGTAACGGTACACATACATTAAGGTCCAACCGCTGTTGGCATTCGATTTACTGTTGCTGTGCAGTAGTCATTACGCACGGCCAAACGCTGCGGTAAGTGTCCGTTCTTCCTCCATCAGGCAAATGCCAAACTGTCCGCTGTTGACGGATGCGCCCAAAACAGGTCAGTCCTGTCAGTAGATTAGTCCATTCCCAGGCAATATTGAGTAGGAACCATCGCCCCGGAGTCGAAGGATGTATGGACGACAGGTGTGCCGACGTCCTCGATGGACCGGGGCCGCTGATAGCGTAACCGCCTTCTTCTTACCCGACTCCGCGCTGACAGCTCTTCCGACACGCCACGGAGGCGTCTCGCACAGGAATCGTCCATTCCGACAAGCCATGCTACTTGCAGTCTCCCAGGCGAACTCCGTGTACATCCGGAGGATGGCATATAATGCCTGCTGTCGCGCGTGCAATTGAGATCCCTCCCCTGCTTCCTCCCCAATTCACTCCCCCTCATCCAGGTCCGCGTCACCTCCGCGATGGAGAAATGGCCTGTGGATCCCTCTTCCAGCCATGTCGATGACAGCACGATAGTGGCTATGTCCAAGGAAACCTTTGAAGCGGAGTCGAATCCCCCACCAATTGAGACCGCGCGACCACCTTGCCCGGACGGCGGCCTGCAAGCATGGCTTACTGTATTCGGCGCGTTCCTGGCACTCTTCTGCACGTTTGGGCAGTTGAACTCGTTCGGTACTTTTCAAACATGGTATGCGGAGCACCAGCTACGCGATTTGCCACCATCGACTATTGCATGGATCGGATCATTACAGCTGTGGATATTCTTCTTCTCGGTCAGTCCTCGCTTCCGATCTTCGAAATATACACACTCACGTCGCTTCGCGCTAGGGGGGCTTCATTGGTCGAATATTCGACGCCCGCGGACCACGAGTTATCATGATCCCTGGGACTATCGTGCTTGTGTTCAGCACTATGATGACTAGTCTCTCCTCAAAGTACTACCAATACGTGCTCACCCAAGGCATACTATTTGGTTTGGGTGTCGGGATGATGTACGTGTCCCGATCTTGGCTACTCCCGGACACTTCCGAGATCTGACGGATCTGTAGGTTCTATCCCTCCCTCGCCGCGATCTCAACACACTTCGCCAAATATCGCGGCACCGCGCTAGGCATTGCCATCGCGGGCTCGGGCGTAGGTCGGTCGCATTCTTCAGGTCATTCGCTCCGGTCTTCAATCATCTCCTTCAGGCGGAGTCGTGTATCCAATAATGTTCCAGCACCTGTTTGAACGCGTGGGCTTCGGCTGGGCTGTCAGAATCTCGGGCTTCATCTCACTAGCCGCATGCTGCATAGCTGTGGCTACGATCACAAGCCTGCGTCCCCCCACGCAGCAAAAAGCGCCCCTTCTGGACCTCACTTTGTTCCACGACATTCCATTCGTATTGATGGTTGCTGGAAGCATCCTAATATGTCTCGGTTAGTATTATATGTTTAAAGCTTTGCGCAGGTCTCGCTTACACGCAAGCTTTTAGGACTGTTCATCCCTTTCTTCTACATTGCCGACTATGCCAAGGACCAGCACATCTCGGCAAACACAGTCTTCTACATTATCTCCGCTATGAACGGCGGTGGCATCCTCGGTCGCCTGCTTCCACCACTCCTCTCGGACGCCGTCGGCCGTTTCAACGTAATGGTGCCGTGCGCCCTCCTCATGGGTCTTTCCGCGCTTGTCTTCTGGATATTCGCCAAGTCACTTGTCGCCATCATCCTCTTCGCCGTCGTCTACGGCTTCTTCTCAGGCGCTTTCATCGCCATGCTCATCCCCTGCGTGGCGCAGATCTCGCATCTAAACGAGATCGGCACCAAGATCGGTGTCCTGTATAGTATTATTTCGTTCGCGTAAGTCACTTTCCATCACTTCAGGGTCGCCTTGTATGTGCGCTGGAACCAGGACGCTCATACTGTCGCATTTGCATAGCGCCCTCGCCGGCGGTCCCGCAGCGGGCGCGCTGCTCAGGGCAGGACATGGCTCGTATATCGGCATGATCGTGCTTTGCGGCGTCTCAAACGTCGCCGGCGCGCTGTTTATGCTGGTGGCCCGGCTTCGTCTGGACCGTCGGATCTTGGCATTGGTATGATGTGGCCGGACAGACATTGGACGCTCCACGACTCGTGTTCGCAACGCTGTATCACTAGTACACCTCATGCACATTAGCTCAGGACTTTCCTCTTGCGACGGACTGCGAGCGCAGCGGCCTCGAAGGGCCCGAAGAGCGTGGTGACGAACTCTGGTGCGAAGCACACGCGCGAACCTTCTGCATGAGTCGCTGAGTAGCGTTTGCGCACGAGAATGGTCACTTGACCGTCCGGAGATCAAACCTAGGAAGTAGATGTCGGTGCATACTTTCTCTCTACCTTAACCTTTTCTGACGAACTTGCAACACAGATTCACAATAAGACTGCAAAAAGACTGTTCAGTCAGGTCCTGAACACCAGGAACACATGAGGATAGCTACCGAAGAGCGGCGCCCTGAAAACCACTTCCATGGGCAATACGAAACTCTAACGAATGCCGAGCGGCCGTAACCCCGCGTGTAAACGAATCTGGAATTCTGGATCCTCATGCTACGTACCATTCCCTCCACCGGAAGCAGGCTTGCTGATTCTCTGCCGGCAACACCGAAACTTGGTGAGGAACTTCCGTGTCCAGAGCGGCGTAGAGCCCGTTATGTTAACCGCTCTACTCGCAGATATTCTCACGGAAGCGGGCGTGATCAAGAATGAGCCATTCCTATCCGCCTTCTGGGTTTGTTCTACCGCCCTGGTGCTATTCTCTCCTCGCGCCGTGTGCGCCGCGAGAATCCCTCGTGCACAAAGGTGGCAAATGGACGGGGCGTTAGGGCCCAGCCTCATGTGGCCGCTCGCTTCGCCTATATCACTCTGCGCAAGGCATGAAGTCCCGCAGAACTCCCTCCCGAACGGACCATGCCACTCCTCTCCAGAAGCGACACCATGTCCTCAAAGACAGAAGCCCTCTCGGACAAGGAAACCACTACGGTGACGACATACGTCGATGCCGTTCCCAGCACTCCTGAAGCCAAGTCTGCCGTGGAAGACCGAAGCTCGCCGTCCGACTCCCAAGCTTCTCTGGATGTCACAGCATATCCCGACGGCGGGCTGAAGGCCTGGCTTACTGTTTTTGGAGCGGTGTTGGCTCTTTTCTGCTGCGGCCAGCTCACCGCGTTCGGCGCGTTCCAGACGTGGTACGCCCAGAACCAGCTCCGCGATCTCCCAGCGTCGACGATATCGTGGATCGGCTCGCTGCAGCTGTGGATATTGTATTTTTCGGTGAGTACTCTTACACCCTGAGGCGCAGCCGAAGACAGGCCTCACCCTACCGTCAAGGGTGGCTTCTTGGGACGCATATTCGATGCCTTCGGTCCTCGCGTCATCCTGATCCCTGGATCGATCCTGCTCGTCTTGGCCACCATGCTGACGAGCGTCTGCACGGAATACTACCAATTCCTGCTCGTGCAAGGGTTTATGACCGGACTATCTTATGGCATGCTGTAGGTGTCCAACTACTTGTCCTCTGGAGCTCCTCTCACAGCGCCATTGCAGATTCTATCCGACGTTTGCATCTATTTCCACACACTTTCAAAAGTATAGGGCGACCGCGGTCGGCATAGCCATCGCAGGGTCCGGTGTAGGTGAGCCGGTCCCGACCCTGCATCATCTCCGTCGATGTTCATCGGTTTGCTTCAGGGGGTGTCGTTTTCCCAGTAATGTACCGACAACTCTTCGCACAGATCGGCTTCGGCTGGGCGGTGCGCGTCTCGGGCTTCATGTGCCTGGTGCTCTGCACAATATCGTGCGCGACGATTACGAGCCGCATTCCGCCAGGGCGAAAGAACGCGAAGCTCGTCCCGAGCAGCGAGGTCATCCGCGATACGCCCTTCGTGCTGCTCGTCGCGGGCTGCTTCTTTGTCAACTTTGGTAAGTCGACGCCCAAGCGCAGTTCCCCTATGGGCAGTGGGCCCCAGACTGACCACGACCTCCCTATGCAGCCCTCTTCATCCCGTTCGTCTACCTATCCAACTATTCCATATACCGGGGCGTGTCCTCCGGTACCTCGTTCTACATCATCTCGGCCATGAACGCAGGAAGCATCTTCGGACGCATTCTACCGCCTTTCCTCGCCGACACCGTCGGACGCTTCAACATTGTCGTCCCGAGCACGTTTCTCATGGGCACCTTCGCGCTTGTGTTCTGGATGTTCACCAGGTCCCTCGTCGCGATCGTGCTCTTCGCGATCGTGTATGGGTGCTTCTCCGGGGCTTTCCTGGCGATGCAGATCCCGTGTATTGCGCAGATATCGAACATCGAGGAGGTGGGGACGCGCATCGGCATCCTATACAGCGTTGCATCGTTCGGGTGAGTACATCCTTGGTCTCGGCGGTCTGAAGCCGAGTGCTGAATGTTGGTGTGTGATGCAGGGTTCTGGCCGGCAGCCCCGCAGCCGGCGCGCTTTTGAAGGCCGGAGGGGGCAGCTACACGGGCATGATCGTACTCTGCGGGATCGTCAACCTGCTTGGATCGTCGCTCCTGCTGCGATCGAAGTATGCCGTCAACCGCAATCTCCTTGCGCGTGTATGAAATCGTGCGGTATCGCAATTGGTCTGTACATTGGCTGTAGTCCTTCCACTTGGTATTTTGGTAGACCATGTACGGTAGACGTAGACTATTCAGAATCATCGAGTAATAACTCCCATATGCAATCTTTCGAGCACAGAAAAGTAGTCCATGCGAGGTATATGAACGACTAAGTCAAAAATGCACCCCGAAATTCATTATCGTAAAAATCAAAGCCTGGAAGGACCCGGAGAATACAAAGGCGGAGCTTCCGAGGGGACTTCTGACATCGTACTTTCTGGGTCTGTTCTCTGCCTCGCCCGTCCCAGCGCGTTCAACAAACCGGCTGTAACGCTCTTCCTGACCCGTGGGGGTGCTGTGCTTTCCGTAGACGGGGCAGGAGAGGGATTGTAAGTTGCAGCAACAGTGGACGCCCCACCCTGGCCCTCGAAAGCCGCTTCCGATTCCTCGACTGCCGTGGACGAACTTGCCGTTTGAGCGGATGGTCGGCGACCGGGAGCCGTGAAGGGTATGATCCTGTCCGCTTCGGACTGGTGCATATCTATATCGCGTTTCACGTTAAAGATATTACTGCCCTCAGGCCAAACCCTAGGACCAACACACGCACCAGCATCGACCAACTTCGAGTATGCCTGTCTCCTCCGCCTGACCACAAGGTATATGCCTAGCGCCATCAACCCGAGCCCCAGAACCGCCCCAAGCACCCCGCCCACAATCGGTGCCACGGACGTGCCTTGCAAATCCGATGCCGCAGCAGTTGCAGTGCCTGACGCGCTCGACGCTGAACTTGACGAAGTCGCGCTCGAAGAGACACTGGCACTCGCGGTCGCGTTCGCCTCCAGGTTCCCCGCAAGATTCTCGTATTGCTGGCTCGAGATCCGGAACTGCAGCCAGTCGAGCATGAACGGGTAGGCCTCCGTCGCACTGTCGACGACGAGTTTGAACGTGTGGTTCCCGTCCGTGAGCTGATCCTGCCAGCAGAGCGGCCTGGACGCCCAGAGTTTGATGCCGTCCTCGCTGCCGACGAGCCGTGCGGGGGTCTGTGGTGCGGGCACTTCGTCGACGTAGCAGATGATGTTTGGTTCGGGTGGGGCAACGGGCCCGATGTAGCCGTAAAGATAGATGGCAATGCCTGCACGAGATACCAACTATCAGGAATGAATTGTTAACAGAGAAATGATGGATTCGGGAGCATACCATTGAAAGTATAGGACGCGGTAGAATTGCCGTGCGGCGAGAGAGTGGTCTTCACTGGTTCCGAGCCCATCTTGCCGTTCGTCCATGTGTTGTCGTATACGATCTCAGAATCCTGCGCGTCGATTGAGACGAAGCGGTTGGCGCTCCTCCGTGCGTTCGCCATTCCGATTGGCAAGAAGCGGGCAAGGACTCGAGTGCAGGGTCAAAAAGAGCAAAGCGGTTGCAACGAGGGAAAGTCTCCATCACTGGGTCGAGGGCTGGGTATATACGTTACGAAGCGCTGATTGTTGCTCCGCAGGAGGACAAAGCGAAGCTAGCTCTTCTCACTGACATTCAGGCGAGGACGCCGCAGTGACAGCTGTGCCGTTAGTGGTGATCGTCAAACCACATACGTGATGGGCCTAGAGGCTCCCTGGTCTTTCTCCCTCTCACCGTTTGTTTAGCTGCAGCACAGCCTCGCGAGTGAGTGGAATTTTGGCAGTGCAGTGACATGATAGCGTCAACGCTCACCGGAATCAGACACCGAACAGCAGTTCCATGTGGTAGGATTGCAGAGTGCCTGCACACATACCATGACCGCGAGTAGTGCGCTCACACGGTCGACCATCTTGCTGTGCGAATCTGATCGTTACCTCGCACGTAAAGTTAAACTCGGCGGGGGTCTTCCTCATAACTTCTCAAGGCAGCCGGGAACTGCTGACCGCAATCGGAGAAGCTTCGAGCCCTTATGCACACCACAGATAATGTCTGGCAACAGAAGGACCGCGGTCAGACGGACGCAATACAAGCTGGAAAGAACTCACCTCTCTGCAATTGGGCTCCCCTTCGCGAATGCTTTGACAGGCTTGACAGGCCGCGCGATGACATAAAAGGCACGCTGGCCGGAAGATCTCCATCCGCATTTGAAAATCCGCGAAAGGGTCCTAAATGACAGTCAGCGTCGCCGGCCGCCTCGGGTTGGTGCCTCGGCTCGAGAGCAGTGCTGTGACGCGGATAGACAGCTGTGATGCGACTCAACGGGTGCAATAGGCAGTTGCACAAGAGAAGCATCGCGAGGTGTAAGGTTGCACACGATCTTGCGAAGAGACCATGTTGACTAGTCCACTGGTGATATGTTATGGTATAGCTGAAATGATTGATAGAGTAGGTGACGACTGGGAAGTGCGGGTCCGTCAACGCTCAGAATACCGTGGGGGCGCGTCTGAGGGCGTCAAGTCCTCTCTCCTGCTCGTGCGCCAACGGGTTACCTGGATCGCCGCCTGCATGATGTCGGCTATGCTTGTCCTCCGCGCTTTGCGTACAGCAAGAGTGGTTGAATCCGTCGGCCCAACCTTCTGGTACGTGTTGTGTCCAACTACGGGGTCAAGCACCGCCGCTTGTGGTACGTCGGCGGCCGCAGAAGAGGAGGCTGCTGTCGCCGTTGTGTCGGAGGACTCGGAAGGCACCGGTACAGATATCGAGAATTCGGGTGAGGGCAGGGCGGGCGCGACAGGCGTCAGTGATGAGCTCGACGCCGTGGATGGGGTATTTGAGAGATCGTAGTAGGTGCGTTTGTCCTCGACGCTGACCACACCCGTTGGTAGCGTAAGGACGAATGGTGTTACTGTCTTCGAGGATTTCCGCTCTGCAACGCCACGCCCGCGGTCAATCAAAAGTGACATACCCGCAGAGATGCGACTCACCGCCGTAGCTTCCCTCACCACCGAGAGACGTGTACGCATGCTGACGACTCCGCCTCCACCACCAAAACAGCGCGATCCCAAGGGCGACCAGCACTAACCCGCCCAACACCGCGCCCACGATCGCACCCACATTTGCCCTCCTATTCCCCTTCCCTGCGGTCCCGTCCTCTCCAGTCACCTCAAGCGTCGGAGGTGCAAGCGCAAGCCCCCAGTACTTCTTGCTCGGTTGGAACATGAATGCGTCGAGCATGAGTGGATAGTCGGCCGCCACCTCGAGCACGGTTGCGTTGATCGTGTGCATCCCGTCCGCGAGCCCCTGGCTGTCGAAGATCGCATAGAACGTCCAATCCTCCGCGGCGGGCGGCGTGACCGTGTCCGCGAGCGCGCCGTCAATCGCAAACTGCACCGTTGGAGGCGTAGTGTGGTTCGCAGGTGCGGCGAGTGCGACGACGATGATCCGTGTTCCTGTATGCAACGTCAGGTTCGGTTCTGTCCTACACCGGAGAGGGGAATGCAGTGGTACGCACCGTCGAATTCCATCGAGACCGACGCATTGGGCGTTGAGGACGTGCTGATGCTATTGCCAAAGCGAGTCTTGCGGGCCCAGCTGCCCTCATACTGCACCGCAGAGTCGCGGTCGTCGATGAGCATCAAGCGCGAGTTTGCCTCACTGTAGGGCATCGCCATCGTTCGCGAATAGTGAAACGACGGATAGAGAAAGCGCTATGAAAGAGAACGTAGGCGAGGTGTAGGGGAGGAGGATGAGAGGGAAGAGTTGCAAAGGCGTCGCTGGCGGCGACATTGCAAATAGTAGACCGCCCCGTGCCCGTTGGCCGAGCACCACCGGCGATCTTCTCTACGCGGGGCGCGACACCGCAGTTTAACAAGGAAACATCGACGATGGCGATGCAGCAGACATGCCTGGCACGGCATTCAAATGAAATAACAAATCCAGAGCGCGACCCAACCCGACATCTCAGCGCTCTGTTCTCACCTTCTCATCATGTTCCGCTAATGACGGCAAGTGGTGTCACCTCACCGCGTACTCGCCGAGGGGTGTGTGTGTGTCTGAAGACGTGTCATTGTAAGTGCGAGGACACAGCGAGGGAGGGATGGCGAGAGAAGAAAGCGACGGGTACACTAGGGGGAGGTGCGCAGGCCGAGCCCTGCAAGCATACAACAGGAAAGTGAAGCGACTAAATGGGAATATGATGGCGGGAGCGCGTATACTTGACTAGTGGTAGTTCAGAACGTTTCTTCTTCGTCTACGCCGGCCTCGGGCACCTCGAAGCCATCCTGCTGGGGGCCTCAGTTCGGGGAACGAGAGGGATGAAGAGAAAGGGGACTGACCTCGGTTGAGTATAGGATCTTCTGGATGTCGCGCAGGACTGGGTCGTCCTTCTCTTCTGCTTGCAGCACCTCCATTTGCTGTTGCACGAGGATCTCGATGTCGCGCAGCTGAATCCGAGGTCAGTAGTCTTGCACACAGGGTGGGAGTGGAGGGGGCTGGCAGTACGACGAAAGTGACGCGACGCCAAGCTAGAACTGACCTTCGCGAAGTAGAAGTCACGCTCCTTCTCCAGCCCCTCCAGATGCACGTTCATCTCCCTCAGCTGCGCCTGGAGATTCTGGAGGGCCTCGTTTGGTTGCGTAGATCCCGAGCGGTGGCCAGTGATAGGCGTGCGGCCGCCCGCTCTAGAGCCTCCTGCATGCAAGTTGCCGCCGCTTCCGCGGCTCGGGGCGAGAGGTGCAATGGTAGCGGGTGTGTCGGTGGGGACGCCACGTCGCCGTGCGACGGGGTCGTAGCCCTGACCGCCGTAGTTGGTGTCCCAGAAGCGCTTGGCCCATTGAAGGAACTCGAGGTTATCCCTGCGGATTGGGAGCAATCATGAGTGGGAGGATAAGTCAGGCGAGGACGAGCCACATACTGCATCTTGCACTTCACGAGTTTCTCCACAGGTATAGGCTAAAAGAAATAAGAAAAAGGATGCATTTGGGGTAGGGAGAGGACGGACCTTTTCAACCTTGTGAGACCTGAAGACGTTCTGGAGGATTTTGAAGTTCGCGATGAACTCGTACTCGTGCTTCGCGTTCATCTTGACGCGTGCCATAGGGACATCGCCTGTAAATTCAAGCCATATATTGACACGTTGATACCTCCCGTATGTCGGAATGAAACAAGGCAGCACTGACCGAAGATCGAGTCCATAACCTGGCAGTATGCGCCACCCGTGCCGCACTGCTCGACCTTGGTGTAGTTGATCTGCAGCAGGTCGTTGAGCCATGCCAGAAGCTCCGAGCGAGACTCTCCCATGTCGACGACGCGTGAATACGGGGTGTAAGAGGGCGGTGAGGTGGTGGATGGTGGACGATGGGTATCAAGAAGTTCCTGCCGCCTGCCGAACGCGTCCAGAACGGGCGTCTGTTAATGACGATCGGGCGCTTACAGATGCATTGTTTCCCGCTAACCGAGCCACACAACTTGTCCTTCTCCACCACCATCCCCTCTTCATACTCTGCAGACATTCTCTGAAAGGTAGGTATTGCATGCATATCTAAACAATGGATGTCGAACTCATGATAGCTCGATAGCCCGTCTAGATTGACAATCCGCACGACGAGGACTAGAGCTGCAGCCGCCTACTCAAGCAGCGCCACTCGCAAGATTTGCAGTACTCTCGTCTCACCCTCTTCGCTCCCTCAGAGCTATACACAGATTCATACTCTTGTAAGTGTCATATGTTGTACCTCTATTGCATTTTAGACCGGCTCATGCCTGTGTTGCACACCAAAGCGTTCTGGCAAAGTAGGCGCTTACCTGTGCACATTCCAAGCGCCCAGTACCGAGCTCGAGTCTGCAGCGATATACGTAACTTGGAGGTCAGTACACAGTGGCACGCACTTCTTTTCTGGCCCGTCACCAGACGGTAAAGGATACAGAGCATACTTATACCGTCTGGCGACGAGATTCAGTCTTCTCCCGCCTGCGCATCAGCTCGGCTCCCGACTCGGAATCTGCGACGCTTCTGAGACCTCACGCGTGTTTGCGCTCTCTGTTGCCCCGCATGATGAGAGGATGCCTGGAGGAAATTCTTTCTTGCAGATAAAAGTGCGACCTAGGATTTTTGACGTGCCCTTTATCCTCTGCTTCTTTACAGCCTTTTTTCATGATGGGCATGCATTCATGGCTGGGAAGAGGGACATGCTAGCAGCGGGAGAAGAGTCTACAACATCTCCTTAGCATGTCCTCGGGCAAGTTACCGCGTTGTTCCCGTTATGTCTCTACCACCTTTTGCGACGAGTATTACCCCGTACTTCTTTCCTGAGAAAACCTAGGACATTGCTTAGTCTGAATTCCTGCAATTGACCCTACTCCAGGCAACGGCCGAAATCAATTTTAATCCCTGCACGGAAGTTTCAAATCTCCCACTGACCGAAATTCACAGGAGGATCACGCGCATACATATCATCAGCTTGAAAACAAAGTTTTACCCGCCTCTACATATACACCGCATACAACAGACCAAGTACGTCATAATAATGCTTTCACAGCCACGATGCGCTTATGCTTCGTTCAAGAGAGTTCCCTGGAAGAAATCATGGCACAATTACCACCGGAGGTGCTTAGCGCAATTGCGTCGTATGCCACCCCGGGCGACCTCCTCGTGCTCAGTCGTACGAGCAAGGGATTGCAGCGTGCAGCTGAGCCACGAATCTACGAAACCGTGATCCTCCGCGATGCGCAGAGCGTTTTCGTAGGCTGCCACGCCCTCCTCGCACGCGATGCCTATAGAGGCCCGTATGTCAAGCGCCTCTTCATCTACCAGGACGCGCAGCGAGTAACGGGACGCAACAACTTCACCAACGCCCCTCCGCAAATCTGGCTCGCGATCCAGCAAACGCTCACAAAGACCGTCAACCTCGAACGCCTCTTGCTGCATGACCCTACATGTTCGCATTCGTGGATGCTGGACCACGAGGACATCAAGTTCCAGCTGCGCGATGCGCAACTGCGTCTTCCGTGGGATGAGCCGATGGTCTCGTTCCTGCAAACGCAACACAAGCTGCTTTCCCTGTCCACCGAGGACGCGCGGGAGGACGGCCCGCTCTATCCGCTTGCGCCCAGCGCGCTGCCCGTCCTGGAGATTTACAGCGGACCGCTCCTTGTTGTGGCCGAGCTGCTCGGAAGTCCGCTCGTGCGGCTCCAGATGAAGGCGGACGACGACACCGCGCCGCTGATACCGACCATCGTCTCCGATCTGTCCAGGATCATGAAGACGCTCCGCAATCTGTGCATCCTTGGGTTGCCGGAGGAGCTCTCGCTCGAGGTCGTGCACCTCGTCTCGACCGCGGTCTTCGCACCGCACCTCCACTACTTGGGTATATTGCCGCTGCCAGGCATGCACCGCGAGGTGAGTGCCTCGACTGCTTCCGCTCCACACAAGGTTTGAGTTACGCTCTGACCACCGCCACCCGCCTAACCCTCAGTGGCACCATTTCCACCGCTGTCTGATGAAGCTTCCCGCGCTCACGCTGCTCGAGCTCGACGTGACGCACCTGCAACCACGCCCAAACGAATTGCTGCAGCGCATGATCCTCTTCGACCTCCGCATGTACTGCCCGACATTGCAGGGAGCCGTCTTCTGGATCGCCCAGCACCGCTTCCAATGGTACTGCCGCAACGGACAATGGGTGTGCAATCACCAGGGAGCGCGGTCGCAGGTGAACGACGGCCTGTGGCGCACCTAGTGCGCGAAGCCGTACATATTCCGAAGTCGCGCTCGGGCTGTGCGCATGCGGGTCGGAGGCGGGTATGATAACGGACCAAAGAGTGCGAGATGGTGCTAGTGCGGGAACGGCCGCCCAAACCAAATATCACGCTCGCGCAGGTGGGTGCGTGTGTCTCCGCGCGTGCTTTGTGGTCCGGTGCGTGTGTGCATATCTGACGCTTCATCTGGACAGACAGGCCTGGAAAGTGGGCAGCGATGTGCGCGGAGGGAACAGAGGGCTCGGGGCTCGGAGCCGTGTATTTGACTCTTGATATCAAGATAATCATAGCGTTCACCCGGTCCTTGCGTGCTTCGCGACTTCTTGCGACCCCGGAGCAGCGAGCGGCCAAGCGCCCCGAAGAAAGCAGCCCGCGCACACTCACGCGGGCGCACGCCGTGCGCTGATTTGCTTCCGCGCGGGACAGCGCCGGGGAAACCGTGCGCGCACGCTGGCGCCCGCGCGGTGCCTGCGGGGGCGTGCTCGCGGTACCCGGGAGAACGCGTCGGATCTTCCCCCGTGGGCCGTGGGCCGTAGTCCGCGGGAGTGTGCAGAGGTGCGCATGCGCCGAGGCTGACTCGCGCACCGATCCAGATATCCAGATTACAGTGGCGCCCTGGCCGGCACGCGCCGCGCGGGGACGCCTTCGCCATACGCGGGCAGAGAAGGCTGTAGTCGCAGCGCGTCTCCGGGACGCGAGGCGGCTGCGCCGTTCTCTTTATGCGCCTCATAATCTGCCCACACCGTGACGGACGGCAGTGCGTGGCGTCTTGCGTACTCGCGTCCCCGGCCATCTGCAGCGTCCTTTGTCCGTTTCATATCCCTCGCCCCCACGCGCGTGTCCCCATGTCTTCCTCGTCCGCATCCTCCTCTCGCTCCCTCGCATCCTCCCCGGCCTCTTCTCTTTCCTCCGCCTCCTCCGCGTGGACACCCACGTCCCTGCGCCTGAGCACCATGAACACCTCGGCTACGCGTCCGCCACCGGCGCACCAGCACGCCCCCGCACCGTCGACAATCGCCTCCCTGCCGAGCCTCGCGCATTCTTTGTCCTCTTTCCCCACAATGACCGTCGTCACGAATGACATGGTCCACTATTCCATGCTCGGCAGCACAAAGGGCGCAAGCGAAGCGAAGGTGAGCCCCGCATCCCTACCCCACCGCTTACGCCACCGTTTGTTCCTTCCTGTGCTGCGGGTCGCTGACGGGCGCCTCCTTTCCCCCTGCAGCTGAACTCAGCCCTGCGCAGAACGAAGCAACGACAGGATGCCGGGCCCGGTGCCAAGGTCAGTGCCTCCCATGTCGTGCTCAGCGCCGGCCGGCCGACTGAAAGCGACTCTACAGGTGTCCGCGTCGAACGCGAACCCCCGCGCGCGGTATCCCACGCCCGAGGACGACGAGCCGTTCCTCCTGATCGTTCCCAAGCGGTCTAAAGTAAGAGCACCGCGCGGGACCTCTGTCGCACGGTCAGAACTGACTGTTCGTCTGCAGGGGAAACAATCATCATGACACCGCCGAACCGCCCACACCACTCACATCCAGCGCATTATACCCCCACCGCCCCTCTCGTCGTGGCGTCATCTACCATAGCGTGGTTCCACGGCAGGCCCCGCCACTCTCACCTCTCACCACTCACCCTCGCCACCCCCCGCCCCGCTCTTCGTTCGTTTCTTGGGTCCTCGCTCTCGTCTGTTTTGCGCAACTCGAAGTCCAGCGGTCCTTGCTTATTCTTATGACACGGTTCGAAAGCGTTCGACGTAGCGTAGCATTTTAGTAATAGTAGTCAGGCAACACGGGTATCGATAGCAGAAGCAACTGTAGCACCAGTGTAAACGTAGTTCGTCATCGTTCGTAGCATCAATTCAGAGCAGTCGTCGCGAAGCAGTCCGTACAGGCAGATCCCAAGACTATGGAAGAGGCAAGGAAGAAGAAACCCGGCACACCTTATTCGCCGGCGAAGAGACGGATGAGCATGTACGTCGTCGAGCCGATGAATCGAATCACTACGGCGAAAACGGCAGTTCCCTATCAGCTATGTTCATCCCGCGACAGCGAACAGCACTTACACGCGAGACCTGCGACCGAGAACAGGATAAAGGCCATGTATCCGTTGACGGTGTTGTGCGCGCCCTTGTCGGACGCCTTGCCCGTCGCGGTGCTGCAAATCCGGGATCAGCCGCGCCCAAACACGTCTCATGTCGCGCAGCGGACGTACACGATGATGGCCGCAAGGAGCGCCTGCGATAGGGCAACCGTCAGCAAGACCGAGGGACATGGGCGGGCAAACTCCACTCACGTTCGATAGCGTCCACCACAGCAGGACCTGGTAGCCCCCGGATATGTCAGCACCGGATCACCTCATCTGTTCATAGACCTGAAACTTACACTGAAGACGGTGTTAGTCACCTCGTGGTACCCGGAGAAGGTCTGGGCGGAGAAGACTTACTTGGTTCGGAAGCTCCTGTAATAGTCCTCTTGCTGCGTCGCGGCGTCGGGCTTCGAGTCCGCCTTGGGCGGCTTCGTGGACAGCATGTGGATGGCGTCCTCGTACGCCGCGTTAATGTCCGTTTCGCCTGTCACAACCTCCACCTCCACTTCATTCTTGTTCGGCCCTGTCTTTACCACGCCGAGATCAGTCGAGACCTTGTTGTCGCCCTTGGTGCCCCACGAGACATCACTGCGGAATGCGGGGAAGCGCGAAGTTTGGTCAGCAGCCCTTGCAGGGCGGAAAACGATGACGACGATCAGACGCACTGGACGTTGGCAAACTGCAAGGGAAGTTCATCAGTATCACTCTCCGCGGACGAGCGGAAGCAAACGCACGGCATAGACGTTGAGGACCGAGATATATGAAGGCGCCATGAGCAGGTATTGGACGAACGACGTGATCATGTGCCATGGCTCGAACTACGGCCGTGATATCAGGATCAAATAGAAGGTGCAGAAGGACGCCCGAACGCACGAAAATGAGTGAGGCAAGGATGTACAGGCCGAGTGTCGCCAACAATGAGATAACGATATTCCTGAAGATCGAGTTCGTGAAGAGTGAGCTTGGAGTAAGAGGCCCATCGGTCTTGATGATGTTGTCAACCCCCTTGAAGGCCAGGAAGAACGCCACGATCTACAGGTTTCAAATGCACGTTGTTTAGTGAACCCGCGCCGCAGGCTGATAGAAGGGGTCGCACCGTCATATACACCGTGATGATCGCGAAGCCGATGAAGGCCAGAGTATAGCCCCATTTCGCGCCTTGTGGCCGATTTCCGAGCGCGAGGATATAGCACAAGATGAGCAGGCCGAGGTAGAAGTATTCCAGAATGACGTTGACGACGTGGATTCCGTTTCCGAGGTTGAATGACGGGTCCTCCAAAGATTCGCTCAGAATGGTGAACGAAATGAAGTAGTTTCCCTGCGGAACGCGTCAATACAGGCGAATTTGTCATGAAGAGCGACGTCACTTACGAGAGCGAACCAGGAAAAGAACAGGTTGAAACATTGATACAACAGTTCGACGTGGATCCAGAACTTGCGCAACCAAGAATGTGACGAGCGGTAGATGTAGTGGAACTTTACAGTACTGTGGATCGCGGCGAAGAAAGAGCCGTTCAACCACCGACGTCGCTGACTGATCAGCTCAGGGACCTAGACATATGTCAGCACAGGCCCGCGTCATGAAGCCTGAAGCGGGTACACGAACCTGGTCCGGAACATCCGTGACAGCGTAGGCAGACTTGACGTAGTGCAAGATCCACGCGCCGCCCCGCTTCGATACCAGCTCCCAGCACAAGATCTACAGCACATACATCAGGCATAACCTCGGCGAAAACGTCCGGGACGACTTACGCGGTCCTCCGCAAGGTACATGTTCGCTGTAAAGATGTCCGCACCAGCTCCGTGCTATATCATATGCTCAGCAGAGAGTACTCGTGAAGAAGACACGAGACCTTACCATCTTCTCGCCGAGGAAGTACTTCTGCAGCGGGCCTTCGCCCGTCTGGTCGTTCTGCAGTGCGATGTAGCGGTAGGCGCTGAACGCGCCAGGTAGAACGGTGATGTAGCCGAAGACGGACTCCCTTCGCGAAGAGGAAGGTCAGCGCATGAGGCTACCACCATCCCGAATCCACTCACAAAGGCTTGTCAAGAATGTTCGACATCTTGTACTCAAAGTTCTGCGCTGCCACTGCAAAAACACCGGTCAAGCCTCGGCCACATCCGCAGTTGAGAGCGGTGTCGTACCAAGGGGGTTAATCAGGTTCCGCAGATACTTGCCCTTCAGCGCGACGATTTCGCCGCACGCTCCTCCGACGTTTGAGTTGATGTCAAACGCTTTCCACAAATGGTAGATCGACGTAGGTCCGGGCATCGTGCCGACGTCCAGGAGCACACAGACGTTGGGCTGGAGAATCGGCCCGAACGCGTTAAAGAACCACCGGTGCGAGTTGATCTTTTTCTGGTTGTTCTCCTTCAGGCAGAAGATGATCTGTACCGGCATGATGCCGCGCTCTGCTCCTTCGAGCTTCATTGACGGCGTCACGGAAACTGCGCACAGCGGTCAATATCACGAGTGCAGCTCACGAAAATGGCGGACCGCACTCTGCGTGGTGTACTCATAGATATGGGCCGTCACAGGCTTCCCGTTCACTTTGTTCTAGACGCGCAGTAAGTACGAGCACGTTCGTGAGCGACATGACGGACGGACCTTGGCCACGCCTTCCTGGTACGCTCCCATGGCGGCAATAACGCTCAGCGTGCGCGAGTTGATTTTCAAACGGCCGTCGGACACGATACACACCACGACCTTCTTCCAGCCCTCCTTACCCCATGTCTTGCTCCGGTCGCGCTTACACAGGTGCGCAATGTTCTTCATGACGCCGTGCATGGTCCGGCAGAAAAGCTCCTCGTCCTCGTTGTACATCGTCATCACGATGAACAGCTCCGTCCTCCGCGGCGGGTCGTAATGCACCTGCCGCAGGGTAAACCCGTCGTCCTTGAAGTCGTTCGGATCACATGTGGCCGCAGAGTACCGCATGTGCGTGAACTCGCGGTCGTCCTTCTGTTGACACATGCTCAACAGTTTTGTTGGCACGGCCGAGTCCAGGACGAAGTTGCCGTGGAACAGTTCCACCTTCTTGATGGTCTTGTACCGACGCGGGACGCGTTGTGGAATTCTCCCATAGCGGATGTTGTTCTCCGACTTATCGTCGGATTCAACGGGGTCGTACTCACCGGGCATCGGCATAGCACCACCCGTCGGTCCGTCACGGCGCAAGAGGGGGATATCGCCAGTATCAAAGTCCTCTCCAGGCTCATCGTGGAGCTGAAATGAAGAGCCGTGGTAGGGTGACGGATGGGGAGCAAGGGGTGCGCCGAGAGGCTGCGGAGAGTTTGCTGTGTTCAGGTAATCTCCGGGATGCAGCGGAGGAGATCCTGGGTGCAGGGGAGGCGAGCCGGGGTGCATCGGGGGAGGGGAGTGGGGCTGAGGGAATCCAGGGTTGTACGAGTCGTACAAATTCGGATTGGGAGGTGAGTGCGGTGGCTGAGGAGGTTGGAAGGCATTCGACGGCTGTCCAGGAGGTGCTTGGAACGCATTGGGCCCTTGGGGGTTCATGAACGGGTCAAGATGGAGCGGTTGGTAAGACTGGTGCTCCTGCTCATAGTTGGGACTGGGGGCAGTGTTGTACCCAGTCTGAGGGTAGTTCAGGTATGGAGAGTACCCATCGTTATAGTGGCCGTGCTGGGCTTCGTCCGCCTACGCGTGGGTCAAGAAGCTGACCACAGCACGGTTCGATAGACTCAATAGGCTCACCTCTGGGTAATGAGACATCGTGGTCAAAGGACAAGATGCAGAACGCGGCGCTGCTCACTGCGGAGAATGTTGTACGAATATGTACGAATGCTGTGCTCGAACAGCGAGCGCAGTCTCGTTAGCGGCCAGCAGCGCCTCGGTCTCAGTGTACTCACCTGTGAGTACAACTGCCCCTATCCTGTGAGAACTCGTTCACGTCCGAAGCTCAGTGCGCGTGCCTTTACGCGGGCCGGTGCGAGGCCTTTCGTCTGAGATGCTGCAGGGAGGTACTCTTGGTCTGGCTGTCGTCTGAGACGTTGAACGGAGAAACCCTTGGTCTGAAGAGTCGTCAAGTGCCGTTGGTAATCTCAGAGGACTCGTCAGCAGCGGAGAAGACACGGGCAGAGCGTGGGGAGAGAACAAGACGCAGTGCCGCCTATACCGCTGCGACCACGGGCGTCTAATGTCTGACAACCGCGTGCGTCCAAAAGAGGTAATATGATTGATCGTCAAGTTCCTCCTCAGTTCTGGCTCGGTCCGAGGCGGGGAGGTGAACTAACGATACGAGAAGGACGGGGGAAAAGGCCGCAGATCCAAACTCGCGCAGAAGAAACAGTGCAGTACAAAACGAGAGGTGATCACGAAAATCCACACTCAGGAGTCAGGATTGATGCTAATAGAGCACCACTCAATCTTAGCTAGGTCAACGGACGTCCACTAGGTGAGGTGTGATAGGCTTGCGAGAATTCCTATCCTTTTTTTTTTACCGCGATAGAAGGAGAGGTGTGTTTTTGAGGTGTGAAATTTCGCGAGCAGAAACGATACAAGAAGGGATAAAGACCAATTGCACAATATTGACTATAGCTTGATCTACATATACCCTCCTGTCAGTTGACGAGAACTATGTACTTCGCACCCAACAGTACCGCTATATGATGCGGGTCCACTGCAAAAACCTCTCCAGGCGGTTCTTCGGCGTCTCATTGTCCATGTCGCGCGGCGGGACTCTGCCGCGGTAGAACACCATCTCGTCGAGCGGCGTCATCTGTGTTTGCTTGATGAGCTTGTACCCGAACGTGAGCAGCAGGAAGAATGGCTATAGACATCTGCGTCAGTGCATGCCCCGTAGAGGAGAGCAGGCGAGAGAATGCAGGCTCACCATCGGGACATAGGCCGAGAGGAACTGCGAGACCGGGTTGGCCTCTTTATCGCTATCCTTGTACGAAGGGGAATTGTCGTCTGTCGTTTCGGCTGAGAGGTATTTAGGTCAGGAAAGATTATTGTGTGTAAATATGAACCTGTGAGCCTACCTATCTTCCAGCCATTATGCACGAACACCGCCCTGTCCTCAAGTGAGCCATCATGACGTGGGTCAACGTCGAAAACAACGCACCATCCGTTCGTGAAGAGCACCAAGATACACAATGAGAACGCGTACCACGCGATCTAGAGTGGCCATAAATACTCATCCACACGCGCATCCTGGATGAAGCGTGCTCACGTATGGCTGGCCCCATTGTCGGTTCTTCTTGATCTCGTTAATTTGTGTCATCGTAGCCTCCCGGTCATCCGGCGACATCTCTGCCGAGTCTTTGCACTTCTTCTCGACGTACGTCGTGCCTTGGTGCCACCTAATGCATAAAGCCATCATTACCCGCGACGTTCGAATGCGCACACGCAGGACATACCTGATATATGTGTACAGCATTCCAGCCCACGACTGCAGAGACGCAACACTTGCGACGGCGACAAGCCATTGGAAAGCCTGGAAAAGCATTATTTAGGGCACATGCCACTCGAGCACAGCAAGATAAGACTGACCGCGTTGGCGCTGCCCGCGGTAGAGCTCAAAAACGTCAAGAGGCCGACCGACGCAGAGACGAGGACGCTAGCCAGCGGCAAGACGTAGGTCGAGCCCTTGTCGAGCGATGGGTCCGCGTCTTCCACGATGCCAAGACCGTCCTCTATCGTCGGACTCATGCGTGGCTCTAAGAGACAAACAACGTCAGGTACGTCTTCGACACCCGACAAGAGGCACTATAAACATACCCTCGACGACAGAGTCCTCATCGTCGCTGTTCGTATCGGACGCATCGGTCGTCTCGCTCTCGCTTTCGTGGACCTCTGCCACGCGTGACTGGTTGAGCCTGAACAGATGTGCTAGGAAAGAGGGCGCGTGGCCCCGCCGAGCGAGGAAGAACAGAAATCGGCTGCTGATGTAGATGTCCGACGCCGCCGCAGACCACGCAGAGATGAGAATTGATGCGTTTACAAGGTCCGGGAGCTGAGAGCGCGCTGGGTGAGCTATCATGCTGGGAAGTATAGTGGGCCCCCGCCACGTACCACCTTGTATCCGGCGAGCGTGAATGCGATCACGAACGGCGAGCGTCTGCCTGTCTGATCATCGGTGGACAGAAGCGGAGTATCGGCGGGCACGAGAAGGCCCGCACACAGCATGCCGCCGAGGTAGAATAACGTGCTAATCGTCCAGATGTGAGCATCGCGCTGTCATGATGTTTGGGGAACAGAGTCTCACATTCGAATCCACACTTTGCGCAGAGCCCGCGGAACATTCTGTGCTCACAGTCAAATTAAGTCTAATGGCCAAGTTAAGGTGGCGCATTACCCGCGTTGCATCAATGACTTCTCCCGCAGCCTGACATGCAAATGTTAATATTTATTTTGTGTGCATGAGGACAACAGACGTACTATACCAGGCACCTCAGAGCCAAAGAACGAGAAAGACGCCTGCATGAGGACAGCCCAAAATCCAAGGAATTGCCCCTTAGGTCCGTGAATACCAAGATAGGAATCCGCGAAGGGCTGCTCCTTCCATGTTCTGAACCCGATAGTCCTATGTAGAGCGAAAGTTAGCGACAAGCACTGCGTCATAACCGTATCGCAGACTCACCCTTGATGGGATGCCCCAAGGTCGATGAGCAGACCGATGAGTACTGAAAGCGCACTCCGATCAGAGCGCTGCACACCGAAAAGGGTCGAAGTGACTTACCTATGATGACGATCGTGGTCACCTTCAGACATGACAAGTAAAACTCTACCTCTCCGTAGTATCTTGAGGGGAAGCAGTTGATCGCTGTTGCAATGACTAACTGTAGGGCGATGTGACATGAACAACGGACACCACAAACCGGTACCAGATACGTACAAAGAAGCCGGACGTGATTGCAACGCTAATATTGCGCTGTTAGTGCACCGAAGGGAACTGCCTTAAAGGCTGACGTACTGAATCTTGCCCGCGATATCCCAGTATCCAATGACAACGGCCGCCGCAGTGATCTCTGCCGCTGTAAATGGGGATGCTCTCAGTCGAACTCCTTACGACACATAAATATCAGCTCACGCAGCGTGACACTCCAGTTATACTACCCAAGTTACCCGCATGAGCAAACATTGTTGTGAACAGCATCGGAGGGATACACTCACCCAAGCTGCCCATCCTAATGAGAACCCGAGTGCGGGGTCCACGTAAAGGTCGGCGAGACCCACGACTCCGCCCACATTCGGTCTGTAGTACTTGTCAGCTTCATGTCGAAGATAGCCAATATGTAACACCCAGTCTCTCACAGGTAGGCTATCATCTCTCCTATTGATACGCACAAGGAGTACACGACAGTACCCACTATCATGTATCCGAGAAACGCCCCAACCGGTCCTCCGTAGCGGATGGCATCCTGGGTACACAATGTGAGGTTAGTCCATGCAAGGTTCGGACCTAGTTTCGCTACACAGTAACATGGAATGTCACTCACTGCCGACCCGAGGAAGAGGCCTGTACCAATCACACCACCTACGCATCGATAGATACCTCTAGTAAGCTTCGGAAGCACCAATAAGTATACCTATGGGCGCAATGAACCCACCGATGGATATCATCCCGACTGTTCATAGGTTTAGCTTCGGTCCGACACGCGCGAAATGAATGACGTACTATGTTTGCGAGAAAGTTGGGGCGGCAAGTCAGACTTGATGCTCTCCCATCGTCGTTGCGAAGTGAGGATACGGTCGCGCTGCCTTTGGAACCGCTGCAAAGTCGTCCCAGCGGGCGGGGCCACAAAGCGTACTCCCGTACCAGTCGCCTGGGATGCATTAGTGCCCGTGCGAGGTCGTGCTAGTAAGGGGATCTCGTTGAGGACGCTCCGAGTTGTGTCTGGCATCGCGTCTGATATAGCGTTCTTGCAAGAGGGGGGTGAAAGAAGAATACACTCGAAAACCCCTCAAAACCTTGTACAAGGAGTTGGCCTCGGTACCGGTTAACTAGGGTTCTGTGGATGGCTGTACCAGGCTTGAACGCACTCGGAACGGAGCCAGTGACCTGCAAGGAGATAAGGGGAGCATGCAAAAGATCCTGGATCGTCGGAGGCGGCGGCGCATCGTGGCAGTGGGTCGCAGCGTGGTCGCAGCCGCCTGTCAGACGAGACGCTAAACTCCTGCTGCGCCACATAGACACATGGAATGCCAACATCGCCATATATAGCAATTGTTGTCTTTTGCCGCGCGAGCACTTGCTACTGTTACTCGTTCAACAGATTTCCAGCTGTATCTACACCTATCTGCACCGCTCTGTTCCTTGGGCTAAGCCGCTACTAGTGTAGTAGGCGATATCGGACGTGTGCACGAACCCATGTGGTCATAAGTAGACTCTTGGCTGTGCTCCCGATTCCCTCGCTGCTGCGGCTGCCGACTAAGCACTGTGACACAATGTTGACTTCGTGGAATCACTCACTCCGAACCTGTGGTCTTCGTCTGTTTAGCGGAACCAATAAGACTCGTAGATCGGGACAACACGAGGAGACGTGAGGTCGGCCGAATGACCCTGATCGGTCCCAGGAGCTGTGCTTACCATGAAACTTCATCCGCCGAACGAGGACCTACTGTACCGCGTATCTTGCTCTGCCGTGCGCCCTTCGACCTGCCCCATGCTCTCTCTGTGGATACATGGCTCCCTGGCAGTGCAACTCGACGCAGAGTCCATAGATCTCGTCCAAGCAGTCTGTGTAGAGTCCTCTCGGCGTGCTATTCCGCGCGTGCTACGTGAGTCTGCGCACCGAGCAGCCACGTCTGCCGCCTCGCGAGTCGGTCCCTCTGCCGGCGCCCTGCGTGCCGCTATATGATCCGGATCCACTGCAAGAATCTCTCCAGGCGGTTCTTCGGCTCCTCATTGCGCGGGTCAAACGGCGGGATCCTCCCGCGGTAGAATACCATCTCATCAAGCCGGGTCATCTGTGTTTGCTTGATGAGCTTGTACCCAAACGTGAGCAGCAGGAAGAATGGCTATCAAAATTGCCGTCAGTAAAAATCCCGTAAGGGTGTGCAGGCGAAAGAATGCGGGCTCACAATCGGCACATAGGCGGAGAGGAACTGTGAGATTGGGTTTGCCACTTTCTGGTCGTCGCGTGACTGTAAGGCCGGGTTGGCTTGCTGTGTAGTGTTTGTAACCGTAGCGTTTGTGGCCGTAGTGTTTGTGACCTCGGCTGAGAAGTATTCAGGTCAGACAGGGTTGCGTGTAAACATGAATCTGTGAGCCTGCCTATCTGCCAATCGGTATGCACGAACACCGCCCTGTCCTCAAGTGAGCCATCATGACATGAACCGACCTCAAAGACAGCGTACCAGGCGTTCGTGAAGAGCACCAACATGCACAACGAGAACGCGTACCACGCGAGCTATGATAGTTGTCAATATTCCACCATACGGGTATCCTGAACGAATCGTGCTCACGTATGGCTGGCCCCACTGCCGGTTCTTCTTGATTACCTCGATCTGTATCATCGCAGCCTCCCGCTCTTCCGGTGACATCTCTGCGGGGTCTTGGCACTTCTTCTCGACATACGTCGTGCCCTGGTGCCACCTACACCATAAATCCATCAGCATCCACGACATCCGCACACGTACACGCAAGGCATACCTGATATACGTGTACAGCATCCCGGCCCACGAGTGCAGAGACGCCACGCTCGTGACGGCGACGAGCCATTGGAATGTCTGCAGACCATCAGCACACATGCGGCGACCCAAGCACAGCGAGACGGGACTGACGGTATTAGCGCTGCCCGAGGCCGAGCTCAGAAACGTGAAGAGGCCCATTGACGCTGAGACGAGGACGCTGGCCAGCGGCAAGACGTAGGTCGAGCTCTTCTCGAGCGCTCGGTCCCAGTCCTCCGCACTGCCCAGGCCGTCTTCTATCGTCGGGCTCGCACGGGGTTCTAGAAAGACAAACGGAGTCAGCTACGGATCTCATGGCCTGGCAAGGAGGACCGGCGCACCTTCGACTACAGAATCCTCGTCGTCGCTATTCGCGTCAGACGCGTCGGTCGCCTCGCTCTCGCTCCCGTGGGTCTCCACCGTTCGCGGCTGGTTGAGCCGGAATAGATACGCAAGGAAAGAGGGCGCGTGGCCGCGCCGTGCGAGGAAGAACAGAAAGCGGCTGCTGATGTATATGTCCGACGCCGCCGCAGACCACGCTGATATGAGGATTGACGCATTCACGAGGTCTGGGAGCTGATAATGCGTTGTGTGGGTCATCGCGTTGAGGAGCGGAGGGGGACGGCACTACGTACCACTTTGTATCCCGCAATTTTGAATGCGATCACGAACGGTGAGCTTCTTCCTGTGCTGTCGTCTGCGGTCAGACGCGGGTCGTCAGCGGGCACGAGAAGCCCCGCGGTTAGAATGCCTCCCAAGTAAAACAGGGTACTAATGGTTTTGGGGTAAGTACCGCACTGTGATGAACATTGGAGAACGGCGCCTTACATTCGGATCCAAACCCTGCGCAGAGCACGCGGGACATTCTACGAACGCAGTCAGTATACGACCCATTACAGGGGTTAAAAAGGCACGTTACCCGCGTTGCATCGATCACTTCCCCTGCCGCCTTGTCAAAGTGTCAATAGGCGCACGGGAAACGAAGTGGGAACAAAAGCGTACTATGCCAGGTACCTCAGAGCCGAAGAACGAGAAGGACGCCTGCATGAGGACAGCCCAGAATCCAAGGAATCGCCCCTTTGCTCCTCCGATACCGAGATAGGAATGCGCGAAGGGCTGTTCCTTCCAAAATTTGAACCCAATAGTACTGTATGGCTCAAATGTCAGCCTCAAACGCATTATGGCCGCATTACAAAATCACCCTCGATCGGACGCCCCGAGGTCGATGAGCAAGCCGATGAGTACTGAAAATGTGCCCTGATTAGGGCGCCGCAACATTTACAAGGATTAAACGGACTTACTTATGATAACGATCGTGGTCACCTTCAGACATGACATGTAAAACTCGACCTCTCCGTAGTATCTGGAGGGGAAGCAGTTGATTGCGGTCGCAATGACTAGCTGGTTTACGATGGGACATTAGCGACAAATGACACAACGTAGCGATACGAAGTACGTACAAAGAAGCCGGACGTGATTGCAACGCTGACATCGCACCGTTAATGCACCGAAAGGAGCTGTACTGCAGAAGAACGTACTGTATCTTGCCATGGGTATCCCAGTATCCGATGACAACCGCCGCCGCAGTGATCTCTGCCGCTGTAGGTGAAGTGCCTCTCAGTCGAGATTCAGGAGACATGAGTTTTGAAGTCTGAACTTACGCAGTGTGATACTCCAGTTGTACTGCCATATTTTCTATATGAGCGAACGTCATAGCGAACAACGAGCGAGACTCACCCAAGCTGCCCATCCCAATGAGAACCCAAGCGCGGGGTCCACGTACAGGTCAGCGAGACCCACGACTCCGCCAACGTTCGGTCTGTAGTACTAGTCAGCTCTACGTTGCATATGACTAGGCATCGACCAGTCGCTCACAGGTAGGCGATCATCTCTCCTATCGAGACGCACAAACAGTACACGACACTGCCCACTATCAGGTATCCGAGGAACGCTCCAACCGGGCCTCCGTAGCGGATGGCATCCTGGGCACACAAGTGAAAGTTAGCTCATGCAAGGTGCGGACATCGGTTCGCTAAATGATGATACGAAAAATCACTCACTGCCGACCCGAGGAAGAGGCCAGTACCAATCACACCACCTATAAGTCAAAAGATGCATTTAGTAAGCTAAAAAAACACTGATGTATGTACTTATGGGCGCAATTAACCTACCGATGGATATCATCCCGACTTTTCATGCATTTAGCTTCCGTACGGCCCGCGAGGGCGAAACGGACGGCGTACTGTGTTTCCGAGACAGTTGAGGCGGCAAGTCAGACTTAATGCTCTCCCAACGTCGTTGCGACGTGAGGATACGGTCGCGCTGCCTCTGGAACCGCTGCAGGGTCTTCCCAGCGGGTGGGGCCACAAAGCGTACTCCCGCCGTACCAGTCGCCTGGGATGCATCGGTGCCAGTACGCGGTCGCGCTAGTAAAGGGATTTCGTTAAGGGAATTCCGAGTTGTTTCCGGCATCGTTTCCGATATCGCGTTCTTGCAAGAGGGGGGAGAAAGGAATCCGCTCGAGGGCGTGCAGAAACCCCGAGAAACCTTGTACAAGCAGCTAGCCTCGGTTACTAACCAGGTGTCCGGTAGAAGACTGTACTGCACCTGCGGGGTGCGGAGTACTCGGTCGGACGGAGCCAGTGGCCTGCAAGGAGATTAGGGGGCCCTGCAAATGATCCTGGGTGGTCGGAGGCGGCGGCGCATCGAGGCGGTAGCTGTCAGGCGAGACGCTGCTCCTCCTCATGCCCGTGCGTCTCTGGCGCCACCTAGACACATGGCATGCCTGCATCACCCATCTATGGCAAGTGTTGTCAGTGACTGCGCAAGTACCGCTTCGGAGTCCGCGACGGCCTGCACTCCTGTTCCTTGCATTGGGGAAGTTGCTGCTGGTGTTCTCGGCGATGTCGGACGTGTACACGATAGCATGTGGTCCTGAACACTTGGCTGTACTCCTGGTTCCCCCACTGCTGCGGCTGCCGACTGTCATGCCATATGCAGAGAACAATACGGAAGCCCTCGCTACCCACCCCAATGTTCACTTCATGGGGTACTTACTCGCGATCACCGGTGGTCCTCGCCTGTTTACCGGAAGCAATGAGATTCGTAGATGGAGACAACGCGAGAGGACATGAGGTCGACCGTGCTTACCATGATGATTCGTCCGACAAACCAGGACCGTGGCGGATGAACATGTTGAGGGGATGTCGAGTTTTGCAATATTCAGGAATGATGATCAATGGCGACCGATGGTAAGAGCGGAGTCTGAATTTGATTACTCGTCCGTAGCTGTCCTTCAATCACTTTCTTATCCCTGTCTCGCGTTGACTTGTAACCACCACGACCTCTTCGAACTCTCCTCTATGAATCTCTTTACTGCACAACTATCATGTTCAGTATCGAAGCTTCAAGATCCATTAATAGCTAGCGAACGCGGGCCCGCAAAGTTGTGTATATTCTCAACTCTTACAATTTTCGCCCCCCAGCACGTTCGTTGACTGCCTTCGAAACAGATTCCTCCAATTGCCTGGCCAATTCAGCCTTCGGGATTGGGTGCTGCCTCATTGTCCTGCCAGTCGGAGGGAGTTACCCCTATCTTTTTACGATGGATGCTAGTATGCACAACAGATGGCGCTATAAGCTGTGGTATAGGCCGTTAGAGCACCGAAGAACGCCGCCGCCACCAACAGTTGCGTGGTGCCGGCGAATGAGGCTATCCGACTCCGCGACGGCGAACTCAGTCTACACACTGTATATGGATACTCGGACAAGCTGCGACGTGGTATGCCCAGCCCCCGCCACACCATCTCTTCCTCAGCCCGATCTGCGAACGCAAATTGACTGATCCTGTGAGTGGCAAGTGCAGTCTCTGTCGTATGTACCTGACTAGTGGGCGCTGACGCGTACCGCAGCTATCGAGTAGACGCGTCTGTATGGGAGTGGGAACCCGGGCTTTTCTTGCCCGAGCCTGGGGTCTCAATGAACACCGGCGAAATTGGCTCACGCCTCGAAAGGGTATAGATATTTCGGAGCGCAGCTCACACTATCAGCTTGCTTCATGGCCGTGGAACGCGGTCGGAGGTTGTCGGCTTCGCAATGGACAGCCTGAAAAGTATCTACGCTTGGATTGCTTTGAGCGACGGATACCCGGAATCTGCTACAGGGTACAGGCAGCGCGTAAATGCTGATTCCCTTTCTCTTCGCTCCTTAATTGACTGCAACCTTATCGCCGGGGCACGCCCGCCCGAATTCCCGACGCCTCCTGCACCGGAACGCACAAACATGCAAAAAGAGCAATGTGGTTGCTAACGATAGCCGGCACCGCCCCCACACGTACAGCAGGGAGACCTGGAAGCTGCTGTGCGTCGAGTACGGGAGTGCCCCAGATTGATGCATATGATGCCCCACGGCGCGTCCGCCGCCCGCTAGCGCTTGCAAGATCCGCCGCCTTATCGCTGCACCTAGCTTGCGCAGCACACCCTGGGTGCGCACCGGACAAGGTTCGACAGGGATCACAGCCGCAAGGCACTCGGAGCGCTCAGCTCTGTGTCCACCGCGAACAGCCATGCGCCGACGAAGTGCTGTCTGAGCATCCGTACGACGTACGTGGCTTCCCTTTGGCAGCCTGATGCTGATTCCACGCGCTGCCGAGCAGAAGACACTACGACTCACTCGCAGCGCTCTATATAACGTGCCCAGGCGCACTGGACGCAACTCCTCTCCTCCCCCCTCGACTTCTATGTCATAGCACACCCTCCTCGACCATCCAATGTGGTGCAACCTCGCCCCCGACGTCCTTTCCGATGCAACCCGCGCTGCCATGATATGTTCCGTGTCCAACAGCACGGAGGCGTGCGTCGCAATATGTCCCAATCCAGACCTGGCGGGGGTGGGTGTCCGCACCGCGTTCTACCTCCAGAGCGTCATGAACAGTGAGTTGCATATTCTGCGCGTTACCGACGACGATGCGAGCTTGTAGTTAAGACTCAAGGCTGCTCCTGACCCGTTTTGCTGTGCCCAATGTCGCGGATCAAATTCCAGTGCTCGGAGCTCGCGTGATAGGGATAACGGAGGGTGCCTGAATTATCGTCGCTAACACTGACCGTTGCAGCTCTCCTCGTCATCCTGTCACGTCGGGACTCCGTGCCAAGCGCGTGGGCCTCCACACTGCTCACTGCCTCGCTCATCATCGCCGCCATGGTGCAGAAGGGCAACCAATCAATCACACTGCACCATGCCACTTTGACCTTGAAGTAAGCAAACTTGTCTCCAAAGAGTTTTATCAGGCCTTGCAGTGCTGACTGCCATTCGACAGCTTCGCCACACTATCTTGCATTAGCTCCCTGGCCGTAGCTCCGACACTGTCTATCTGGCGGCTCTCACCAGAGAGCTACTACAACCGGCAACTCGCACGGCACGTCCTCGACACCATCCACGAGGACCGTGACAGCCCCACGCGCATCTCTAGCAAGGACAAGGCCAAGGTCCAGAAAGCGCAGGGCAAGCAGCGGCTCTTCCTCGCGATCGCGCTTCTCACTCAGGTCGTGCTCCAATGGGCATGGGGCGTCGTGCTCTTCGTCTCCCCAGCGTACAGCCAGAAGAACTGCAGCGGCGGGACGACGCTCATCTTCTTCCTCGCCTCCTTTACCGCGAGCGAGATCAACGACAAGTACATGGTCGTCTGGGTCTTCTGGCTGCTCTTCTCCCTTGGGATCACCCTCGGCATGACAATCATGCTCGCGCTCACGAGTCCTGCCCGCGCGCGGCTCGCGACGGCCTCGAACTCGTCTCGCGCGTCCTCGCTCGCAACACGCTCCTCGTCTATGGCTTCCACCTCCCGCCACACGTACAGATCTAGCCTGGCAGAGCTCTTCCGGTCGATGTGCAAGTCCTTCCCGGCCTGGAAGGACCGCGACGGGCAGATCGTCTTCTGGTTCAACGTCGCGGCGGTCGTGCTCTGGCTCGTCTACATTATCTGTACGCCTCTTGTGCTCTTTCTCGGCTCTTCGTGTTCTGACGACCTCTGGAGCTGCCGAAATACAGATCCAGGCAAACTGCATCTTCGATGGGGAGAACATCATCTCCAGCTTCGGCCAGGTACGCCCCATCATCCTCTATCCAGCGGTTCCGTCGTGCTAACCCTACGATATTAGATCACGGCGCTGCTGCTGTCCATGCAACCCCTGTGGAGCGTGATCGTCGCGGTATACAGGCTACCCGCCAGACAGCGCAGAATAGAGCGTCGGCGCAAGCGCGAGGAGCAGGAGCAGCTGCAGGCCCTCGACGGCGCAAAGGCCCCGCTGTCACCAACCACCGCGTCCCTGCACATCACGCTTCCGGGCAACGGGCCCACATCCGCCCCCGGGTCTCCCGTGCGCGGGCGGTCGCGCTCGGTCCTGGTATCTGCAGACCGCTTCGCGCCTACCGCTGCCGTCGTGGCTGCCCCGAACGGCGAGCGCAGGGTACCGACGCCCGCCAGCCCCGGCCGTCGACGCGGCGGGATGCGCTCGCGCGCCCCCGCTACGACCACGGGCACCCACGCGGTGATCGACGTATACATCCCGCGCACGCACACGGAGGAGTGGAACGAGCTGGTCTCGCTCACGCACCTCCCGCGCGCGTCCGCGTTCTCCATGCCCGGCAACCCTCTGCTTTGATCCTCTTTGTTTTTAATCTATTTGTACGCTATCTGGGGGCTTTAGAGCCTCCCCCTATCTCGCATCCTTGTACGTGTACAGACGCTCTCTCGCCGCATAGTTTTCGTTTCTTGTATCGCTCCTGCTCGCCCGCATAGTCCCGTATCCTAGCTACCCTGTATAAGCCCCAGCGCTGATGTACCCCACGCATACCCCGATCCAGACCTCGATTACTTGATGCTCTAATGCCTACTCACGATCGCTTCCAAATCGATATTAAATGCTTCTGCCAACACGCCGGATGTACAAGGCTTCGCAAGTTCGCGATCCCCGAGCGCGGACGTGCTTCGCGTCTGGACCTCCGGAACAAGCTGCACGATCGGCGCCCCAGCAGAGGGGTAAGTACTCGCAAAGTGCACTACTTCCGGGTTCTTGTCTTCTCCAGCTCCGACGCCCCTCGGAGCGCTAGGTAGTCATACGGCGAAGCTCCTCGACTTAATATGTGCCGGTTAAGGTCGATTTAGAGGGTCGACGCCACGTTAGACGCGCGGGCTCTAGGCGCAGCGGAGTGATTCGCTTCTTGCTTCCTGCGCTCATCATCTCGAGTTACTTGGCCGCGGTGTCCTCAATAGCCAAACAAGTCTTCCAGTTGCTTTAAGGGGCTGCTTTTGTAAAAGCTAACCAGGGATAGCCCTGGTATACCGGTGTCCCTGAAATTCTACTTCATCTCCTGGTTCGCCGCCACACTAAGAAAGGTGCCAGTATTTATGCCTGGTGCTTGTCCTCCACTGTTGGCTAACCGTCACTCAGACAGGCTACGTGTTGTGGTCTCCACTTGGGCACACTCTTCTAATCACCGCCGTCAACGCGTTGAGGGACTGTGACACCCTGCTCTTCATCATGATCCTCAACCGCTAGTGGCGTTCGTCCAGTGTTCACGACGTTCGCGCCCGCTCCTCAAATTCGACGCAGCAGATACTGACTAGACTTTACCAGAGATGAATTCATCGAACACCTCCCGTGCATCAAAACCTCGGCGCACGCTTTCCGGTATATTTCCTCATTCTATTAGGGTCGCAGCCAAGCACTTCCCCGACTTCCTCAACGATGCTTACACATCTTACTCACTTCGCCCCGTCCATCCTTCCCGTGCTCGCATCCGCCGCGTCGAGCTCAGAAAAGACAAGTCGGGCCAGAGGTGCGAATATCTTCTCGCTTTTGTCACTCTAGACGGCAGACCGTGGACGGAGGCCGCGCTAGGCGTCATCAAATGCGACCGGTATGTCTTGAGTAAAGACCCTGCCAAAGATGATGCGGAGCCTACCACCCACATCGGATATTGGGTGGGCATCGTCACTGCATTGTATGACTTCCTCAGCAACAAACCGCCCGTCTACGGTGGCGACCGCTTTGAATTCTTCAGTCCGACCGACGCACGCGTGAGCAGAATCATCCGACGTTCACCAACTCTCTACGTGCATGAATACACTACGCTCCCTGCCGCCGGCCCCGTCGACGTCACACAACCTCAGCTCGATTTCCCGCCATGGTCCCGGGACGCTACTGTCCCGCCCACGCTCTTCCACCTTGCGGCTGCTGCATCTCTCCTCGAGAAGCAGCAGCCCGAATACATTGCCCCTGACCGCCAGTGTTTTCGGTTTACAGCGATGCTATATTATCTGCTCGTAGGCCAGGACGGCCAGGACGCAGAGGTCGAACAGGACGCGAAACGGGTCGCTATCGGGGATGCATATTGCCCCGAAGCCTCCCGGGGCAAATATACCTCTGCCTCCAGTGCAACGTACGTCCCGTCTACCCCCCTGTGAGTTGATAATGACATCGACGACTTAGTTTCCGCGCACATCCCGGGACGTTCCGCGGTCTGTTTCAGCGCGTTACCCGCAAGGATATCGAAGAGCTTCGCACGGAAGAGAAGCTGGACGCGATGGCTTGCGAGGCGCGGCTCGCGAAGCTATACAGCGGCCTACGAGATGCGTTGTTGGAAGACCGAGAACGTTATGGGAGTTGGGGCCCGCTCGCCGTGCCAGGCAAAGAAGCTGCGATCCGCGCTCTTGGAGGCACGATCCTAGACATGCAACTGGAGGTGCAGAGGGATGCCAATCGAAGGTCGCTTGAGGCAGATAGGATCGCAATGGCCATCAAACTCGAGGCACAGAGGGCAGCCGCAGTTAAGAAGCTCGAGGCTGAGACCGCCGCAGCGATCAGGGAGTTTGAGGAGTCGGCAGCGACGGCCAGGAAGTTCCAGGCGCAGAAGATCGCAGCGCTCGAAAAGCTGGATGCGGAGAAGGCGGCAGCACTCAAAGAGCTCCAGGCGAAGCTAATACGACTCGGAGCCGAAACAGCGGCGGCCAAAGAGAGGGAAGAGGCGGCAGTCGCCAAATGCAAACAGATGGAGGAGGACCTCGCGGCGCTGACGGCGGCGCACACAGCCGCTCTCCCTCAATACTCAGAGTTGGAGGGTCGAACTGCGTCTGAAGGTGCAGCTCCGTCCAATGATGCGCAGGTGTAGTACATACACTTTGTCTTGCAGTGCGTGTCGATGCGTACGTGCACGGAGGCGTGGAACGAGCCAGTCTCGGTCCTGGTATCTGCAGGCCGCTCCGGGCGGCCGCATGGTCTCGTATATTCACATAGATACCATGTAGTATACGCTCCAGTGCTGTTGTACCCCGCGAATACCCCGACCCCGACCCAGATTAATTGACGGTATAATATCATACAACGACCGCCTCCATATTGGCATCAACTGTGTCACCCAACACGCCGGACCCTTTTCAAGTTCGCGAAGATCCACTGCAGCAGCCTCTCCAGCCAGTGATTCGGCTGGTACAGTCAGCGAGGATCGCGCGATGGCACCCTCAGTAGAACACGATCTCGTCCATATGTGGGACATGTGAGGATAGCATACATGTTAAGAGGTGTAGTGTACAAGGTATACGAGAGCAAATGGTTGAGAGCGGGTGAGTTTTGGCTTGGAAGTAGCAGGCATGCAGGAACCGGGGCCACCTAACAGACATACAGCAAATGCTCGACAATCGACGTGAACTGCAAGACAAAGTGTACGACATATACTACACCTACGCAGCATTGGACGGAGCTGCACCTTCAGACGCAGCTCGACGCTCCAAGTTTGAGTATCGAGCGAGAGCGGCTACGCGTGCCGCCGTCAGCGCCGCAAGGTGCTCCTCCATCTGTTTGTATTTGGCGGCTGCCGCCGCCTCCCTTGCATTGGCGGCCGCCGTCTCGGCTGCGAGTCGGGCGAGCTCCGCATCGAGCTCTTTGCGCATTGCCGCCTCCTGCGCCTCGAACTTCCTGGTGTTGGCCGCCGTCTCCTCCTCCAGCTCCCTGAACGCTGCGGCAGTCTCCGCCTCGAGCCTCTTGGCCGCGGCTGCCCGCTCTGCCTCGAGCTTGATGGCTGCCGCTATCCTGTCGGCCTCAATCGCCCTTCGAGCGGTTACCCTCTCTATCTCCAGTTCCATGTCTAGAATCGTGCTTCCAAGAGCGTCGATCACAGCTTCCTTGCCTGGCACGGCAAGCGGGCCCCAATTCCTATGGCGTTCTCGATCATCCAACATCGCATCTTGCAGGACACGGTATAACTTGGCGAGCTGCCTCTCGCAGGCGATCGTGTCCAGCTCCTCTTCCGTGCAAAGATCCTCGATGTCCTTGCGGGTGACGCGCTGAAACAAGTCGCGGAACGTTCCGGGGTGTGCGGGGAAACTAAGTCGTCGACGTCATTAACAATTCATCGGGGGCAGAAGGGACGTACGTTTCATTGGAGGCAGAAGGAGATTTGCCCCGGGAGGCTTCGGGCCAATACGCATCCTCGATGGCGACCCGTTTCGCGTCGTGTTCGACCTCCGCGACCAGAGCGTCTTGACCGACGAGCAGATAGAAGAGCAACGTCGGATACCAAAAGCATTGGCGGTCAGGGACAATGTATTCGGGTTGCTGCTTCTCGAGAAGACACGCAGCAGCGGCAAGGTGGAAGAGTGTGGGTGGCACTGTGACATCCCGAGACCAGTGCGGGAATTCAGGCTGAGGCTCGGTGACGTCGACAGGTCCTGCGGCAGGGAGCGTAGTGTATTCGTGCGTATACAGCGTCCAGGAGCGTTGGATGGGCTTGGATGTAAGCACTTCGTTTGGACTGTATAGTGTGAATAGGTCGCCATTGTAGGGCGGAAGCCCGCCCTTGAGGAAGCTGTACAAGGAAGAGGCAAGGTAAAGCCAGTAGGCGATGCGGGTGGTGGGTGGTGGGTGTGGTTTCATAGGGTCACGGTCTTCAGACAAGACATTGCGCTCGCATTTGATGACGCCCAGCGGGGCCTCCGTCCACGGCCTGCCATCTAGAGTGACAAATACGAGAAGATATTCGCACCTCGAGCCGGACCTCTCCTTTCTTAGCTCGACGCGGCGTATACGAGCACGAGAAGGATGGACGGGGCGGGGTGACCGTGCCGTATGAGCATCGTTGAGCGAGAGGGAGAGGTACTTGGCGGCGATCCTAAAGTGAGCCAGCATATCGGGGAGCGTGCGCAGGGGTTCCGACCCCAGGGGGTTGCTCGGTGAGCTCATCGTTGAGAGAGAGGAATATTCGACTCTATATCCGCTGTGCGCCACGAGTACTGGAAAACAATGTTTACGCTGAACCTGTCGGAAAAAATGAAATTCAGGTCACTAAGAGCAGCAAGAGCAGAAAACGTGATAAGTATTCTGGTTGTTCTTTATGGTGGTGTCGTGGTACAGAGGCAGAAGGATAACCGCCACGTACTCGCGATACTCATACTGAACGCTTCGGCAAATGCCGACCCGCAGGCGCTCTCGGCACTTGCCCGGTGCCCGCCCAAATACAAACGCAGGCGCGGTTGGCACTGGCAGCGCTGAGAGAGGAACACGCAGCCACTCTCACTCAATTCGCAGTTTTGGGGTTCCGAGTTGCTTTTGAGGGAACAGTTTCGTCCAGTGCTGCCTAAATACCGTCTGCTTTGTCTTGCAGTGCACGTCGATGTGCACGCGTACGGAGGAGTAAAACGAGCTGGTCTCGGCCCTAGTACTATCCGCAGACTGCTCTACTCGCTCGCATAGTTCTGTATACTAGCTATCCTCTATTATAATAAACCCCACCGCTGATGTACCCCACCCATACCCCAGCCCAGACCCGCTGATTGCTTGACATTCTAATTTGTACAAGTTGCCGCTTCCCACAACACACCGGACCCTTCGCGGATTCGCAATCCCCGAGCGCGGACGTACTTGACGTATACACGTGGAAACAACCGGGATTAGCTGTACGATCGGCGCCCAGCAGCGGGGTAAGTACTCGCAAAGTGCGCTGCGTCCGTTTCTTATCTTCTCCCACCCCGACTGGCCTCGGAGCGCTGGGTATTGACTGAATACAAAATACACGAAGTGTCTCCTCTGAGTACGTCTAGGGCGACACCGATCTAAGCCTCAAAATTCTATATGACGCGGACCCACTGCAAGAGCTTCTCCAGCCAGTTCTTCGGTTCGTCTTCGAGCGGGTCGAACGATGGCACCCTTCCTCGGTAAAACACCATCTCGTCCAGAGGTGTCATCCGCGTCTGCTTGATCAGCTTATATCCGAACGTCAGCAAGAGGAAGAACGGCTACAGCAATGACATAAGCTTGACGCCGCATTGCGCGAATTTAAATAAGGAGACACTCACGATCGGGACATACGCCGAGAGGAATTGCGACACCGGGTTTGCTTCTCTTTGCGAGCTGGAGTACTGGGGCAGTATCTCGTCTGTGATCTCGGCTGGTGTACACGTGGACTCAGAACATATACCAGATAACGTTCAGTCCATGATTACCTATTCTCCAGCCGCTATGCGCGAAGACCGCCCTAAAAATAGACTTAACTCTCGGAGACTTTGATACAGCATTATCGGGATAATAGCGCACCATCCGTTTGTGAGGAGCACTAGAATCGATAGCGAGAACGCATACCATGCGAGCTACGCCCACGACTGTAAGCCGTCCACAGGTACCAGCATAGAGCCGACGAGCTTACGCACGTATGGTTGACCCCACTGCCTGTTTTTCTTGATCTCCTTGATTTGTTCCCTGACGGTCTCTGCTTCGTCTTCCGGCATATCAGCGCACTTCTTCTCCGCGTATACCGTCCCTTGATGCCATCTAGCGCGCGCACTCAGCCTCAAGAACATTCCAAGTAAAACGGGCGCATACTGACCTGATGTATGTGTATAGCATGCCTGTCCAGGACTGAAGGCATGCTACGCTAGCGGCAGCGGCGAGCCACTGGAATGCCTGCCTGTTGATCAGAATTGACGTGAATCGCGCTGCAGTACATATGACACTCACTGCACTCGCACTTCCCGCTGTAGAACTCAACAATGTCAAGAACCCCACTGAGGCGGTTGCAAGCACCCCCGCGAGTGGCAGCACATACACAAACTCCTTATCCGAGTTCGGGTCACAGTCATTTGCTACAGGACCCAGGCCGTCTTCCAGGCTTGGGCTCTCGCGCGGTTCTTTATAACGCATGCACGTCAGGGGCGCTAGCTTGTCAGAGCCAAGCGGGAAGCAATGCGTACCTTCCGCCACGGACCCTTCGTCGTCGCTACTGATATCTGCATTCTCAGCAGCGCGCTCGTGTTCGCACTTCTCCTGTACGGTGCGGGCCTTGTTGAATCTGAACAGGTGCGCAAAGCAGGACGGCGCAAGATCCTTGCGTGCGAGGAAGAATAAGAGTCGGCTACCGACATAGATGTCGGAGGCCGCGGCGGACCGCGCCGATACTAGGATCGCCGCATTCAGAAGATCGGGAAGCTGCGAGCTCTCCGCATCAGTCTCTGCTTTATCATAGACGGATTAGCCTAGTGTGGGCGCGCGACGCACCACTTTGTACCCTGCGCGGTTGAATGCGATGACGAATGGCGAGTGTCTTCCAGTTTGATCAATGCCAAGTAGACCGGGTTCAGTCGAGGGCACAAGCAGGCCAACGCAAAGCATCCCGCATGAGTAGAACAAGGTGCTATACATAGAGATGAGTGCTTCATTTAAACATCGGACTATGCAGCGACTTGCATTCGGATCCACACCCTCCGCAGCGCTCGTGGCACATTCTACAGCGGTCTTTGTTAGAATGGCAGTCTGTAAGGAGCTCTATGGAGACTTTACCCGAGTTGCGTCTATCACTTCACTCGCGGCCTACAATTTGTGTCAAATTGCAGCGCGGAGTCGGGGACGTGCGATTGACGGATACGTACGATGCCAGGGACGTCAGAGCCGAAGAATGAAAAAGAGGCCTGCATGATGACCGCCCAAAAGCTCAGGAGGTGCCCCTTTGCACCCTTGATACCGAGGTAGGCCGGAGGGAAGGGCTGTTCGATCCAGTACCTGAACCCAATGGGCCTATACGTGATACACGTGAGCACAACGTATCATACAGTCGCATGAGGATCTACTCTACCCCTGATGAGAGGCTCCAAAGTCTATGAGTAGACCGATAACAACTGCGAATAGAGTAATACATCAGGAGCGTTGGGGCTGATAGCGAACGACGAGAAACCTACTAATGACAACAATCGTGAGCACCTTGAAGCACAACAAGTAGAACTCGATTTCGCCATAGTGCTTAGGAGGCAGAAAGTTGACTAGGAGCGCACAAATGAGCTGCAAATAAAATTACCCATGAGATATGTGCCAGAAATAGTAAAGAACGCGAAGGCGGACTCACGAAGACGATAGATGTGGCTGCAACTCTGCTGCATCGTCAATTTTGTATCTTTAAAAAACTCCTGAGTACGCCATAACGCGACGTACGGGATCTTCGCCGTGCTCTCCCAGTATCCGAGGACAACCGCTGCTGCAGTGATCTCCACTGCTAGACGAAAAACCTCAGTTGCGTAATTTGCGACCACAGGCCAGTTTCGACTTACGCAATGTAATGCTCCAGTTGTACTGCCAGTCCGATGACCGTTAATCGGTATGAGCTTCTACACTAATGGCATAGAATGCATGGCTCACCCAAGCTGCCCATCCCAGTGAAAACCCGAGAGCGGGATCTACGTAGAGATCGGCGAGGCCAATGACCCCACCGACGTTCGGACTGGAAGAGGGGATATCAGCACTGTTCTAGATCACGAGAGTCGACGAGCTTACAAGTAGGCTAACATCTCCCCTATCGAAACACATAGGCAATATACCACACTTCCTACTATCATATATCCGAGCCAGGCACCTATGGGGCCTCCATTGCGCAGAGCGTCCTATTATAGATGATATTAGGTTGGACGAAATCTCAATCCCAATGCTAGGGCTTCGTACTGCTGATCCAAGGAAAAGACCGGTGCCTATTACACCACCTAGAAGCCGTGCAATAAGTTGTGTCAGTCGAGATCGGGCGTAAATTGAAGGAATTATAAACAACTGACCGATGGAGATCATCCCGACTAAACAGACAGTGAGTAAGATGGTACAACACGAATACTTTGAGGGGATACATACTGTGTTTACGAGAGAATTGGGGAGATAGGTCGGTCTTGATGCCCTCCCATCTGCGCTGCAAACGGACGATGCGGTCGCGCTGCTTCTGGAGCCGTTGCAGGGGGGTGACCGGCGCGAATCGCACGCGAGAAGTCCTGGTAGTCTCTGGGGCTTTGAGTGTCGTCACTCGCACTCGCAGTGCACCTGTAGTGGATGGATGTGCGCGAGTCTCCATGTGCGGCGCGGAGGACGGTGGGTAGACAAAGGGGTGGTTGGCACGACTCGCAACTCGTCCCATGCTACAGAGTCCATAAGTACCTGACTGCACGCTGTCGCTAGGCAGGTTCAAGAGCAGTGCACAGACCCTATCGAAGGCGTATCGAGTACGCAAGCCGAGGGATAAGGCAGAAGGCGAAGGGTCCTGCCCACACCAAGACAGATGTCAGATGTCAGCTTACGCTCGTCGCTGGCAACTACTATCTGCATATTAGTATCGTGTTCACCTCGAGGCATGCAGGGACATGATGAACAAACCACAGTGAATAGAAGGTTGTGATGGGAAGGTACTATGATGCCGACTTTGGATGAACTCTGAGCTTAAGTCTGAACTTATATAGTTCGCCGCGGTCCATTGAGAAGGTGTCGTCTATTAAAATTAACGATGGTCCACCGTCGGGCGATTAAGTATTCGACGTCATATTGACCACGCTTCGGCATAAGTCAGGACTCACTGAACATATCGATCACCAGGGTATACAGCGACCCGCAACGGATGAGACTCGGAAGCAGAGGAGAAGTGTTCAGTAGTAGAATCCCAGGCGATGGTGCCGTACATTCCGTCGTGGCAGTGTCTTGCCACGTGTAGTCATTATTTTAGAACTCCGTGATCACTAAGATGTAAGCGGACTCTGAAAGGACTGCTCTTTCCTCAATCACTGCCAGGATCCTTGACACGGTTTTGTATGATGTCGAGGCGACATCAAGGATAGTTTTGCGCAGTGCATGGCTGGGGTGTGCTCGAGCTCGACGCCAAACCAACTCTGTTAAGTGTGGTAACAAAGACACGGTACGGCGTTACAAAGTTTTTGACTATTTCTGTCCTTACTGCATTGCCCCTCGCTAGTAGCTCCGTTCCGACGACAGAGATATCCTGACTCCTGAGAAGACCATCGAAGCCCGCTCGTGAATTTGATGGGCTGGCTATCGGTATCAACGACGAGCTCCGTGCCCTGCCAAGAGGGAACACCGCCTAGCGATACGGACATTCTTGACCAAGATCTTCGAATGTGATCAGCTATTGCGGTGAGTGTCAATGGTGGTTCGTCCCGCATACCTGTCCTCGCCGATGATGCGCTTCACTGCTACCGAAGGACAGGCATTCGAAATCCCAAAGTCGTGCTGCTTTTCGACGGTCTGATTCACAGCCGTATTGCATCGCTTACTACAGCGCCTTGGGGCTCGTGGGCTCCTTGTTGAGAACGACTATGGACGAGTATCAGCGCCGAAAGATTCCGACATTGCAACGCAGCAGCGGCGCGTGAAAAACGTCGCGCAAGCCCTTCGCTGCTCTCGTCCCTCACTCGCTAAGGGCCTCCCGCGCGCCGGGCCGCATCTCGCTGTTGAGGCAGGCGACCAACACTCCGAACCGCGTCTCCCCGCACGCCGGCCCCTTCGCGATCCCCGAGCGCGGGCGTGCTTCGCGTGTGGATCACCGGCGTTCGTTGCTCGATCGGCGTCCCAACAGTGAGGGTACCTGCAGGATGCAGAGCTTCTGCGTCCTTGTCTTCTCCCGCCCCGACTCATATCGGAGCGCCTGGGCAGAGTACGAGATGCAGAGAGCGGGAGACATGCGGTTCGGTTGCTGCAAGGGGGAGGGTCAATGGGGATATTGGTTACGAGGAGTCCGATAGCCTCGTGGCTCCCGCAGGTGGGCGCAGCGCCGAACGGGCGCCCCCCGCTGACCATGTGCATAAGACAATTGGAAGGAGACAAATGTTAATTTTATTTCCGAATGCCGGGCATAGTGGCTCCCTGCTGCTGCCTACGGAGGTTGCGCGGTATGGTAGGGGTCTGCGAGACCGACGAGTCCCAGTTCGAGCAGAAGGCTTATTTAGAACTCGAACGCGCACATACGGCGGCGCGCGTTCTACGCCCGCATCGAATCGAGTCCCTGGAATCTGCCCTTCTAGCTTCTGTCTGTGATCATGATGCTTCTTGAGAAAGGCAGTTCTTTCCAGGTGCACACGATCGCGCGCGCGGCCTGCCGGGCGCACACGGAGAACCGCACAACATGACAGACTCCGAGTCCGGTATGTGCCCTTCCCAGGGACAAGCTTAGTTGCGCCCGGAATCCCCGTCGAATCGCGAAGCACGTATGCGTACCTTTCCAAGCTGCAGATGGTGGAAGTTCCGTCCCGCCCGAGTGGGACCTCGCTTGAGATGGCTCAGTATGTATTCTGTAACATTGCGTCGGGTCAATAACCGGGAAGGAGTGATGGTAAGTACGGAGGGGAGTTGGAGAGAGGGCCCAGGTGAAGTGCTATGTAAGTTACACATAAAGATACAGGGCGGGGGTATATACAGGGAACGTGAGTTATAATCCGAGTCGGTGCGCGGGGGAGTGAGTACACTGGATAATGTATGATACCGAGTTATAATGCGTGAGTGAACGAACGGACGAATGTTGTCGAATCCGGAGACTTTAAAGATGCATGGGAGCGATGATGGAACAAAGCGACGGAGAACAAATCGACGAGTGGCCGGCGGGGAGCGAGGAACGGAGGCGGTGCGGACGCACGAACAGAACGGCGACAGGCTACACGCGGTCGCAGAACCGCGGACTGAGCGAAAACCGCGCCCAGAGCAGGAATAGCGCGCCCGCGATCACGCTCGTGCCCGCAAGCATGGTCATGCCGACGTACGAGCCGCCCTCGGCCTTGAGCATCGCCCCGGCGACGGGACCTCCGCACAGCGCCCTGTTGTCATGCATGCGTGAGTCCTCGAATGCAACGGCGTGGAGACGGACAGAAGGCACTCACGGGAAGGAGACGATGCTGTACAGCACGCCGATACGCGTCCCGTACTCGCGCACGTCCGAGATCTGGACGACGCAGGGGATGACGAGCGCGTTGAACGCCCCAGAGAAGAATCCGTATATGACCGCGAAGAGCATGATCGCGGCGAGCGAGTGCGCGAACGTCCATAGAACCAGCGTAGAGATCCCCGCGACGATTGTGCAGGGGACGACCACGTTGAACCGCCCTAACCTGTCCGCAAGGAACGCGGGCGCGAGACGGCCGAGGATCCCGCCTGCGTTCATGACTGATAGCACGTAGAACGCGGTCTCGTGCGAGATACCGTGGTCCGTAGAATAGTCGACGATGTAGAAGAAGGGGATGAAAACACCTAGAGCTGTGCGTCAGTACAAATACTTGAAGGTAGAACGCGCAGTGCTCACCGAATGAGATGAAGACACTCCCCGCAATGACGAGCCGGAAGGGCGCGTCGTGGAAGACCTTGGAATCGAACCATGGCACGTTGTCCTGGGGCTTCGACAACCGGCTCGTAATAGTTGCGATCGCGACGCCGCATAATGCGAGAGAAATAAATCCAGATATCCGGACAGTCCACGCGAAGCCGACGCGGTTGAAGAGCTGCTGGTACATAATCGGGTACACCACACCACCTGTATGCAAGCGTCAGGACGCGAGCCGAACTCTTCAAATAGGCACACTGACCGACTCCGGAGCCGGCCACTGCGATCCCGAGCGCGGTACTTCGGTACTTCTTGAAATGTGTGGATATCGCGGCCAGGCTCGGGTAGAATCTGCAGGACACGTTCAGAGGTCGACAATGTCAGATCCACCGCAGCGAGTACTCACACAGTCCCGATACCGATAGCTACCAGTACTCCCTGGGAGAGGATATATTGATAGTAGTGGGTGGATATGCTAGTCATCATCGTGCCGAACACGAGTATCAGGGTCCCGAAGATCAGGATGACCCGAGGCCCGTGCGCGTCAAATAACCGTCCGACGAAGCCACCCTGAGGGCGCATTAGCCAACATGCCCGATGCACGCCCTCGCGTACAACTCACCGAAAAGAAGAACACCCATAGCTGCAGGGAACCGATCCACGCGATCGTGGACGGCGGGAGGTGGCTTAATTGGTGCTCGGCATACCACGTTTGGAACGTGCCGAACGAGTTGAGCTGCCCAAACGAGCAGAAGAGCGCGAGGAACGCGCCGAGGACGGTGAGCCATGCCGCAGCACCACCATCGGGAAAGGCGTCGGTGTCGGCGACGGAGGGCGTGCGGGAGGGGACGTCATTGACGGCGGTCGCTGACGAGTTGCTGATGACGCCGACGACCGACTCCTTGGTGCTGCGCTTCTCCACGTCCGCGTCGGCCATGTATGAGGGTGAGAAGAAAGGCGGGAGAGGGGACAGGGACAGGGCGCAGTGGGGGAGGAAAGGCCGACGGACAAAATAGAGCTCGAATATAAGCAGGGCGCGAGCTGTGCGCTGCGCCGCTCTGGGGACGATGGCAGCGAAGGCGCACATCGAATGTCGATGTCACCCTGCGCCCCCGGAAATTCGGATTCTGGGCTGCCAGTGGCATCCGGAGAAGCCGTCGCCCGTCGCGTCTTCCCCATCAGCGCGGTGAGTAGCCGGGGGCCGTGGCGTGGCCGGCGCGGCGGGCAGCTGCCTGCAATGAGCCACGTTTAGCGTTGGCCATGCTCCGCGGAAGCGGAGGAAAGAGTGCGAAAGGTACGTGCTTGGTCGAATCGGGAAGGCGGGAAATGGAAGCCCTGGCCGCTGGGCTCCGCCGGGCGCGGAGGTTTCCTGCAGCGCCCGCCGCCCACAACTTGGCGTGTGTGGGAACCTGCGCCGCCTCTGTGCAAAGGGTCGCTGCCGAGTGCGTGCTGCCTGCGCACGACAAATACGAGCAACGCTGGTGACGCATTGCGTGTGCTAGGCAGACCACGAAGGATACCGCAGGCGGCGCATGTAGTAATACCTGTCTTCTCCCGCCTCCGAAGGTGCCGGAGATGGCCTGCTCGGCTGACCCGAGGCGTATAGGGCGACGTTAATGAGCCCTAATGAGCCATACAAAGTTGCGACGATGACAGCAACGCTGACGGGGGCGAGGATCAACGTGCGCCGTCGCTTGTTCAGTGCAAGCAGGATACCGGCAGAGGCCAAGACAGCTGCGTTCTTGACATGCATCGCCTTCAATGCAATCACGAGGGTGTGGGATTCAGCGACAGTGCCGGAGTCGAGGCTATCATGGGTAACCGTATGTTGGGATTTGCGGTGCAGGTTCTGATTGGCGGGCGGCCCAGCGTTGAGAGAGCGGAGTGGCGTTCGGTAGTAATGGCTGTCGAACTATGCCAATTTGATGACCTCCGGTATCATGGAGCGCACCCGAGTAAAGCTAAGTGTAAGCGTGTATATCAAAGGGGGAGGGAAAGGGCGGTGTGGTCGCTCACAGGAGTCATGGTACATGGGCGACCTCCGGGGGCGGTGCTTTCAGGACCGCAGGTGGATCTAACGAGTAGGACCACAAGCCTGACAGTTACCTGTGGTCAGAAGGGGATTAGCTGTGGTCGTGCGAGTGATCATGGCGTGACTCGCGTGCGGAAGCCGCAAGCATCTGCAAGCACCCCAGGGCGAACACTGCTCATAGCATCCACAAGCATCATGATCCAATCTGCGAACCACCAGAGGCCAATCTCGCTGTCAGTTCACACCCGGGTACAAACCTGTTTGTTAACGACCGATCTAGATCCATGACATATGATGAAAGCGACGCTGTACGCCCGTAGCGCAAGGATCATGTCTAGCATGCCGATACCTCTACGACCTCGACCCATGACCTCGCACTGCATCGTCGTACCGTAAGCTGCGGCGCTGGAGTCAGAACAGATCCGCCCTGGCAAGCAGCAGGCTAGCATGGCCGACATGATCGGTTTTTGTTTCGAATCGGAGTTGACGGATATGATGTGAGCACATACCAGGATTTATTGCCATGTCGCTATGCATGCAGAGCCACGATCCCGCAATAGTGTTGGTGACCAGCTGTGCGAGACGCGTCTGTGTTGCCCTGGGTCATACATGCCAGTGCAGTCGTAACCTACGCTGCTCTATGTTCCGATCCGAGTCGTAGGCTACCAGACAGCATTCGGTTTGACACAGGTCGATGTATGCGTATGAGGAGTGCGTACAGACCTTTTTTGAGGACAGACAGAGTTCGATATGGCCCGCAGTGTACCCAGAGGTGGCTAGGGATGGTGATGGTCCGGGAAAGAGGAGTGACGGAGCGCCCAAGTTGCCGCCCGTGGTCGCAATACGCCTGTTCCGTTGATCCGGGCGCAACACCACTGCAACACCTTTCTTCTCGGACGCTCTCGGACGCTCAAAATTATACCTCAAATTACGGCTGAGGTACACTCAATCAGTTCACTCTCCAGTCCGTTATTTAAGCGACAGTCATTGTTGGTGAAGGAGCGGTGATCGTGTCCCTGGCCGAACACGTCAAATACGCCACAGTCACGGAGTCCGAATGATCAGTGAGTCGGAGGTCCGAAGAGCACGTATCCTGACTTTCCATCCCCTCTACAGCAAATTTAGCTGTCGGCCTCTGGTCGGCGACACGGTACCCGAGATTTTTCAGTGTTTGTGGCTGACTCAAACGGGATCGATGATGGTCGAGATTTGTTCCTTCGCTGACCAGCTGCCCCGGACAACGATGAGTGCCGAGAGTAAGGGCGTCGGGACGCGCCTGCTCTCGCACGTCTTTGAGATCGCGGCGAACGAGAAGGGATGCGGATTGCTTCATATATGGTCTGCTGCGTGGCAGGCTTGGGTCTATCAGCCGCTACAGGTGCGTATCAAGAAGAGTTTGCATACTGAACTCGATGTCTGGGGGATGTGCACTGACAGCTCTTACAGAGCGCGCGCTAAACCGAATGGCCTAGAGATAACAGGAGAATCCAGCACGCCAACCAAACATCGTAAGAGACAAGAGAGCCCGAAGACTGGACTCCTGAACGCGTGCGCATTGGCGGTGCTCAGTAGTGGTTGAGCACGACGTTGAAGTTGTTCGTGAAGAGGCTTGCGCTGCCCGTGAACGGCTCCGTGCCGGCCTGGATCGCCTGGACGTACTGCCACTGGGACACACCGTAGTCCTGCTGGAGGTAGTCTGCTCGCGGGGTGTGCGTTAGCGTTGTGCCATCACGAAGAGGCGAAATATAGAGGCGCACCGAAGAACTGCTTGAGGTCGGCGTTGAAGTCCGTGATGTCGCCGTCGGCGCTCACGAACGAGAGCACCTCCCAGTTCTCATTCGGGCCCTGCCACAGGTTCCAGTTGTGGCCCGCGATGCTGACGCTCCACTGGACCTGCTGGCCAATGGGCTGGACGCTGTCCCAGGCAAGTTTAGTGAGCGGCGTGCTTTGGAACACAGAAACAGACGGAGCCAGACGTACCCGCCCTGACTGGAGAGCCAGATCATGATCTCGTAGGAGGAATCGGAAGAAGCGGGGCTGCCTGATGCGGCCCAGCCCGTCCAGATGTCGTATCTGCAGATGGAGAGGGACTATTTGAGTGACCCTGTGGCACAAGTGTCCCGTTAATACTTACGAGACGTCTGCGCGGACCGAAGACTCGTTCTCGTACACCCACTGCCAGGCCGTCGGGGCAGACTGCAGGTTCGCGAGCTAAAGAGAAGACCGATGTTCAATGAGCGTTCCACGTTGTATACATGCGCCCGTCGGGCTCACCTGGACGCCCTTGGCGGTGTTGGACTCGACGTTCGCGTGGCTCTTCACGTCGTTCCAGCCGTTCTGCCAGTCCCACACCGTGCGCCACGAAACACTGTTTCCGCTCGTGCTCAGCAGCGTCGTGGTCTGGTAGCCGGAACCGGCACCTGTCGTGCATCAGTCCATGTCCGCCTGCAGGGAGGGAAGTAAATGAGGAGAGAGCTCACTCTCGCCCCAGAGGTTCTGGCAGAGCGTGTACGCGCCAGAGGGGGTGCAGTCGAATTGGCCCGAGAGTGTCTGTGCGGACGCGGACGCGGCGACGGCGACGAAGGAGAAGAGTGTGGAGAAGCGCATGTTGGCTCTGAAAAGTGAAGTCGGGTGGTGGTTTCGAGTGGTGTGTGTGAGCTGGGGAGCTGGAGAGTACAGCGGCCCAGCTTATGTAGTGTTCGCCTTCGGTTTTTCGAATCGCTGTTTCAGACTTTTTCAGGCCGTCCAGCGATGAGCGCATCCTGGAGAAAGATGTGCCCATGTGGAGACGTCGATACACCCAGAGAGCACGGATTTCCTGTTCGACCCCTCTACCATTCATACGGACATGTCCTGTCGTGGCGCACTGTCACTGTGGCGGGCAGCTATCGTCTTTGCAACGCCCGTAGTCGGAAGCGGACGCCGCGCGGCGGAAGGGTAGCGAAGAGACGAACCTACGAATACGAGACGGCAATTGTTGTATATCGAGAAGCCCCTCTTGGATATACATACTTGGACCGTGCTCGATTGAGGGGCCGACTTAGGCAAAAGATGACGGGCAAGCACAAGACCTTGCAGCAAGGCTGTGGAGAGGCTGATGACACTGCTCTCAAGCGATCTTGCGGCCGAATACTCCGCGACGTCGGGGCGTCAAGTACTGCCAGACATATGTCGTTTGGAGAGGACCTGTCCACATGCGAGGAGCTGCCCCGTCGATGAAAAGTCGTCCTCGGAAGACGTTCAAGACGACTTGATACTGAAAGCACAGTAGATTGGGAAGCGAATACTTGGTATGGTGACGCCTGGCCACACTTACCTCCGAGTCCGACGCGAACGTACATGCCGAGCTTCAAATGCAGTTGGGAAACCTCGTGCTGATGACCGTACGCCAAGTACGTCATCTTGTCCGAGTTGATCTGCTACTCCAAACGCAGCCCGACGCTCGAACTCCGCTTGCCGAGCCAGAAAGGACACAATCTTCTCCTCAAGCTCCTTCGCCGCCGGGGCACGCGCCTCCATCTCCTTGGATCTGGATGTTCCCCCGAGAGCTTCGATGAGGTCTGTAACTGACGCGGACCGCGGACCGCGTCTTGTGAGGATGTCCTGCAGCCCACGGTTCATGCGAGGAAGCGACCTCTGGCAGGCGACCACGTCGAGCTGCTCTTCGTCGCAAAGCGCCTCATTCTCGCTGCTCCCTCTGGGTAACGCGCTGGAACAAGGCGCGGAACGTCCCAGGACGCACGGAGGAGCTGTGATGCGAAAATGTGGATGCGGCTGAGGCGGCAACTTTGACGGCGGCCCACTTCGCACTTCGCTCGACCCTGGTCCTGTAGCAAAAGCATATTACGTCCTGTTTCGCATTTAGACCCGGGCCGCGAAGGACTTACCATATACATTCAGCTTGTATGTCTCTGCTTGTATGGACTTCGTCGAGTCAGTACGACCCTAGACGAGCAGCTCGGAGCTAGTCACGTCCAGCACGCCCTATGCAACCGCGGTGAACCTCAGCCTAAAGTCAGACATATCCAGCTTTCTGCGTTGCGGTATGTCTCGTCGTACACATCCTCACGCCGCGACCGAATGCGGTGGGGTCGCACGCGTCTGCGAGACGTTGCAGCCCTTCCGGCGACGCGTGCGCGAGGTCGACGCAGCTGGGATAAAGGATGATTGGTACGGAAACATTATACGTGGGACAGAAGTATACCGTGACGCACCGTACGCTCGCCTCCTTGCTATAGAACAAGGTGCAGTCGTTAGCGGGGGGAGGAATAGTCCCCTGGCAGTAAGACGGCTTGCATACGAGTGCACTCCCCAGCTTCTTAAGGTACTCCTGCAGAGCACGCTCTTCTTTACAGGTGGGGCCAGGGCAGGTTTCCACAGTATCTATGTGTAAGCCCGTTTCGCTGTCCGACTCATTCGATGCATTCTGCAGCGAAGATATAATTAGCGATAAACCCGCCATGCTGAGGTCACATTGAACTAGCTTGACGTACTCTTTTTGCACATCTATTTGTACTAGACTGCAGGGGTTCTTCTGACATGTACACCGGCAACAGACACGACTTACGCGCGCCTAATAAACATCCCCCTCGGCGGACACGGGCCTGGGTAGCTGTCGCCCTCACGACGTCCGTAGTACTCGGGATTGCAACAGTGCAGAGGAGAGACGAGCCTACTAATAAGAGATGCGAGTTGCTTGAATATGCAGATGCTCCTCCTTCGAAGGACGGTTGATCATGAGAGTCTCGAAGATGATGCCGCGCTGCAAGTTGGTGTTTGCATCTGGGCGGGCAAGCGCCGATAGCGCTTGCCGGGCGGCAATTGCCGAAGCGTGAGTCAATATGTCTCTCGCGAGTACGTGGCGGATATCCTTCTGGCTCTGTACCACGACGCCACCACACAGGACAAGCAGAATATCTTGTACTCTTGCTCCTCTTGGCGAACTTGCTTTAATTTTCCCCGACAGGCTCAGCATCAAAATTGTTTCCTAGCACTAGTGGCGTACAGCTAATACCGAGTCGAGTCCCTGTTTTCCCCGCAATGAGCTCACCGGAAGCTCTTCGCAGGTTCGCGTCGGACTCACCCCAGCCGCTGCGCACGCTCCCCGATATTGTGGCTCGCTTCAGGATCCCTGCCGATTACTTCCCAACTACACTCAACGATGCTTATGCATCACACTTACCCCGCCCCGTCCATCCTTCTCGTGCTCGCGTACGCCGCGTCGAGTTAAGAAAGGAGAAATCCGGCACGAGGTGTGAATATCTTCTCGTATTTGTCACTCTAGATGGTAGGCCGTGGACGGAGGCCCCGCTGGGAGCCATCAAATGCGACCGCACTATATTGACTGAAGACCGTGACCCCATGAAACCACACCCACCACCCACCACTCAATTCGCCTACTGGCTGTATCTCGCCTCTTCCTTGTACAACTTCCTCAAGAGCGGGCCTCCACCCTACAATGGCGACGAGCTCAAAGTGTTCCGTCCGAACGCAGTGCTTACATCCAGACCCATCCAATACTCTTGGACGCTGTACACGCACGAATACACTACGCTCCCTGCTGCAGGGCCCGTCGACGTCACCGAGCCTCAGCCCGAATTCCCGCACTGGTCTCGGGATGTCACAGTACCACCCACGCTCTTCCACCTTGCCGTTGCTGTGTCTCTCCTCGATAAACTGCAACCCGAATACATTGTCCCTGACCGCCAGTGCTTTTGGTATACGGCGATGCTCTACCATCTGCTCGTCGGCCAGGACGCTCTGGGCGCGGAGGTCGAACACGACGCGAAACGGGTCGCTATCGGGGCCGCGCATTGCTCCGAAGCCTCCCGGGGCACCTCCATTTTTGCCTCTGATACAACGTACGTGCTTCCTGCTTCTCGGTGAATTGATAATGACATCGACGACTTAGTTTCCGCGCGCATCCCGGAACGTTCCGCGACTTGTTTCAGCGCGTCACCCACAAGGACATCGAGGAGCTTCGCACGGAAGAGGAGCTGGACGCGATAGCCTGCGAAGTGCGGCTCGTTAAGCTATACAGCAGCCTGCGAGACGCAATGTTGGATGATCGAAAACGTTTTGGGAGTTGGGGCCCGTTTGCCGTGCCAGGCAAAGACGCTATGATCGACGCTCTTAGAGAAACGATCACAGACATGGAGGTGGAGGTGGTGGAGGCTACCTCTAGAAAGACGCTTGAGGCTGAGAGGGTCAAAGCAGCTGCGGAGCGCGAGGTGTGGAGGGCCAAAGCGGCTGAAGAGCTCGAGGCGGCGAAGGCAGCGATGGCCAAGAAAATGGAGGAGGAAAGGGCGCTAGCGATCAAAGAACTCGAAGCTCAGAGAGCTGCAACGGCCAAGGAGTTCGAGGAGGAGATAGCGGCGTCGACCAGAGCGCTCGAGGCGGCGAAGGGTGCAGCGTCCAGGGAAACCGGGACGGAGAGGGCGACGGCCAAAGAGAGAGCGGAGGCAGCAGCCGCCAAAGACAGGCAGCTGGCTGCGCTGGAGGAGGAACACGCAGCCGCACTGGCGCGTCTTGCAGAGCTGGAACGTTGGGCTGCATCCGGAGGTGCAGGCCCGTCCAAGGCTGCGCAGGTGCAGTAGACTTTGTGTCGTCTGTGTTGTGTCCGTCGATTGTCGCGCTCACTTGTTGTGTATCCATACCCTAGTCACCGTTTCTCCATACGCTCTATTTGCTATATTTCCTGTTGTCTCTTTGCAATTCCAACGTTACCCCCCACAATCACATGCTCTCGCTTACCTGGTACACTACACTTATGAGCCCATGTGCATATGTTGTCCTCGCAATTGTACAATACTATGCAGTCTGATCATACCCGTCGAAGAGACTAGCATTGTTCCAAGAACCGAAGACGTATACTCACAGCCCGTACGGATCATGCGAATATTGCATTAGCCAAACAACAGCCGTAAAACAAAGTACGCTATCCTTCCGAGACGCGGTGATGAGAAAGTGGAGCCCCAACGTCAGACTCGGAAGGTAGTACGTGGTGTGCATGCGATGCTCAGTGGTTGAGCGCAACGTTGAAGTTGTTAATGAGCAGGCTCGCGCTGCCAACGAACGGCTCCGTGCCGGTCTGGATCGCCTGGACGAACTGCGACGAGGCGACGCCATAGTTCTCCTGGATGAAGTCTGCCGGCGCCGTCCGTCAGCCTCGTCTTTGCCACAGTGCGGAAACGGACTCACCGAAGAACTTCTTGAGGTCGGCATTGAAATTCGTGATGTCCCCGTCCTGGCTCACGAACGAGAGCACCTCCCAGTTCGCGTTCGGGCCCTTCCAGAGCGTCCAGTTGTGGCCCGCGAGGCTGATGCCGGACTGGACCTGCGAGCCGACGGGCTGGATGCTGTCCCGGGCGCATTGCCGTCAGCACCAACTCCGTGCAAGGTGTAGAAACAGAGGGATATGAACGCACCCGCCCTTGCCAGAGAGCCATATCATGATCTCGAAGGAGGACGCGGCGGACGCGGGGTTGCCCGTCGGGGTAGTCCCAGTCCAGATGTCGTACGAGACGTCCGCGCGGATCCCGCTCGACTGCGACTCATACTCCCACTGCCAGGCCGTCGGCGCCGACTTCAGACTGGAGAGCTACGAGCGAGAGCCGTCCTCAGCATCCACATGGTTTCGAGTAGGTGTCGGGGCTCACCTGCACGCCCTTGGCGGTGTTGTGCTCGACGTTCGCGTAGCTCTTGACGTTATTCGGGCCGTTCGCCCATTCCCAGATCGTCCGCCACGACACGCTGTTTCCATTCGTGCTCAGCAGCGTCGAGTTCTGCTGGCCCACGCCGGCGCCTGTACATGCGATGCATCAGTTCGTGTCCGTCTACGGAGAGGTCGAGAAGAAAAGAATGTACGTACTCTCGCCCCAGAGGTTTTGGCAGAGCGTGTACGCGCCTGCGGGTGCGCAGGTGAACTGGCCACTCAGGGTGGTCTGCGCGCAGGCAGACGCAGCGACGGCGACGACGGAGAAGAGCGTGGAGAAGTGCATGTTGGCTTGGGGATGCGTACTGTTCACCCGCGTCCAGCATTTATATCGTCCACCGCCGGGCTTTTAGAATCACTGGTCGACGCCTCTTCAGACCGTCAAGTTTGGATCCATGTCGGAGAAACGTACATCCGCGTCAGGATGGCGACAAACCCATTGAGAAGGGTGGATTTCCCGTTAGAACTCTCCACTCTTCATACAGTCCTACTGTGGGGCATTGTTCTGACGTCTGGGCAGCGATCATTTTCGCAATGCTCGCAGCTAGCAGCTGACAACGCGCTGTGACAGCATGGCGATGAGATGAACCTACTCCCTGACGTTGGGGAAAACTAGCTAGCTCAGCGACGTCGGGGGCTGGGGGGGAGCGGGATCAGCAGGATCGGGCGACCCGACTTTGCGCCGACCCGTCTCCGGTTCTGGTAGAAGCGTCGCTAGAAGCGGAGCCCTGGGTCATATACAAGCACGGCCGTGCATCGCATGATGGGGAAGGACGACTTACGACATGCCCTGCCCCGCCAAGAACGCGTCACTTGCTCATCGAGGGTCCGCACACGAGGTGTCCTCCAACACAAGTTGATAAATATTGAGAAAACCGAGGTTACGCACAAGGCCCAGTGTACTGCCGGAGCTGCCCCTCGAAAAGACCAGCGATGATGACGTATGGAAAAGCCCACTCTAGAGCCCCATCCCAGAAAGAGAACGTGCGACGGGTGGTATATAGGCAGTAGACTACCGCTCGGACATCTGCGCGAGATAGTCCGAGAGCTATAGGTGGCGGCGAAAACGGTAGGTTAATGGAGTGATGTTCAAAGTAGTATCTGACCCACCTTCATCGCGCCCTGACGCAAGCTCTCGGCCGCATTCTGCACGTCGGGGTTGGCCAGGACGCGCGAGATGGCGTCTTTCGCCGCGAACTCCAAGTTGGACAGGGTGCCGTCTCCGAGCATGGCCCCGTCGCTCCCGTGGCCCATCCCGGCCATCTCCTCTTCTTCCTCTCTGCCGAAGTATTGGTTCGAGGATATGGAGGAAGCTCCCTGGAACGACTGCAGGCGCGTCTGTGCTTCTGCGACGGCGTTTGGGTCGTAAGAATTGCGCCCAAAGTACATGTCCGACGAGATCGCCTTCTGGTTCCCGAATTTCTCGCGTGCGAACATCGGAGCGTCCTCTGCGACAGCCGCACTATGAGCGTGACGGTATGATTAGCTTCAACCTCGGGAGATGCGGGGGGTTCGTAGCAGGGCTGACCTGGAAGAAACCGCCGCGGCGGCGGGCACTGCACCGAAGCCAAGCCGCTTCATGCCCATCCCCAATCGCTCCATGTCTTGCGCACTTCCATTAGGCTTGGAAACGGCGGGTACGGATGGCGTGGATTTCGTCACTGGTGACTTTGCCTTGACTGCCGCGGCCGACTTCGCTGACTCTGCCGCCACTCGTACGCGCTCTGCCTCTTCTGCCTTCTCGCGCTCGCGGTCATATCCCAGTTGTTTGATACGCTCAGCTTCCTCTGCTGCCTTTCTCTCCGCCTCAGCGAAGTCTACAGGTGCTGCCTTCTTCGCCCCGAGGCCGCCTAGCTTGGATTTCTTCGCGCCAGCGGAGGCACTGCCGGCAACAGAGGTCGCTGACGAGTTTAGGCGAGAGGCGCCAAGTTTAGACGCAGGTCGTGAACCGGCAGTGGAAGAGTTGGAGCGCAGAGACGCGGAGCTGACTGTACGGGGACCAGTGGGTGCACTGGAGGCGCTAGCAGAGCGCCCGATCACAGGAGGGGCAGCAGGTTTCGAAGACGTAGGGGCAGGCTTGGGTGCAGCAGGCTTATCCCATGATGAGAAGAAGTCATCGTCGTCACCGCCTGCTTTTGGTGTAGGAGCGGCAGAGATGTCTGCGGCGCCTTCCACAACAATCTTCTCGGGATATCTACAAATCCATTAGTATGGTCGTTCAAAGGCTGAGTATAAGAACTCACCTGGCAATGTCCTCCTTCACGCGGCGCGCAAGCTCCTCCTTGTACAGCTCCGCAACACGGCTAGAGTATTTCTTCTTGGTATCCGAGTCGCTGAGCAGTGCAGCACCGCCATGCTTGTTGAAGAACTCATTCGCGGAGGCGTTTCCGCCGACTTTCATTGTGCGCAACTGGTTGAGCTGCCAACTGTCCAGGTTGGTGGAACTTCGGCGGATTTAGCAACATGACACGTATGCCTAGCGCAAGTCAGGCTCACCGGACGAAACTGATGTGCACGCCCATGTTACGGTGGACGCTGGAGCACTCTAGACAGATGTATACACCGAACGTAACGCTAGACCATGTCGGATTGCGAGCCTGACAGTCAAAGCACATCTGCGAAGGATCCGTTGATTAACGCGGCGCGTCGGGTGTAGAACCGCGACGCACCTTGTTTCCCTTCTGCGCCTTTAGCGTTTTAAAAACCTGCTCAGTCTCTGCCTTGGTCGGATCTGCCATTTTGCGGTATTCGGAGATGGATGGAGATGGTGGTCGGGTACGAAGAGCTGCAGGCCGTCCCTGCGTGACTGCTCTCCCGGAAGCGGTGCGTGATGAAACTAAGTCACAAGTTGCACGTGGAGGTGACACATAGTAGTCACGGACGGACCGGGCCTGAATCTCGCGGGCGCTTGGGCGCGACGTCCTCGACGCTCACCACGACGACCACAGACAAACCACAAAACTAGTTTTTGTCCGAAAACCTCGTCTAAAACATACCCTACGGGTCTATACAGACGCACCGGCTACCGAAGCAGCATAAGCTTTGTGGAAAGACTCCAGGACTTAGAATCAGGACGTTCAGACATGCGCGCAGGCATGGCTCTAACATCGAGTTCGTTCCAGGTCGATGCAATTGCATCGGACCCAGATAGGTGAGCGTTCAATGAAGAAATTCTCATATATACTGAACAGTGTCCTTGACTTCTCCCGACCCTTGATAGCGACAGGAAAATATAGATCGTGTTCCCATCCCGTAGCTTCTATGGGTATGCATGACCAACCACTGCACCTTAAGTACGCACCTTCTGAAGTCAAACTAACGGTGCGTGACCTGGTCGCATTCGAAAATATAGCCATATCTCCCACCTCTTATAGACTCAGCTCGGAGACGATGTCACCCAACGCTCACAGTGCGCACCTCGCAGCATGTCGTCTCGCCTGACTCCATCGCTCCCTGAAGCAAGGCAGGAGCAGCCATACATGAGAGTCTCCGCTTTGGAATCGGGGTTTCTCGAGCTCCGCATGCGCCTCTTTGTGGCGGGTTCGGGTCCCAACAAATCCGTAATGTCCCCATCTCTATCGTTTTCTCTCCGTCACTCAGCGTCGGGAGATCATCTACTCTTCGACCTCGGCATCAGAAAGAAGTGGCAAACACACCCGCCTGCTGTTCAGCAACTGAACGCGGGCCGGGAGGTCCTCGCATTGCAGAGTGTCGACGAGAGCCTACGTAAAGGAGGCATCGAGCCAGCGAACGTCAATACTGTGATAATCAGTCACTTACATTGGGACCAGTGCGTGTTTCTACACCAGATACTTCCATGACTGACGACGAAAATCATGCAGCGTCGGCGACACCTCGTCCTTCCCGAATGCAACATTCATCCTAGGCGGCGAAGCGGAGGATCTTATCACACATGCCTATCCGTCCGATCCCGACTCCCCCTGCCTCCAGACCGCCGTCCCGCTAGAGCGCGCCCGGTTCCTCAACGCGGAGTTCACGCAGGCCATCGGGCCTTTCCCGCGCGCATACGACTACTTCGGCGACGGCAGCGTGTACATCATCGACGCCCCGGACCACCTCGCCGGACATATTAACGTCCTCGCGCGCACGAACGCGACCGGGTCCTGGATCTACCTCGCGGGCGACAGTGCTCACGACGCGCGCATCATCACGGGAGAGCGGGAGGTCGCTGTCGCGCTCCAGCCAGACGGCCATGTGCGCTGCATCCATTCGGACAAGAAGGCGGCGGAGGAACATATCCGGCGCGTGCGCACGCTGCTCGACGAGCCGAAGGTGCTGATTCTGCTGGCGCACGACCGTCAGTGGTACGAAGATAACAAGGATCGAGGCGTGTTTCTACCAGGCGCCATCGAACCGCAGTAGTCGCACAGGAGGTACGTTCCTTCTGTGCCTCATGTGGAGCATGCGCATCCGCGTATATCTGCTAATGGGCTCGCAGTTGGCCGTGATGAGCTTGGCGAAGTCATACAGAAGATTGATGGCATACCCTTCTGACTCGAGCAACCGGTCGAGTGGTGCGCAATCGAAGTTTAATGGTGAAAATATAGGCTTCCTTCAAACGCATGTAGAAGGCTCGGAGAGCTGTTGACGCTCTTGCAGTCAGCCAACGGTCATTGACACATCTTGGATGTAAACGACCTGCGGGAAGGCAGTCCTCGCCGTAGCCCCGTGAGCGGGGTGTGAGTTGCCAACGTGAAGGCCTGCCAGGGATACTAAACTCCGAGCATCAGCTCCGTTCACTCGAGGGCGAGTCATTTTCCCATAGTCGCTCGTTCAAGCAACATTTGCCTTTTTGTCGAGCAAGAGCGGATCTAAAGAAGCGGATCCTACTCATGACGGTCTCCGCTTTACGTTTTCAGGGGAACGCAGGCGGCCGGGTACCAGAAAGCGTGGCAGAACGTACGTCAACCCACGCACGGCGCGATCTGACAGGCATATCACAGATCAGACCTGAGGCCGCGCCTGTCATCGGACGGGCGAAGTGCGAGCGGCCTCGGCGCATATATATTAGGTAGGTTCAGGAATACGAATGTCCACCACCCGCAATCTCGCCCTTGATGTTTACCAGCGACGACTTTCCCCCTACCACTAAGCCCACTCCGGAGGAGCTCGCTTTGCAAAAGCGGCTGAAGAAGGAGCTGAAGGAGCACCTCAAGCAACTTAGTCTCGCCGTCGTCCGCAAGCCCCCGTACTGCCAAGGCACCATCCACCTACCTGTCGACGACTACACGCTGTTCTATGGCAAAGACGCCATGGCACGGTGCGTTTCTACCTCCCTCCTGCAGAGGATCACGGCGTTCATCGATTCGTCCCAGTCGTCTCGACTTTTCGAACGCGTCGCCCGAGGAGCTGCAGCATCTTGCAGAGACGTGCGATCCTGCGACGTTCGGCCTCGGCGGCGAAGATGTGTACGACGAGACCTACCGCAAGGCGGGAAAGCTCGACGCCTCAGACTTCATGCTGAGGTTCACCCCCGAAACCGTGGGCCTCCTTGACGTAATTCGTGCCGAGCTGCTCGTTGAGGGCCGCAGCTCGGCAAAGTCCATCCGAGCAGAGCTGTATAAGCTGAACGTGTACGGTGAGCCTGCCACCGAACGAGATAAAAAGACGGAACCGATAACGCTGACACGCATTTGCTTGCAGGACCTGAAGCATTCTTCAAACCGCACGTGGACACCCCGCGTAGTGAGCTCATGTTTGGCTCGCTCGTCGTCGTCTTCCCGACGGCGCACGAGGGTGGCGCTCTCAAGTTGCGCGAGCGCGACGCAAGAAATGTCCAGGAGTGGACGTTCGACTCCGCTGCGCTGCTCGCGCAGGCTGTGCAACCGTCGATTGCCTACGTTGCATTCTACAGCGACGTAGAGCACGAGGTCATGCCTGTCCAGTCCGGGCATCGTGTGACCGTCACCTACAACCTCTACTACGCTGAGGACACAACCCCTCTGCCTGCGGCGCAACCCGTGCCCACGAACGAGCACACCTTCAGATCGAAGGTGCAGGCACTGTTGGACGACCCGACGTTTTTGCCTGAGGGCGGCAATCTCATGTTTCTTCTTCGCCACCAATACCCCATGGCGACCACCCCGAAGGGCCGCACGGAGGCGCGCAAAGCCCTGAAGGATGTTGCCGCGCACCTGAAGGTGACCGACGCGCTCGTCCTGAAGGTCATGGGCGATCTATCGTTGGACGCCTCGCTCAAGATTGTCTACCAGGACACCACCGCTTACAAGGGCGTCAGATACGCGATGTGCGACCACGTCGTCCGTCTAGAGGATGAGTACGAAGTGCAAGAATCGCTGGTCGAGCATCTGCTTCGCGAGGAAGACGGAGTTCTATTGAACCCCACCCGTTGGGATGACGAGTACTACGATGACTGCCCTAGGATGCAGGTGCACTGGATCGGCGCGCCCGTCCCTTGGCATGTCAACTCGACCAGGACAACGTACATGGCGTACGGCAACCAGCACGAGATGGCCCATACTTACTGGAAGCCCAGCCTGTACGTTCGCGTCGGACCGGCCGGGAATAGGGCGACAGACTCGGAGGTTGGTGCTGCGCCGAGCGAGAACTAGACTTGGGTGTATCAGTACTGAAGTTGATATGAATTCGATCGATGTAGCGTCAACTTGAAGGTCATCCGAGTACACCTCTGTCGTGATATACTCATCTATGTTTGAACTTTGAGCATGTCCAGGCATTGGAGTAACTTGAACAAGTCAGCAGTGATTCCGAAAGCAGGCACTGGCAGCACCGGGCGTCACCTGGTAGACGCGCACCCCTGGACCCGGCGGCCGCGTGCGCGTTCCTTGCTTCATGCGCTGATCATCGAATCGAGCCATTGAGCTGCTGCATGCTCAACGCCCAGTATTCAACTTCTGTCAGTCTTTAATCTTATATCACTCCCCGGAGAAGACACTCACCGCTATCGCTTATAGGTGTTCCTTCTACCATAACCGAAGACGGTTCGGCACAAAGTCGGGTCGCCCGACCACCCCCGCACGCTCGCTTCTTGTCAGCCCCCGCCATGGCTGAGTTAGCTTGTTCCACCCCGTGCTCAACAACGTCAGGCGGCAGGGTCGTCGCCTCGCTGTGCTGCCACAGCGCGTCGTCAGCTGCCGACTAGGGGCGACCCGTGGATCAGGGCTGTCCCGATGTCGTGACAGTGCACCACACAGGCTCTACCAACCTGAACGATGGGGTGCTTCAAAGGGAAATCCGATCTTCTCAAACGGTTTGTTCGTCATATCCACATGGGCACATGTTTCTCCGGCATGCGCCCACCGCTGTACCGCCTGAAAAAGTCTGAAACAGTCATTCGAAAAAACCGACGACGAACGCTATAAAAGCTGGGCTGAGTACACGAAATAAAAACCAGACCCACTGTACTCTCCAGCTCTCCAGCTCGCACACACCGCTCGAAACCACCACCCGACTTCACTTTCCCGAGCCAACATGCGCTTCTCCACGCTCTTCTCCTTCGTCGCTGTCGCCGCGTCTGCGTTCGCGCAAACGACACTCTCGGGCCAGTACGACTGCACCCCCGCAGGCTCGTACACGCTCTGCCAGAACCTCTGGGGCGAGAGTAAGTTCCTTCAGCTCACCCTTTGTCGATGGACATAAACTGACGCATAACAGGTGCCGGCTCCGGCTACCAGACCACGACGCTGCTGAGCACGAGCGGGAACAGCGTCTCGTGGCGCACGGTGTGGGACTGGCAGAACGGCTGGAACAACGTGAAGAGCTACGCCAACGTCGAGAGCAACACCGCCAAGGGCGTCCAGGTGAGGCCGCCGGGTGCATAGTGTGTACAATGTCGGACGCTCATTGAACATGCGTCTTCTTTCTAGCTCGCGAGCCTGCAGTCTGCCCCGACGGCCTGGCAGTGGTGGTACGAGAACGAGTCTTCGGTCCGCGCAGACGTCTCGTACGTAGTCTCGGCACACTTGAGTCGCAAAATCGCTGAAAGGAATCCTCCCCGCCTGCAGATATGACATTTGGACGGGCTGGGCCGCATCCGGCAACCCCGCTTCTTCCGATTCCTCCTACGAGATCATGATCTGGCTCTCCGGCCAGGGCGGGTACGTCTGGCTCCGTTTGCTTCGGGTTTTCAAAGCACGCCGCTCATTTATATTTTCCGGAACAGCGTCCAGCCGATTGGACAGCAGGTCCAGTGGAGCGTCAGCATTGCGGGCCACAACTGGAACCTGTGGCAAGGCCCGAATGCGAACTGGGAGGTGCTCTCCTTCGTGAGCGCCGACGGCGACATCACGGACTTCAACGCCGACCTCAAGCAGTTCTTCGGTACGCCTCCATATCTCGCTTTTTCATGATGGCGCAACGCTGACACGCGCCCCATGAACAGACTACCTTCAATGGAACTACGGTGTGTCCCAGTGGCAGTACGTCCAGGCGATCCAGGCCGGCACGGAGCCGTTCACGGGCAGCGCGAGCCTCTTCACGAACAACTTCAACGTTGCGCTCAACCACTACTGAGCACCGCCCGCGCGCCCGATTCCCGGACTCTAATTCGCCCTTCTCTGCGTCTTGAATGGACCGTGCACTTTATTCTGCCGCTGTCTCTTAGCTAGTGTAATTGGCGCATGACCTCTATAACCTGTCCCTGTACGTCTCCGGATCCTCTTGAACTTGAAGTAATCCCAGTCCCTTTTTTGGAACCTCCACGCGTATCAGTGCCTCGCCCAGCAAGGCGCCACTCGTACGTGATATGTCTACAACAAATAAGTAACTTGAATAAGCGGTACAACACGAACGCCGAGCGGAGGATCCAGTCCCCGCCCGCTAAACGAAAAACCTAAACCAGCTCCGTTTCTCCCGCCGCTTGCGCAGCGTTTGGCCTGGAGGTTGCAAGACGCACTGCGGCCCGCTGGCCTTGCGGACCCCGACCTGTATGGGCGCGAATGTGGACTGGGGGTCTGGGGCCAAGCTGATGCTTGATGACGATACAGTAGTGGTGGTGTTCGAATAAGGCACTGCTGACGATGTTCCGGCCTTGCTCGACGCCAAGGACGTCGCCAGCGTCCCGGATACGGAAACCTGCGAGGGCGTCGGCGAGGGTGTCGGGGTCGGTGATGTGCTGCTCGTCTGGTCGGCGGTGGTGGATATGTCGACGCTAAAGTTCGTAGTCACGAGCTCCGCGGCACCTGTGAACGGCTCTGTGCCGACCTGGATCGCCTGCACGAACTGTGGACGCGCGTCGTTAAGCTCATTTCTCCCTCCAACTTGTCTATAATAAGAAACGAAACCTACCTGCGTCTTCGCGACACCTTGCTGGTCAACAAGATACTCTGCGGAAGCGCACGGCGTAGTTAGACGCGTACTCAGTCAAATAGTGGCCGTGGAGGCGGACGCACGGAAGAAGTCGGCGAGGTCCGCGCGGAAGTCGGTGATGTCGCCCTCCGCAGTGATGAACGAGAACACGTCCCAGTTCGAGTTCGGGCCGTGCTTGAGCGTCCAGGTGTGTCCACCGACGCGAAGGTTCTGTGCGACGACGTTGCCGATCCCGCCGACGCTAAACCCGCCGACAGGTAAGGAAATCAGTATCAAGGACGTAGTGATGTTTTCGTGGGTACGCACCCTCCACGCTGGGAGAGCCAGATCATGCTGCGCAAGGCACGTTAGTTTGAGGGCGGTAGTGGGTCACGAAAGGGCTGCGGTGCTCACATCTCATAAGAGGACGCCGCGGACGCTGGGTCGCCTGCTTGGGGCACACCTGTCCAAAGGTCGTATCTGTGACGTGTGGTTCGATACAGCGTAAAGATGTATGTGATTGTTGCACGTACGAAACGTCCGCGCGGAGATCGGAATCTGCGGACTTGTAGAACCACTGCCAGTTTGTGGGCGCAGTCACGATGTCCTGGAGCTGATAACGTTCCTGCCAGTCAATTTCTCGTCACTTCTAGTGTGGCTGAGTTAGCCACCTGCATGCCCTTCGCGGTGTTGTGGTACAAGTTAGGATCTGTAACATTCTCAGTCAATGATCGAGATATGCAGACAGGGACGTGGCTCCCGCACAGCTCTTGACATTGTCCGGACTTTGCGACCACTGGTAAGTCGTTGACCACGACGCGGAGTCGCCATTGGTGGAAATGAGTGTCGTCGTTTGTGAGCCTACACCGGTGTCTATAGTTACATCCTTGGTCAACAACCGTACACACTAGACAAGCGCATCAGGGAATAAACGGCAGCTTACTGGCTCCCCAGAGGTTCTGGCACAGCGTGTATACACCTGCGGCGGTGCAGTCGTTGCCCTGCAGTGTGGTCTGCGCGGTAGCCACATGGACAAGCGACGCGATGAGGCCGGCAGCACAGAGGCGCGCCATAAGTTAAATTTTCCTAAAGCGAAACGGATGTGAATATCGAGGTTGTCAGTCAACGTGGAAGAAGGAGCAGGGAAGAGTGCGTGTGGCTCGCGCGAGGAGATATATGCACTCACGAAGTCCGCGCTTGGACAACACGTGTCAAAGCGCAAGTGCAACTTCTGGCCAAGGGGGTGCAAAGGGAAGCCGGATGTGCGCCGGGAGAGCGCGGGCGCGCGCGACAGCAAAGTCGTGGCACATGCCCCGTGGAACCATCGGCGTCTCGCCGCCGACAGTTCTCGGACCTGGATTCGGAGACAGATGGCCCTCCCGAGAACATGCGGATCTTCATCACTGCGTAGTTGTTGAGATATCGGGGGACGGGTCGGAGTCGGGAGTCGGGATATCTGGATGATACGAAGGATGAGTGGTTGTGGCAAAGTTAAACTTTGGCTACGATATAGCAAGATCCGCTGCAAACCAATGTAGTATGAAGCGTTCCTGATATGGGCATCAAAGCACAAGTGGGGGCCCATTATGAGTTGAGTACCCCGAGAGTCGTCTGGAGGCCCTGCACAGGGTCTGGATATCTGAAGAGCCGGTCTCTCTTCAGAGAAATGGTCGCAGGCCACGAGTCTGAATGTCGCTGGGAGTAGCTTTTCATATCCTATAGTGCCCGCATCATCCGAGTGTACTCGATGTCGCCCTTGTAGAACACCTCTCCAAACCTCCGCATGCCTCTGCGCTCGTACCACCCCGCCGCGCTCGTGCGGGCGTCGCACCACACGACGCCGCATCCCATCTCGCCTGCTGCGACTTCAAAAACTTGCGTGAGCAGGCGCGTCCCGATGCCCTTGCCCTGGTGCTCGGGCGCGCACGCGAATTTGCGGAAGCGTGCGGCAGGTTGCGTCGACGTAGAGGCACCCGATGCCGCCGGTAGAGGGTCGATGAAGACGGAAATAACCGCGACTGCGACAGGTGATCCAGGAAGGAACGCGCCGTAGTGCAGTCCGGACGCGTCTTCTTGCAAGAGAACGTGCGAGACGGGGTGATCTGGCCAGAGAATGGCGTGGCGGAGAGGCACAGTCTCTTCTGCTGCGATTCGCCTTATATCTGGCCAGATCAACTAGTATGTGAGCGTTTTCGAAATCCATGTTAGGGAGAACCCACCCATCTTGTCCGCACTCATGGTTGTTAGGAACGAAGCGGGAGCGTAGATTAAAAATGAACCACGTGGATAGACGCGCGACCTGTGCCGACGTTTCTTGCTTCAAGTTCCTGCGCTCAGTTGTCGTGGCTCAGCCTATTTAGATTGAAAAAAACTACAGAAAGGCTACGTGTGGTTCTTCCTGATGGTAAGCGCAGCCTTATAAGCACGCCTTTCAATTGACCATCGTACGACCACACGGCCTGCTTTCTGTCTGGAATCTGGATTTCACGACATTCTCACATATCGGCTCAAAATGGGCTTGCGATCGCCGTAGTGCCGCATTCTGGTATTTAGGAGAGCATGCAGCCCGATGTGCATTGGATAGCTCAGCCTGTAAAGCTGTAAGTCTGACGGGTGAGCCATTTCAGAGGTACGAACCGCTACGTTCGTGGTTCCGTACGCGAAGACGTGGAGTCAAACAAATTGAGATATTCGTTTACATCGTGCTGGCCGGCATGCTGATCAGGTCATTCTAGACAGGTTGAATGGCGAGGCCTGTAGAGACGGAAAGCATGCAGACATGTGCTGAGTGACGCAAATGCCCGCATGCTTTCCAAACTATATGATGTCAGTCGAGATTACAACATCCTACCTGCAGCACGCGGGCGTGATGACGAATCGTCTGGACAAAAACTTGCAGAGAAAACAAGTGGGTATGAATGTGGCAGCGTGATCACACGCACACTAGGAGTACAGTTGCTATTTCAAGAGTTCCTCGACGATTCGGTCGTCATTGATATTTGCCACATTCGCGCCGCGGTAGTTCAGTCGCCTCAGCACATCAATCTGTCCGACACACAGCGAGACGCGCCACACATCAGTCACTGAAGCCTACACGGGCAGGGAAGCAGCGAACACGCACCACCTTCGCCCGCTCAAAGCCAAGCGCCTCGAACTGCGCGACGTGCGCCCTGTCCAGCCCCGCCATCGCGATCTCGTCCCGCTCCGCGGCCTTGCCGACCTTCCCCGCGACGTTCTTGCCACCCCCGGGGCCGCCGGCGTACACGGATGTCCAATAGCGCGCAGTGTCCTCGAAGCTGCTCTTGCTGGTCATGTAGTGCTTCGCGACCTCGGCGTCCTGGGGATCACGGGGCTCGGGCGAGCATAGGAGGGACTGGAGGGAGATGAGCGTGCTCTTCAGCGTGAGCACCGGCGACCACGCGTCCTTGAGGATGTCGAGGCAGATGGCGCCCGACGCCGAGGACACGTTCGGGTGGTACACTTTCGTGATGAACTTCATCTTCACCGGCTGGAAGGGGTAGTTGTCAGGGATCGCGATGTCCTGCGGGCGGGTGGCGATCAGGTGAGTACACGGGGTGGAGGCACCGGTGGCTGGGGTGTGCGTACGACTTGGAAGCGGCCGCCCTCGTACGGCGTGTCTTCTGGGCCGTCAAACCCGCCGATGAGGTGGAACGGGCTGTCATCTACGAGGTCGATGGTGATCTTGGATGACTTGTCGTTCTTGCAGTCTAGCCACACCCGCGCGGGTCGATGTGAGCGAAAGTGGCTCTCGATCTCGGTGGATGGCGGCGCACCTGCAATCTCCTTATTTACTCTGCGTAGTCTGGCGTCCATCGTGGTCTAGTCGTGGGGTCGTATCGATACAGAGGATGGGGGAGGTACAGCACGGAATTTATACAGGGTGTGGCGGTCGTGGACGTCGAGGTCAAGGCTTGTTCGGCAACGCCCGCGCGAAGGGCTTTGGCGACTTTTTGGCGGCAACCTTCTCTCGTTCTCCCGCCATCTCCTCCGCTCTTTACAACAAAAGACCCATCCTTTTGTTCATGGCTTGCTTCAGAAACCCGTTTCTTCAGGGTGCATATTTTCGAGATGATTATTGTGATAGCGCGCTACCGTTCTGCACACCCGCTTCAGCGCACCCAGGCTGGCCCACACCGTGAGGTACGTAAAATGCACTTCAGGGATACAGCGATACGACGATACTGATGGCAAACGCAGTATGCCTGTGCATCTGTGAAGCCGTTACGAGTTCCTGTTGCACTTATTTGAGGGATCACCGCTTGCTCTGGGAAACTTCGCCTCATGGTTCTTCATCCCACACCCTGCCATAGGAACCTTGGGCGAACTAAGTCAGGACATCTAATGCCCTGCGGCCCATTTCTACGGCTATACACTTTCCGGCTTCTGCCTCCAGCGACATCATGCGTCTACTCGTTCTCCCACGTCCACGCAAACGGTCCGCCAAACGCGCCGTACCAGTCATCTGACGCTATTCCGAGAATATTCAACCCTCTCCCAAGGCCTTCCGTATCTGCACATCTTCTTGTTACGCTCTGCCCGGACTCACCTAGGTGCTGAGATGTACACTACTGCCTCCGTCTTTTTCAAGACCCTCACAGATGCGGGAATCACCCACGCCTTCGTGAACTGGGGTAGCGACCATTCCGCGTTCCTGGAGGATCTGCACCGGCAACGTACCGAGCTCGGGAAGACGGTCGTCGAGATCGTGACCTGCCCGAGCGAGTATGTCGCGCTCACTGCCGCGCACGGATATGCGCAGGTCACTGGCAATCCCGCGGTGGTGATCGTCCACGTCGATGTCGGAACACAGGCGTGTGTCTCCCTAGATCTCCATGAAATTCGTCGGCATTTACGGGTCCTATCAGGCACTGGCGGGCGCCGTTCACAACGTCGATAGGGGCCAGGCTCCTGTCTTAATATTCGCGGGATCTTCGCCATTCAGTGCCAATGGCGAACTGCGGGGCACCAAGAACGAATTCATAATGTGGATCCAAGGTAGGCTCCGTACTATCTCAAATGCATCGTCTATACCTGGTCTATCTCTGTCTAGATGTCCCAGATCAACCTGCTATCGTACGGCAGTATATGCGCTATGTGGGCCAGATTCATAGCGGGAAGAACGCATCGAAGGTGATCATGCGAGCTCTACAAATGTATGTATACTGCACTTCGTGCGACTCTCAAACTGACGAGCCTCGGGAAGCGCCACGAGCCAGCCCAAAGGGCCAGTATACCTCTGGGCGCGGCGCGAGGTTACAGACGAGGATGTTGATGAGGCGACCATGAACGCGATCGTCCCGCTGCAGAAGTGGCCATCGGTTGCACCTCCGGCGCTCACACCGTACGGTAAGTATTAGTTATTTTCACTCAATCCGATGGGTATTGACGATGCATTCAGCGGTCGAGACTATCGTTGCCGCGCTCACCCAGGCAGACTATCCGCTCATCGTCACCGCGAATGCAGGCCGGAACCCCGCCGCAGTGCCCCTCCTCGCCGAGCTCTCCAACGCCCTCGCGGCCGGTGTCATCTCCTGCGCTCCGTCCTCGCTCGCGCTCCCGTCAAGCCACCCCTACCATCTCGGCTACTTCTTCGGCGGGAAGCTGCCCTACCTGCCCGACGCGGATGTCGTCATCCTGCTCGACGTCGACGTGCCGTGGGTCGACGTGAACGACAACGCGCCGCGCGAGGGCGCGCGCGTCTTCGTCATCGACACGGACCCGCTCAAACGCACCTTCGGCTGGTCGCACGTCGACGCCGAGATGCTCTGCACAGCCGATGCCGCAACCGCCCTCCTCCAGCTGATAGAGGCCGTCCGCGCCTCTGACGCGCACGCCTTCAGTGCCAAGCTACAGGCGCGCAAGCAGCTCCTCGATGCATCCCGTGCGACATGGCGCGCGCAGCTGTCGCACGCAGAGACACTCCTGGCGCCCGATAGAGTCAAGCCCAGCGTGCCGTTCCTGCTCTCCGCGCTGCGCACGGCTGTGTCTGCGGGGACGCCGAGCGCCGGGAAGAAGGTGCTGTGGCTGAACGAGGCGGCGAGCGCGTCGGGGCTGATCTGGAACCATATTGGGGCGGACACGCCCGGGAGCATGTTCATGTCTGGCGGGACGAGCCTCGGGTGGGTGTTGGGGGCGAGCGTGGGGGCGTCGATTGGCGCGAAGGTCGCGGGCACGGGCGTCGAGCTTGTGGTGTCTCTTACTGGCGACGGCAACTATCTCTTCGGGGCGCCTGCGGCGACCTTTTGGGTGGCGAGACGGTATGATACAGTGAGCGCACAGCCTTCGCCGCTAGTAAGAACTCATATTCTAATGACCGCCCGTATAGCCGTTCCTCATGGTCATCCTGAACAATCGCGGGTGGTTTGTACGTATTGTTCTCCCTCCTGGCAACAACCTGCTTCTCACTCGTTTTTACAGAGCCCGAAGTATTCGATGCGAGCTATGCATCCCACGGGACTTGGAAGCGCGGTCTCGGGCGAGAAGCTGACCGTCGGGTTCGGAGAGGAACATAACGCGGACTATGCGGGAGTCGCCGCGGCTGCTGGTGGCGCATGGGCACGGCAGGTCGCGCGTGCAGACGAGCTACGGGGTGCATTCGAAGAGGCGATTAAGGTCGTCATGGAGGAACGAAGGTGTGCGGTGATTGACTGCATCATCGAGTCGATCTAGGATGATAGTTGTCCAGTCGGTGCGGTTGTGGCAGCTACCGCGGGTGCTTGTACGAGGCTGGAATGGCGTTTCTGTAGACGGGAGTCTGCCCGCAAATCGAAGCGTTGGCTCTATTTATTTTGTTGACTTGGGACCCTAGGGCGACATCCAGCGGCACTTTAGTAGTAGTTGAGCGTGTATAGCAGAAACATCTATGGTGCTATTGTACATCGAGTTCGTGACTAATCACGTCGGCGAGAGAAATCCCGAAGCCCACTTCCAAGACGCAGATCACAAAGAAACGTAGGCTCCTCTATTTCCTAGGCAGTATACGTACGAGCATGTACACCAGCAAGCCGACAAAGCGAAACACTGCGACGGCACGGTCCTGTCAGCTGGTACGTATTTCAGACGATGAATAGTACGACTTACGCGCAAACCCGGCGAGAGAGTAAAGGATGAAGCCCAAAAATCCGTCGACGGTGTTGTGCACGCCCTTGTCAGCCGCCTTTCCTGTCGCGGAGCTGAAATCTGAAGTTCAGCCATTCGTGACCAGGCCTCTCTTCACGCAAACGACACACATGGTGATAGCCGCTAACAGTGCCTGCGAAACCGCGATGACGGGAGGTCAATCAACGTACCCAAATCGTGGGTCAAAATTTACTCACATTTGTGAGCATCCACGATAGCAGGACCTAACGAACTCCCGCATCTTAGTAACATGACACGGCATCCGTAAATAGACTTAAATCGTACCCTGTGTGGAGAGCGTCAGCGTGTGGAAGGAGCCGTAGCGGAGGATCCTCACTGTGATCTAAATTTTCTAGGACGGTCGTTCTTTTGTGCGTCTGAGTCCAGGTGCGCTTCGTCCCGGCCTTTTAGTCCCTTGACCGCGGCGTCATACTCCAAATCCTTGGCGGCGGCGGCGACCTCGGAGGCGGTGCGGTGGACTGTTTTGTCCTTCTTCTTCCTCGTTGAACTCGTCGCCTTCGTCTCGTGTGTGGGGGGAATAGTTTTGGGTGTACTCTTTTCATCGCGGGCCTTTGTTCCCCATGACACGTCACTGATTGGTTGATTATAATGTCAGCCGGGCGGACAGGGCAAAGGTTTTAAGGGCCGCACTGAACGTTGGCAAACTGTCGATTGAGGTCATTAGCATGACCTTCTGCCGCTGGACGGGGACAGACGTACTGCGTAGACACTGAGCACGGAGACATATGAAGGGGCGATGAGCAGATATTGTATCAAGGATGTGGCCATGTGCCACGGCTCGAGCTGCAACCTGTGTGTCAGTATCAAATACAAGCGAACAAGGCACAGCAGATACGGACGCATATGAGCGAAGCAAGACAGTACAGCCCAAGAGTCGCCAACAGAGGTATGGCGATATTCCTGAAGATTGAGTTCGCGAAGAGGGTGCTAAGCCTGAAAGGCCGATCGTTCTTGACCGCATGAGTGATCTCGTTGATCGTGATATATATCGCCGCAGCCTGTACGCATCGCATACACATTTTAGCCCACCTTGGCTTGATCAAGCAATAGAGGAGAACGCACCGTCATATACACCGTGATGACCCCGAAGCCGATGAGGGCCATTGTATAACCCCACCTTGCCCCCTGCGGCCGATTGCCCAGAGCGAGGACAATGCAGACAATGAGTAAGCCGAGATACAAGTAATTGAAGATGACGTTGAGACGGTGAACGCTCCGTCCAAGGTTGAACGACGGGTCCTCCAAAGACTCGCTGAGGATGCTGAACGAGATGTAGTAGATTCCCTGCGTCAAGTTCCTGAACACGTTGGTCGTATCAAGAATAAGTAATGTCATCACTTACGAGAGCGAACCAGGAGAACACGAGGTTGAAGCATTGATACACTAGCTCGATGTGGAACCAGAATTTGCGTAGCCAGGAGTGCTTTGAGCGATAGATGTAGTAGAAACGAATTATGCTGTGAAGAGCTCCAAAGAACGAGCCGTTCGACCACCGACGCCGCTGACTGATTAATTCAGGAACCTGACCAGACGTCAGCACCCAGTCTACCGTTGTGTATGTGCAGCTGTGTAGTATACACGTACCTCTTTTGGGACATCCGTGACAGCATATGCGGACTGGACGTAGTGGAGGAGCCACTTTTCATCCCGCCTCGAGACTATTTCCCAGCACAAAATCTACCACGCTTGCGTCGGGAAGTGTGTCTTACGCAAGAACTGTCCTTGTAACTTACTCGATCCTCTGCTAGGTACATGTTCGCGCGGAACATGCTCCTCTTAGCCTCCGCGCCACTAGCTCCGTACTAGTAGCACATAGTCAGCAAGCAATCTCGTGAAGTAGAAAAATGTACCTTACTTTCTCTTCACCAAGGAAGTACTTCTGCAGTGGGCCTTCACCATCCGGGTCGTTCTGCACTGCCGTGTAGCGGTATGCGCTGAAAGCGCCAGGCAGAACGGTGATGTAGCCGAAGATCGACTCTCTGCAAGAACAGGAAGTTAGCCCACTGTGAGGTCATTATCATCCCGAGTCTACTCACAGAGGTTTGTCAAGAATGTTCGACATCTTGTACTCAAAGTTCTGCGCAGCTACTGTCAAAAAAAGGAGTTAATGTTCCGTCGTACCTGCAGTACGTCGACAACGGTGTCTTACCAAGGGGATTGATCAGGTTCCGCATGTACTTGCCTTTCAGCGCAATAATTTCGCCGCAAGCTCCACCGACCTGACGGTTGGTGTCAAACGCCTTCCACAAATGGTAGATCGACCTGGATCCGGGCATCGTGCCGACGTCCAAGAGAACACAGACGTTTGGCTGGAGGATCCGCCCGAACGCGTTAAAAAACCACCGGTGCGAGTTGATCTTTTTCTCGTTGTTCTCCTTCAGGCAGAAGATGACCTGCACTGGTTCAATTCCGTATTTCGCGCCTTGAATTTTCATTGTCTCCGTCACAGAAACTGTGCGAGGAATTCAACTGCATATCACAGCCTAGTAGCGGAGATGGCCCCCCCTTACCTTGCGTCGTGTACTCGTAAATGTGTGCAGTCACAGGCTCTTCGCTGGGGCGGCTGTCCTTTTCCTGTAAGACTAGTAAGCCTTGGTATGCGCGTGAGAGTGCAGAAACTGACTGACTATATCCAGATATACTCCCATCGCGGTGAGAGCACATAGCGTGCGCGGATCGATTTCCTGTCGTCCGTCAGACACAATGCATACAACTACTTTCTGCCAACTCCCTGGTCCCCACATCTTGTCCCCTTCGCGTTCACACAGATATGCAATGTTCTCCATTACGCTACGCATGGTCTGGCAGAATAGCTTCACGTCCTCGTTGAACATCGTAATCACGATGAATAACTCCGTGACGCGAGCGGGCCGGAGTTCGACCTGCCGCAGCGTGAAATTGTCCTTGAAATCATCCGGACCACACGTCACCGCAGAATACCTCACATGCGTAAACTCTGAGGTCTTTGGGAGTTGCTTGGCACACATGCCCAACACCGCGCCGGGTACTGCTTCCAGCGAGGACCGTTGCAACTTCGCGGCGTGTAGGGTTCGGTCAGGATCGGTAAGCGTCGGTATCGTACCGGATTTGAAGGGACTGTTTTGGTGGGCCATAGAAGCCGATGCGACAGAGATGCCTACGACGGGAGCAATGTCCGGTTCGGAAGATCTGGGAGGCCCTGGGGAAGACTGAGGAGCAGACTCCTCACGCGCACGGATAGGTTGGACAGATTTCGTATGTCCCTTGGAATGGGACGGGTTATGCGATGAAGACTTTGAGAGCGGGGGAGCGGGGGGGAGTGATGGTGACAGGGTGGCTTCGAACGACGGTCCAACAGGGGGCGCCGGCAGGAGTCGGGGCGAGTCGCTGGTCACCAATCGTGGCGAGGCTGAGACAGCTTGGCCTATCTGCATATTTTTAAGACATAGACCGCGGTAAAGCACGATAATCTCACATCTGTGGGAGGCATCGTGTTCTGAAGCTTTGTAGCACAACTATGAGTCGACCTCTACGAGCTCTGTTAGCGTAGTGTTGTCCCAGCCGTCGTCGGGAGACTCACCGGTTCAGTGTTTGAGAGAGAGTTGGGCCAAGCTCGGGGAACAAAAGATGGGCATTTTATAGACACGGAGCCGCCCGAGAACCGCAGGCGGGCGGTAGACTGTACGAGCACTGGTCTAACACAATGAGTAATAGCGTGTCTCCACCGCCGGAGTTTGGAGGGTTGTGTCGCACAACGATCCACATTGAAGTTTCTTCCACGACGGTGGCGGTCCTCATGGTGAGTACCAAGGTTCACGAAGGAGAAACATGAGAAATGTACTGCCTTTTTTCCCGAGATAAGATGGTGAGATAAGATGGGAATATATCATTGTGGTGGACGTGGTGGATGTGGCGCAATTGGATGCGGTGCGAGACGTTGTCGTGAGCGAAGTCGAGGCCGAGGCCGATATCGGATGCCCAAGGCTGCTCGACGGGGTCGTCCAACTACTCCATCCAATCGTTATAAAGGGTGAAGGCCTGATGTCTATACAGTACTCAGTGAATGGTGTGGACGGCAGCGGACCCCAAACCTTCAGCAACCGCGGATTATTTGATCGAAGAGGGCGTGAATGTCGATGAGCCCTACTAGTTTGCCACGTAAAATCCGGGGACGTCGGCAGGAAGACCGCTGCTCCAGCTGTATATGTGTGGTAAATCTCCTGTAGCCACAGGAAATCAAATGCGGAGAGCGTACATATAAAATGTGCCAGCCAAAACTTGGGGGGACTTGTGCTGCACTTGAGCGCTGTGAGAGATACATATGAGCGCTTTGTGAAGGATACGCTTGCCGAGATGCCGAGCATACGTCCGCCAGCGCTTTAGCCTTTGGGCGCTTATAACATCGTGACCGTCCGCTTGAATGGCAGGATGCGCATGTGGCCTGAGGCCTGAGGTCCTGGCACTGCAAACGTTGAAGTTGCCCAACGTTGTTTTAGTTGTTCAAAATCCGAGTCATAGACCGAACACGCTATGTATCCCACGGGCCTTGGAACCGCCGTCTCGGACGAGAAACTGACCGTCGGGTTCAAGGGGGAACTCAGCGCGGACTAAGTACGCGGGACTCGCCACGGCTGCCGGTGGCGCACGGGCTCGGCAGGTCGCGCGTGGGAATGAGCTGCGGGGTATGTTCGAGGAGCCGATGATGGTGATCACGGAGGAGCGGAGGTGTGCAGTAATCGACTGTATCGTCGAGTCGATCTAGACACAAACCATATCGCTGTGTCTACACGATTTACGGTACAAGGGCGCATCACAGTTGTAGCTTCACCATGGGATAGTCTCGCCATTGTAGCGCAGGTACTTGCCGCTGTCGGTGGTGGTCGCGGAGGTGATTATCTTGAGGATACCCGAAACGCTCTCGTGCGGCTCGAGCTGCGCTCCCTCGCCACCCATGTCTGTTCAAAACATATATGAGCATACAGAGTCTAATGCAGTGCTTGTGCTCGACCACGCACCTGTCTTAACCCATCCAGGGCACAAGGTGATGACCGTAAAATCTGGGCGCTCCAGCTTCTGTTTGTACGCCTGTAGTGAAGAAGTGATATACGCAATGAGGAAAACAATGGCGTATAGGCTCGTAGAAAACGAGTAAGAACGCACGAGCATGTTCAAAGCAGCCTTGGTCATGGAGTAGGACCCAAAACGTGCGCCGACATGGCCTGCGGTCCCGATGCTCCCCCCAGTGCTCGAGATATGCAGGATCTTCTTTTCCGTGCCTTTCTCGAGAAAGGGAAGGGCTACCTGCGAGACCAGCGCAGGGCCGACGGAATTCGTCTTAAAGGTGTCTAGAAGCCCTTCCGCCTCCATGGTGAACACGGTATCGAGAGGTCCCTGCCGCGGGACGGCAGAAATATTAGTTGACGTGATATTGTGCGGCTTGGGGGCTGATGGATGATGGCACGTACAACAGCAGCGTTGTTGATGAGGTATTCGAGGCCACTGTCGCCGAGGATCGCCTGTAGATCCTTCGCGGACGCTCGGATGCTCTCAAAGTCGCTGACGTCGAGCTTGATAACGTGCAGCGTCCCTTTCGCTGTCTTCTGCAAGTCCTTTAGAGCGGTCGCCTTTTCTGGAGTACGAGCAGCCGCTACGACGACATTGGTCGGAGACGAGAGCAGCTGCCGCACGATCTCGAAACCAATGCCGCGGTTTGCTCTAAAACATACATGGACCATATGTTAATCGGCCCGAGTCCTCAAGGCGAAGTATACACGGTCACTCACCCGGTAACGAGCCAAGAGGTAGGACGAGCTGTGGACATCGTGGTTTCGTCAGGCAATGTGAACGGATACGAAATGTGTTGATCTCATACTGACCTGCTCTCATCCTGCTATTATACTATGAAGTCCGTGAGACAACTGTGAGATGGTGATTCTAGCGAATGCCGATCGGGCTTTGGGATAGTAGAGAGTCTGTCCGTCCTTCGCGCTATGCTGTGCAAAATGTGTCAAGAGTATTTGAGACGAGCTGCGAGTCCGTCCGTCTTATGGGTGAGTCGGTAGTGAACGCGTGAATTGGCATCGTTTTCGCCGGTCCAACGTCCGGGGAGTTGCAGATCACGCTGCCTATCCACCAGTGTCTATATATATCGGCAAGGCTGTTAGGCATTTGTAAAATCTGTTTCACCAGCAAGTAAGCTTGTATCGTGCTTACCATGGCAGTACTATTTGAAAGCGACGTCACTCGGACCGGGGATACACAGTACGGCGCGCACTAGGAACTGCAGATACACCGCTGCCAACACTGTGAACGAGGCGTTCATTCGTGGTTCAGTATCTTTTTTTGCAAACTGGACCATCCTGTGGACTCACAGAACACCACATCAGAAGGACTCTGAAGGAGATGGCGGTGAGAGAGTAAGCGACGATAACCCACTGGTGGCGCTGTCTGGATGAGCGTCTAATCCCCTGCAACCACTCTCTTCCTGCCACTCACTCATGTACGTGCTCCCTCATCCACTCGGTATTAACCGCGATTGACACATTAACAAACTGTTCTAAATTCACAGTAATATCAAGAAAACACTCTGATCGGTCGAGCAATCGCTTCCCTGCTTTGAGTACTACATGATAAAATACAGAGGGGTATCCAAGTCCGACAATGCAAGCCGCGAAGTTACAGCACCACTTGACTTATGGAGTCCGCTCCAATCTATTATCATTCTATCATGTACGCATCCCCCGCGCTCACAGTTTGAAAGACTCCGTCCTTGTCCGCGCGTAGGTCGAGTGCACCACGGTCTAGAGCGACATACGCCCGCCTCAACGAAGGAATCTCTTGCACCATAAGGCGAGCGAGGTCCCGGGCCTCCTCGGCCTTCATGCTAGCATTCCAGAGTGCCGGAGCACGCTCTATGCGATAGGGCAGGGACTCCGCCTCTTCAAGCCTCTACAACGACCGATGTCAGCGCCGCGTCATACGGTCCCGTACACTGTGTTGCACAAGCGAGACGTACCTCTTCGAATTCTTGCGCTAAGTCTTCGTCTTGGTACTCAGCCTCCCAGCAGACGATGCTTGCCTTTGCCAATACAAGGGTGTGTAACTGGCCTTCAGGCGTCACGATCTTTTCGTCCGACGGCCTGTCAGCCCGAACTGCGGCAGCCAAGTAGCCGAAGCCCGGAAACTGTGCAGGATATCAGCGCGAAGATCCTCCAGAGATGACTCAATGCCCGCACCACATGTGGTAAGAAGTGCTGGCACTGCGTATCCTCTACGCCAAGGTACAGCAGTTTCGGGCAGCGCTGCACGATTGCGTGCACGAATCGCGGTACGTGCAGCACCACGAGTTCCGGGAAGCACATGCTGACGCTCAGGCCAACAAGCCGTGCCCCCAGGTATGCGCACAACCCCACGATCTCGCACATCGTCCACCAGTTCGGGTGCCGCGCGTGGCCGTCAAGGCCAACGGTGGTGTAGATTGCGTGGCCGTGCGGGTCCCCAGGGCGTACGTCGTCGAGCTGGAGCTTGAGCCGCGTCAGGTTCGTCCACACGTGCTGCGGGATGGAGTGGCGGAAACGCAGCGCGACGCCGGCGTGCGCCCAGTCCTCCCAGCGCTGCACGATGTACGCGGGGTGCATGCTGTGCCGCACGAGTGCCCACGCGAGCCTGCTCGTCAGGTAGGGGCGCGTGCCACACCGGTAGCGCTCCCAGTCCCAGTGGGTGCGCGTAGCAACACCGAGCTTCAGGGTGGGCGCGATGGCGCGTGCCTCCTCGGGGATATCCATGTCTGGGTCGGCGAGGGAGCGCACTTCCGTGGCGTCGATGCGCCCCCAGTCGCGGAACCAGAACACCCTGTCCCCGTCGCCGACATTGTACAAAGCGGCTGGCTCTGACATTTGCCGCAGGAACATCCGAGGATCAGGGTGGGTTGCATCCTGTTCGTTTAGATCCACGTCGGTGGTATTGCAGGGCGATTCGCATAGGTGTTCGTATCCCGTGACTTGTCCGAAGTGCGCTGCGGGGCATTTACTGGAGAGGATGACGGTGTCGGTGCCTCCTAGTATGGCTTCTGGCATTTCGACTTGGTTGGATTGGACTGGCGTGGTAAGTGAAGGTAGGTGTTGAGAGGAATACGCGTATAGAGCAGATGGGATTGGAATTGACTATCGCGAATGGCACACTGTATATACTCCTCTGGCGTAATTGTACTAGTACTCAGCGCCCGAGAAGCCCGTCGCCATGGTGTATGTAGTACTCCAGATTACAAGGACGTCAGATATCCGCTCACACACGCGCCCACAGAACGAAGCTGGGCTACTGGCACAGGTGTAAGAATGTCCATAAGCTGATGTCAAAAGTCATAGTAGAGTACAAGGCACTCCGCGTACATAAGTACAACAACGCGTGCATGCTTCTCTGAACTACGCGCAACAGAACAGCATGTATAGATGCCGAGATAGGACAATATCCTCGCGACCGGCTAATTGCCCATGCCCACGTCTATCCCACTGGCATGCGAGAAGTTCTCAAAAGAGGAGCCCTGGGAGAGGTCACGACTGTCTTGTCGGACGTGGTACTCCCGTCGCTGTTGATGCACACTTCAAAACAAGGCGACATAGCAGCGTTTATCACTTGTGGCAGGGTGGCGGGCATGTGTCCGTACGAGCGAGGTCCGAGCATGTCTTGTACAGTGTAGCGCAGAGGTCCTTGAGTTTGGCCGGCGCGATGGCAGCGTGGGCGTCGCCTGCAAACACGGGCATAAACTCGATGTCCTTGTACATGCGCAAATCTACGCTGCCTTGGTCCAGCACGACGTATGCACGTCTGAGCGAGGGGAACCTCTGCATCATGAGTGCTGCGAGTACTACACACGCTTCCTCTCGCATTATACCACGGATATACATATATATCTTCCAAGCGTGAACAAACCTTCGCGAAGGAGATCCTGCATGATCACATCACACGTGTCAGTAATGACCACAGATAAGACGCCGAGGGACCTATCGTAAGTCGCGTTCACGATGTTTCTCCCATGTTTCCTGCAGCAACATAGCGGACCTCGCATTAGGCAATCTGTTCCCTGTCTTTCGCATCGAAAACATGCCTCCTGCGCATGCCGTCAGGCGGAGATTTAAAGGAGGAAGGCGTTCTCTCAACACCTCGAGACTCCCGCATCTCCCACAAGCACTGCGCCACTCACCATCCAAATCGCAAGATGGTCGAGCCCGACGGCCCTGTCACTATCTACATCAGATACAGCCGCTCGCCTTCTCCATGGGATGACGAGGAGTGGAAGCTCATGGGGCCGAATTCGTTGATCCTTCGACACCGGCATTGGGCGCAGTGGCAGAAACACCAACAACAGCTTGAGCAAAGGTGAGTTGTACGATACGCGCGGTGAGTACTGGGAGGACGTACTAACCATCAGAAGGCAGCCGAGTGACCAGCCCCCAGCTGCGCAAGATACCCGTGGTATCTCAGCGCACCCTGCATGGAACAGAGACAAAGACCTTGTGAGCAGGTATCGCTCCCACATATACGCTTTGCTCATCCTTTGTGGGATATTAGCCACCTCTTCCTTCTGAAGCCTACGACAGCAATCCTGGGAGTGCGAGTCATGTCGATGGCCTACTGGAAGCCTCCACCGTCGAACCTATCGACCCGCCGGTCCACAACGTAGAGTCTTCGTGCATTCGCAGTGCTTCAACGCCGCCCATTGCCGCCTCAATCGTGGTGCCGCCAGTTCTTGCTACGTCAAGCGATGCGCCGACGCCAGGCCCCTCTCAGCCTGCACGGCAAGCGCAGCACGGCAACGTATATTTAAGCTCTATTGTGCCTTCGTAAGTCATGTCTCCCACTGGTTAACGACTCTCGATCTGACTTGTGCTCACCTTACCAGCAGTCGCCAGGAGCGAAGCATCCGCAGCCGAGGCGAGAAGACCAGCTGGTTCGCATCCTCGGGCAGCGAGCGGCTACAGGCTCCTCCACCAATTCCCCAGGCGTGCGTTTGCGACCTGTACGTGCATACCTGGCCGGGCGGGCGGCAGGCGTGGATCTTCGATCCAACGCCGCAGTGGTCCTCAGTCGAGCTGGGCGCTCGGCATCCCTACCTAAAGAGCTATATTCTCAGCTTCTACGCTAACGGAGACCCGTCGTGGGTGACCAGGGACACCATGACGACCTACAGAGGCCGCATGAAGAAACGCGAGCGGAACAAAGGTCAGGAAGTCTCTTATGCGACTTTTCCGGCTGGTGAGTCCGATACGTTGTGCGCGCCATCATGGACTTCTCACATAGGCGATTAGCACCGTGAGCGAAGCACCGACCTCAACGACCTACATGCATCAATCCAAGCGACATTATGGCATAACCGGCCGGCCCACAGGGGGTTCATTCGCAACCACAGTGGAGGAGCAGGGGGAAGCTGACTGTATGCGCCCGCCTTTGTCTATAGAAGAAGGCCGGCACATTATACTGTACATTATACTGCTCGCTGTCAGCTACAGGTACGCGAAGGAAGAGACACTGAACACTCACAATACACTGCCTTGTCGCGCGAAGCGCCTTATACCCAGTCGCGCGCGGTCTTGAGCACCTCCATCAACTTGCCCTCGCGCGACTCCGGATCCGTTCCCAGCTCGCTCATATATTCCCACCGCGCCGTCTCCGGGAGGCTCATGAGAATGCTCTCGATCCGCGCCCCGGGCGTCATCAGCCCGAACTTCGTCCCACGGTCGTAGACGAGGTTGAACTCCACGTAGCGGCCACGTCGCACGAGCTGCCACCGACGCTCGTGCTCATCGCTCGGTGTCCGGATGCGTTTCTCGAGGATCGGGATGTATGAGGGCACGAACGAGTTGCCCGCCGCCTTGAGGAACGCGAAGATCTCCTCAGGCGTCTTCGGGCGCGCGTCGTCTGCGCTAAACCGTTTGTGCGGCTCGTCACAGAGGTCGTCGAAGAAGATGCCGCCAAGGCCGCGCGCCTCGCCGCGGTGCGGAATGAAGAAGTACTCGTCGCACCATTTCTTGAACGTCGGGAAGACCGCCGCGCCGTGCGGGTCGCATGCATCCTTGATCGTGCGGTGGAAGTGAACCGCGTCCTCTTCGTAGAGGTACGAGGGGGTGAGATCGGAGCCGCCCCCGAACCACCATGCGATGAGCTTGCCCGGCTTTCCCGCCGCCGTCTCCTCCTCGGTGGGCGGCTGGGTGATCTCGAAGTAGCGGTAGTTGGCGTGCACTGTGGGCGCGTGCGGGTTGCGCGGGTGGATGACAAGACTGATGCCCGCCGCGAAGAAGGGCACGCTCGACTGCAGTTCGGGGATGGAGGAGTGGTCGGCGCGCATCTGCTTGATGGCGGGCGGGGGGAGCATCCCATGCACGACGGAGATGTTGACGCCGCCTTTCTCGAGCACCGTCTCCTGCGGCGCGACGCCAGTTGGGGGCACGGGGACCGCGAAAACGCAGGAGAGGCCGCGGCCGCCCTGCGCGCGGAGCCAGGAGTCGCGCTTGAACTTGGGCGCGTTCGGGTCGAGTTTCTCCAGTGCGTCGACGATCTCATCTTGGAGGTTGGAGATGTACTCTTCGACGCGTTGTCGCATAGGAATGTCGGCCATGATGGTTGAGAGTGCGCCGTGCGCGTGTGTGTGGGTACGGAGTAAGGGGCGGATTTTATATGCGCCCACCAGCCACTGCCGCCTCCCGGCCCCGTTCCCGGCTCGTCTCGACCGGCTCGATCCAGAAACTACGGCGGTGCATACCTGGACACATTTTAACTCCGGCAATCGTACGATGGTGATATTTGGCAGAGTACGGGGATACCGGGGGAGGCAGCGACGAGGAAGAGAGTAAGGTGCGGTGAATATACTTGCGATTTTGTAGACCGAAGTGTGATATTTGTTGTCTCTTAAGTCTACCATATATACCAGTTACAAATGAACTCAGTTGTAAAGTCTTCATATCCAATGGCCCTATAGCTAGCTGCAAAGCTGACACCAGGTTACTGACTCATAGACGCTTACGTTCGAATCCGCCGCAAGGCGACTGTTTTCTTCCACCGCCCCCCTGCTTTTTGCACCTTTGAACACTCTCGTCTGGCCGGCTGGAGCTTCTGATCAGATGTATTCTATGGGATATAAACCTCGTTCCAGGAGGCTCGACGGCGCAGTGTACTAACACTCAACACAATGCATACTGATATATTCGACTGACATCCAAAGCCAACATATGGGTATATATTTCTGGCTGAGAAAGTATTTCAGCGACGATGATCGGGATGGTTACTTAGGAAAATAAGCCGCGTGTACGACACAGCGCCTTGAACATCCTCGTCCGAATGGTGCATCGGAAGAGGATAAGTAGTCCTTTGGAAAACACCTTAGCAACACTTGGGACGTTGCGAGATGTTGAAGCGGGCGCGGAACACTGACGCAATGAGGGTCCCAGAAGATCCCGAGGTACTTAGCATCTATCGGCTCACAAAGGCGAGTATTTGCCACTAACGTAGGGGTATATATCGGTTTGAAAGCCGCTGCTTTTGTAGAGCTGGGGGCCCCGCTCTCAAACTGTCAACATGAGGACGTCCGGATGCCAAAGAATGTTTGCACTGATTAAAGAGATTATGTCGCTGCCTCTTCACCCTCGACTTCGGAGATCTCGAATGTCGTACCCACTGAACCCGCAGGACGCCGGTGCTGTCCGCATCTCACATCTCTCACCTCTGGAAAAATAGAAGGAACATATATTCAGCTCCTCTGAGTCCACGAGTGTACTTCGCTAACACCACTACAGCTCCACAATTAGACTTGAACCGCACTCGCGCATCGACCGGAGCAATTCTTTGTTTAGCAATGCCCGCAACTCTCATTAAGTTACGCTAATGGGCACTCGGCATCCCAGAGTGCTCTTTATAACAACACGTCCAAAGTGCACACCATATACAGCAGATCTTCGTCAAGCCTTGTGACCGACCTTTATATGCATTGTTGCTGGTGCCGGTCGCGAAGGAGGGGAGTGTCCAACTCATATTGCGGTGTGCAATGCTGCCAAATTACCAAATGCGGATGCGCACTTTAGCACCGGCAACGGCCGATGCGGATCCCAAGTCCCCGCACTCTTGAAGCGCCCCAGGCTCTGTGATTCCTTCCCCAGCTCTCCTCGCCGCCAGCATGAGACCGTCTGCAGTACGCTTGCTCAACATCCTCGTTCCTATAAAGCGGTGCGTACAACAGCTCTGTGAATCACGCATGCGGCAGGTGCTGAAAGGGAGCACACAGGACAGTCGACTATGCGGTCAAGATCCGGGTGAACCCTGACCAGAAGGGCGTCGACTTGAATGTCAAGCACTCCATGGTGAGTCCACCGTCACCCTCTATGGTCTCAGGGCCTGCGTCCTGACATCTCCTAGAACCCGTTCGATGAAATTGGTACGTGGAAACGGGACGCTGCTGCGAGGGGGGAACACACACTGACTCGGGCGCCCGGCGTGCAGCGGTCGAGGAAGCCGTGCGGCTCCGCGAGAAGCTGAAGGACGAGGTGAAGAGCATCAAGGTCGTCACCATCGGCCCTCCCAAGGCGGCCGAAACACTGCGCACCGCGCTCGCGATGGGCGCGGACGCGGGCATCCACATCGAGGTGCCCGACGGCGCGGCGGCGCCCGAGCCGCTCGGGGTCGCGAAGGCGCTGCGCGCGGTCATCCGGCGCGAGAAGGACAGCGTGGACCTGGTGATCATGGGCAAGCAGGCGATCGACGACGACGCGGGGCAGACGGGCCAGATGCTCGCGGGCCTCATGGACTGGGCGCAGGCGACGTTCGCGAGCAAGCTCGTGGTGGACCCGAAGGCGAAGGAGGCGTCGGTCACGCGGGAGATTGACGGTGGGCTGGAGGAGCTGAAGTGCCGTCTACCATTGGTTGTCACGACCGACCTACGGTGAGTCCCATCCGGTCATGCGGGATTGTATATATACCTGAGTGCGCATTTTTGCAGGTTAAACGGTACGTCCTATGAGCAGTAGTTGCCCCGAGGAGGCACTGACATTCTTCGCAGAGCCCCGGTATGCTTCATTGCCGAATATCATGAAGGCGAAAAAGAAGCCCATCCAGAAGCTCACCCCGGGCGAGCTCGAAGTCGACCTCGCACCAATTCTCGAGACTCTCAAGGTTGCAGAACCACCAAAGCGCGTTGGAGGAGCGAAGGTTAGCCGAAGTTCCTCGAAACGTGTACACGGCCTGATCCATTTTCTCCTACAGGTCGAGAATGTGGACGAGCTCATTGCAAAGCTCAAGGAGGCTGGAATTACCGCAGTCAAGGCATAGTCTTAATGTGCCACCCACACGATGTAGATTTCTGCTATGCAAACGCGCAACAGCGTGAAGTAATCCTCCAATTCATCCGGGAGCTTCTAAAGCTCGAGGTCGTACAATACGTCACTGTAAGGCATAATAGCAACATAATGGATATCGTCTCAAAAGGCGTCAGCAACTAGAGGGGGGAGATAAAGTAACCATCCGAAAGCAAATCAAGCGTCCATAACCACGGGGCCCAACCATCTCCGTCGGTGGCGGACAACGTGTGATTTCTCTCCACGCGGGGGGCCATCACGAGAGAATCTGGCAGGGCATTAACAAAACATTGGTATTCCGGCCGAACAACGCGCAACGATGAGGAGAATACGCACTGCCAAGAGGACCACGCAGACGACAACGACTAGGACGAGCATGAGGCAGAGGGCGCGCCGGCCTGCCCGCCGCTGATACTCGTGTGCGGTGGTGAGCTCTTCCGCGGCGCCGGCGGTGTCAACCGCTATCGAGGAGATGTTGGACTCGATGTTGTCTAGTATCAGAAGGTCAAAAACGCCGTCTTGGACGGACTATGGTGTCTGCAGACGCACCGATCATGCCGCCCTGCTCCTGCACGAGCGTGCCGAGGTCACGGAAAATCTCATGAAGCTCGTGAATTCCAGTTTCAATCTCCCGAATCTCGGCCTCCCGTTCCTGGATCATGGACTCTTGGAAGACAAGCTCCTGTGGTGAAAGCTGCGTCTGTAGAATCTGGGCTTGGCGCTGCGAAGGTGTGGGACTTGACGCTCGCTCAAGGTCATGTCTGTGAACAGCGTGTGAGGAGAGAGAGAGAGAGAAGAGTACTGTATATGCGCGTACGTTGCGGCCTCCTCCTCTTCAACAGCAAGCTTGACACCTGCGACCACCGTCCGTTGCCGCTCAATGCTGACCTGCTGCGCACGCTGGAACGCGACAAGCGAGAGCTGGAAGTCGTGCGAAGTCTTCTGCAATGACGTCTTGTACCGCGGCTATGGCCCACCTCTCAGCGGAGGCCCCGTCTAAGTGATTGGGAGAACGTACCAGTACCGCCTGCATGGCTGCGAGCTTCTTCAGGTCGTCCGAGCCACGCTTGGCCATCTGCCGCGTTGACTCCGTGAGGTCATGGCTGCACCACACGCGTTCTCGTCAGTAGCGCGACGCGACAGTCTACAAAGAGTGCTTACAGAGATTTGCGGAGCGTAGCAGAGTCCCTCGCCGTCCCGAGTTGGTCGACCAGCTTCAGGATACCCTGCACATTGGAGTTGATCTTGAAGACCTGGAGCGAGAGCGACGACTGAAGCCCTAGAAAGGCTGTTTCCTCGGGGGACTGGGGCACGCCGGAGCCTGGAGAGAGGGGGCGCTGCGCAAGACCTGATTCGATATCTTGGAAACTCATGGCTGCGAGGGTGGTGGTAGAGGAGGCAGAGGTAGCACAAGGAAAAGGTGGTGGTAGCGAGGAGGAGGGCCACACTGCGCCCGGGTCTCCCGCGGTCCGGCTAGAACAAATACGACAAAACACGACCTCGTCGAGGAAGACGGCGACGAGACGTCTTGTCCTTGTCTTGTCTCGAGAAGTATATCTACCTCAACGTTGGCGTCCTTGTTGTCATCGCAGAACTCCTTGTCACCCACCCACTTGGAGGAGGATGGAACTACTTGTCTAAGTTGTCAGTGACTCCGCTCATCTCACGCAACCGGCGTTTGCGCATGACAGTCGCGAAACAACCCTGCCTGCGGGTCGGGGATCGCGGACTACATTGTAAGCATGGTCTTGCGTGACGAACCGTTATATAAGGCCCATTTGTGAAAAGACGAAGGGATAGTGCATGAGCATAATGCATCATCAGCCTCCTTCGATGCTACCAAGATGTAAAGATCATGCATTCTATCTTCGTATTCGTGTTCGTGTTGCGTAACAAGAACGTGTACTAATTAGATCAACCAAAACAGACATTCAAAGGTGAGCAGAATACGGTCCCCCAGCTTCCGCCTTGACTAAACGAACTAAACGACCTTCGCAGCTTCGCTGCCAGCGCAGAATTCGTCTGGCTCGCCGCGTAATATATCGACGTCATACACAATGTGTACGCCGTCGAACTTCAGCTATTTACGACCATGCATGTCCAGCTGCTCTCCGACTTTTGGGCATGCCAGCGTGAATGACCTAGGTCTTCTGACGTCCGAACGGCCCGCTTCCCGCCCCATGAAGAATATAAGGCCCAGCTAGCAGGCTTTCGCCGCACCCGGTTGTGCCCTCGCCCTCGGTCTCGATGGCAAGATGAGGTTATTCGTCTGGCTTGCGGCCTGCGCGGTCTTCCCCTGTATCTTCGCACTGTCGCCTCCCCACATAGCTTGTCAGCTCAAAAAACCGTCCGGCCTTTCCCCTCTTGCGGGTTGTGCTCCTGGGACTCTCTTTGTGTCTGGAAATGATCCGCGCGCAGATTTTCAGAGCGTTCAAGAGGCTATCACATCTCTGTGAGTAATATGGCACGGTTGCCCTCATGAGAGTCTCATAGCGGTCCAAAGCCCCGAGCGGGGCCCAGCTACGATCCTTATAGGTGCTGGTGAATACCACGAGACAGTTAACATCACCCGCCAGGATCCTGTCACTTTACTGGTGAGCACAATGTCTGAACATATACCGCCTAACCGACTGAAAACATGATAGGGTCAACTGGACCCCGGCACCGCGTTTACCCCCGCAGGAAATGCGTCGACGCGCAATCTGGTTCATATCTGGAACAACCAGTTCGTGGTCAACGGAATGGACGACGCACAGTCGGCAGTCCTGCTCGTCGCGCCGTCCTTCAACGCGTCTCTAATCGGAGCTGGACCCACCGGCGCCCCTTTGCAGCCGCTATTTGGTAACGTCGACTTCAAGGCGTACAACATCGACTTCGAGAACCGTGCGGTGAGACACAACGACGACGCGAGTTTATGCCTTGTTATGCTGAGCTGCAGCAGGCCAACTTCTCTATCTCCCAGGCCCTCGTGACGGATATCTCGTACGCAAACGCGTCATTCTATGGCTGCACGTTTGCGAGCTACCAGGACACATGGTACACGGGCCGCAACGCGAGCACGTATGTCATGGACAGCATCATTTACGGGCAAACCGACTGTGAGCCTGTTTTCCCTTTTATATGTACTGCCACGATTTACAAATTTGCAGATTTGTTTGGCTTCGGGACAGCGTAAGCCTTCCCCCTATGTCCGCGGAGCAGATGAGACGACTAAAAATACGGTACAGGTGGTTTGAAAAGGTCACGCTCGCGAATCGTGCTTGCGGCGGCGGCATAGCCGCGTGGAAAGGCACAAACTTGACAGATGCGCCGGACAACCGGTACGGCGCATATATCTCAAACTCGAGGATCATCCGGGTGCGTCTTCTTGCAATGTCCTCTGTCTGTACGTACGCGTGTTTATCCAAGGACCGCCGGTAGTCCCCAGACGCGAATGCGACCGCCGTCACTGACGGGAAGTGCTTTCTCGGGCGGCCCTGGAACGATCTTGCGACCACGGTGTACCTGCGCACGTTCATGGACGACAGCGTGGAAGCGGTCGGCTGGACCCCCTTCGACAGTGCACGGTACGCAGTAGACCGCAGCTTGCGAATCGTCCGCTAAGTTATGTGGCAGGCCAGTGATAATGAACACGACATTCTACGCAGAGTATCATTCCTACGGTGCGTGATGCTGCGCTCTTGGTTCGGTTGAACAGATTGTGACACTCCAGCGCTCGGACAGGCCCCGGTGGGAACACGTCTGCAAGAATACCGCTGGAGCATGTGCTCACGGACGAGGAGGCGAGGGCCTTCACCGTCGACAAGGTCTTCCTTGGGTGGCCTCAATGGATCGATTACGAGTATGTTTCGTGAATGTAAAGGCACATGCTAGTTTTTTTTTTCACGTCTAGCGGATGGCTTGATTGGCCACGCACGGCGTGCCTCTGCGTATTTTGGTATTAACAGGAAGTATAGATTGTTTCATGCGCGATGACTTCCCTAGTCTTCTAGACTGGAACGGCTCAAATAGCGGGGGCAGCGTTCAGACTGGCGCTTAGCTCGCTGGAAGGAACGTCCGGCAGCAGTGTATTCAGGTAGGTGCTCTTACCATATAATAATTCTTGCCTAGCTCACTTCTTATCTGCACAGGGAATGTGTTGCATCCATGGGTTGAGAGTGCATTTGATATGGCGTGACGACTGCGAGAGTTTGGTGCCGAATTGTCGCTCCCCGCACCCGAAGTCCACCGGCACCGAAGACTCATTCACCGTGACTGCTAGCCGGTACATAGCTTGTCACATCCACCAGGACACGGTATACGGAACTGCGTCGGGAAACCAAACGGCCCGCTATTGTCAGCTATCCTGACGGCTCCGAGCCATGATTACAGTTGACTTACCATCCCACATAGCGCACGCTTGCTACGGCGCTGTTTATGCGGCGCCGACTCGGATGAAGGCAGCCAGTCAATTCCTCCATCTTGAGAGGGATAGGGGGGCTGACTGCATCTATCGGCGAGTAGGGCTGCAGCCCACGACTGACGGCACATGCTAAACCCCGTGCACGGCAAACGCTCCGGACGACCGAGAGTCATCTTATCCGAATAGCCGTGCCACATCCCGAATTGTCACCGAATCAGAGATGAGGTGTAGTACGGCATCCCTCACTTTTGCACAGGCCTCAGCTGTAACGATTCTATGTGGGTCCGCTGCGGGGGCTGCGCCGCAATACACCCATGGCGTATTTCAACTTCGCACCCCCCCTCCTCCTTATAAGACGATTCAGCCCTCGTAGACTGACTCACTGACTACTCTGCGCCTGTATTGGCACTTCACTCTGCTGCCACCCTCAAGCATGGTTGACGCGCTCTTCGTTGGCGCGATCGCCGCAACCGTCACCATCCTGGCGCTATGGTACACCTTCCAAGCATATCTAACGAGGTCGCCGTTGGATAACCTGCCTGGACCACCCACGCCGTCATTCCTGCTTGGTTCATAGCCGTATTCTCTTACCAGGACACACACTTACTACATTTTCTGCTTCAGGAAATGTCCCTGAGATTACGAACAGGGACAGCTGGAAATGGTGGAAAGACCTGGTTGAAACCTACGGGCCCGTGTCAAAGCTTCAGGGCATGTTCGGCGTACGTTTCCGCTCCTGATTCTCGTGTATATGTGACGTCTGACATCTCAACCCCCCCAGGCTCGTGTGTTGCATGTCTGCGACCCAAAAGCAATGCATAGCGTTCTGATCAAGGACGTCGAGTTGTACCCCAAGAACGACGCGCCCTCTGAGTGAGTTCCGAGCCATGGATGCCGTGCATCGTATGCGGGGTCTCACGTCTGTGGTGCAGCGACATGCATGTGCTTCTCGGGCCTGGGCTACTCACCACGGAAGGTGCACAGAACAGGAAGCAGCGCAAGCTGATGAACCCCGTTTTCTCGGTGGCGCACCTGAGGAACATGACGCACATATTCTACGGGATCGCCCACAAGGTGAGCATGTGCAACTCCTCGAACTAGAAACGTGTTGACATTGCTGCACAGCTGCAAAGGGCGATGGACGCGCGCGTCGGGAAAAACGGCGGTGTGCTGGACGTGAACGGTTGGATGGGGCGCACCACGCTCGAGATGCTCGGCCAGGCCGGGCTCGGTTACTCCTTCGACAACTTCGAGGAGGACTCGACCGACTCATACGGCGAGTCGCTCAAGATGTTCTTGTGAGTCTGCCCGCTCCGATATGCTGTTCCCGATTTGAACCATAGCCCCCAATCGCCTCTGGAAGCCCCGTCCTGAGTTCTATCGTGCTCGTGACGCTCAATATCCCCGCGCTGTCGCACATCGTCCCGGACTGGCTCATCAAGCGCATCATGAAGACATTTCCGCAAGCTGAAGTGAGACGCATGGCCGCTATCTCGGACACCATGGAGCGGCGCTCCATGGAGATCATCAGCGAAAAGAAGCGTGCCCTACTAAAGGGCAACGACGCGCTCATACACCAAATCGGAGAGGGCAAGGACATCATGAGCCTCTTGCGTGAGTTCCGAGGATGCGAGGTACCTCATGTGGCCGACTGCTGATCGAGACGAATGCCCACAGTGAAGGCGAACATGGTCGCATCGGACGGCGAGAAGCATACGGACGAAGAGCTTGTCGCACAGATGTCGTACGTCCTCCCGATGTGTCCTGTGAGCCGCACGCCAGTCCTGACCACGGTCGCTGTCCCCCGAAGTACGTTCATCCTCGCCGGCATGGATACGACCTCGAACGCGCTCTCTCGCATCCTGCACGTCCTCGCCCAGAATCCCACCGCGCAGGATAAGCTTCGTGCAGAGATCACGGAGGCCTGCGGCGGAGAGGACCTTGCGTACGACGATCTTGTGAAGCTCCCGTACCTGGAGGCCGTCTGCCGCGAGACGCTGCGGCTGCATGCGCCTGTGCAGTTTGTCAAACGCTTGTATGTCATTGTCCGACTTTCCGATATCCGAGCACGCACTGACAGGATAACGCGTGCACTTGCGTCGGTAGGGCCGCAAAGGACACGATGCTTCCGCTCCTGAAGCCGATCCGCTCCCTCGATGGCTCCATGCTGAGCGAGGTGCCGGTCCCCAAGGGAACGATAATGTTGCTGCACTTTACGGGATGCAACACGAGCAAAGATCTGTGGGGCGACGATGCGGAAGAATGGAAACCCGAGCGGTGGCTGGGCAAGTTGCCGCAGGCCGTCGACGACGCCCGTATCCCAGGCGTCTACTCCAGTTTGTGCGTTTTCTACTTTGGCGATATATCTATGCCAGCATCAGCTGAGTGCTCACTTTAAATGACTTGAATGACTTGTTGCTCAGGATGACCTTCTCTGGCGGGGGAAGAGCTTGTATGTGAGTATGCTGCTCGTGTCTATACACATCCTACGATGTCGGGTGGGGTCTAACTTTATGTTCCGCAGAGGCTTCAAATTCTCGCAGCTCGAAATGAGTGAGCCTTCCGACGCCGATGCACCCAGGCCTCGTACTGACTAGGATCACCCGCAGAGGTTGTCCTCGCCGTCCTGCTCAGCGCGTTCAAGTTCGAAACGACTGAGAAGCCAATCACTTGGAACTCGTCGGGCGTGCTCTACCCCGCGACTGGAGCCGACAGGGCCAAGCCGCAGATGCTACTGAAAATGACTAGGGTTGCGTAGCAGACTCACTCGTTGAACCTATGGCAGGTTGATGCTATATCGATCTATAGTTATGCTGAAGCCCACCCAATGTTGATTGAACCATTTTTCCGCGTTGTTGCCAGGGACATACCACATGTACATATCCGCTGGCTTCTGATTACTCGTATTTGAAAGCACTCACCCAAGAAACACGCTCGATCACGGACAGCGGAGATGGGAGCCACGAACATAAATAGAGTGCTGTGGGCCTATTTACATGTGAGATTACAGCTAGCTAGGCATACACGCATCCAAAACAGACATCATCTTCACTCTCGGCCAATGCACCTGGGGAATACGCGATTCAATCGGACGGGAAAGTGTGAGGGAGGGGGTGGACTCGGAGAGGCGGCGGTGTGGTATAGGTAAGCGCGGTGTGCGCACGCGCCGCGGTTTCGGAGAAGTACTAGGGAAATAATATGTCAAAACGCGATAGGAGAAAACTAACTTTGGGCGCTCAGGCCGTATATATGCGTACACGCGCCCCGCGCTGCGTCCGAGACGGCAGGGCGAGCCGCGGTACGACGGCGCGCTCAGGCGAGCGTGGCGTTCGTCGCCGACGGGCTCTCCATGCCCATCTTCGCGCGGACGACCTCGAACGTCTTCAGCATCTTCCTCCGCGCGCCCAGCGCGGCGACGCCCTTCGCCTCGAGCGCGGCTTCGTCCATCATCACCATGTCGCGCCAGTTCATGTTCTCAAAGTTGGGCGTGTACTTGTGCAGCCGCAAGCTACGCAGCCAGCCGGGGATGTCCTCGAGGAGCTTCGGGTCGACGTCCTCATCGTCCTTCTTCTCCCGCTGGCCCGGCGACTTCGTGTTCCCGCCCCGCTGGCTCATGCCGCCCCGGTTTCCGCGCATGTTGCCCTGCTGACCCAGTCCCATCCCAAAGGCACCCAGGCCCGGTTGTCCAAGCTGGCCGAGCTGGCCCGCGGCAGCCATCTGCATCGCGAGCATCTGCTCAGGGGTGACGCCCATCGCCGCGAGGTTGTTCACGTTGAACATGTTGTTGAAAGGGCTGACGGGAGCCATGCCCGCAGCCGCGAGCGCCGCCATGTTGAACCCGCCGGTGCCAGGCATGCCGGCGAGGCCAGGGTTGCCCATCCCCATGCCGAACCCGGCCATGCCGAGTCCGTTCATGCTGCCGTCATCGCTGAACCGGCCCGACGTGTTCGAGAGGGCGGGGCTACGCGCGCCACCCCAGCCTGCCTGTCCGCCGAACGCGTTGAGGTTTCCGTTAGGCCCGCTGACGTTCCGCATCCCGCCACCACCACCCATGCCACCACCCATACCGCCAGAGACGTTGCGCTGGTTTCCGCCGCCGTAGCCCTGGTTGGGGTCCTCGTGGTCGTTGACGTTCCCTTTCGAGAGGCGGTTGAACTTCTTGGGCGGGTCCGAGATAAGCGGCACATTGCCACCACCCGTGGAGGTCCAGTCGTTCAGCTTCTGAGCAGCCGCGTCGAGGCTCTGCCCAGGGTTGCGGGTGTCCTTGAAGATCGGAATCAACGGGGTGTTGACCATGCTCGCCCAGCTGCCTCCCGGCATGGGCGACAGCTGCTGGTCGCCCTCATCGCCTCGCGGCGACTTGAGGGCGTTGGCGAGGCCGGAGAAGTCAGTACTCTTGGGGCGCGAAGCACCGTTCGAAGGGATGGTGATTTCCTGGGCCGGGGACGAGGAGCGCTCGTCGACCTGTCCGAGTTGGTTCGAGCCAGAGCCCCAGGTGTTCCGGTCGCCAACGGCAGACGAAAGCGCAGGGGCGGAGATCCGGTGCGCGGCATTGCTGGCCTTCAGCTTGGCGCGCTGCTGAGCGAGGGTGCTCGCGGGGTCATGTCCGCCAGCGTTGCTGACGTTGTTGGCGGCATCGGGGGAGAGGAATGATGACCCGGAGAAGTTGCGAGTGGTGGGCGAGCCCGGCAGGTTAGACTTGAAGCCAGGCGACTTCAAGTTCATCTGAGCCAACTTCGCTTCCATCTGACTCTGCATAGAGCCTAACACGTCCATCCTAAGCATACCGCCTGTTGCTTTCTGGGCAGAAACCACGCACCTCCAACTGCGGGGGACAACAGGGCAGTCATAGGATCAGACCGAGCCATTTGCTGAAGGACGGTGATGAAAAACCGGATCTGGACCTGCGTAGAATGTTGCAAAAGACTATAAAGAGCGGCTGTGCGCTCGGCTTCGGAGAGAACCTTGAACCCTGGAGAAGAAAGACGTCAGGACCAACACTACGGCAACAAACTAGCATGAGTGGCAAATCCCGTCGTCTTCCCAGGAGCAGACTAGGGCACGCCGCAGACCAAACCGGTTCAGTATGCGCTTCGCATGCAGACTCGAGATAATAATAGCCATCAGATACTTTGCCACCAATCTGGTTCGGTCCGAACACGGTCGGTGGCGAAGCCAGTCCAGATGCTTTCCCTAGCCTGTTCCGGAGACGAAGACGGGCGGATGCCCGTTGCATGCACACGGTCTATAACTCACATTGCTCGATGGCACTCAGTTCTTCCTTGAAATTGACGTCAAGAGAGGCAGCAGCCATTTCTTCCTGTTCCATTATAAGCGACCGCATCCATAAAAAACAAGCGTTGACATACCAGCGTCGCCTCATAATTTTGGAAAGTCTCGAACCACTGGTCGATGGCTTCGGCTACGGGCGGGCTTCAATTTGCGAACCGAACGGCTCGATGCTTGCACTCACCCTCCGGGGTCTGGAACATGCCAGCGCTGCCCAACAGCTCACTGGTAGGCCGCGCGCCGCCATTTTGCGCACCAGGGCGGGGCGAGGCGGGGGGCAGCTGAGAGCCCACCGGGCGAGAGGCGGGGCCCATGGAGGCGCGGAAGTTGGGGGACCTGCCGCCGCCATTGCCGCCGGGAGCGGGGGAGACGCTAGGGCTGGGGGGAGCAAGGCTAGACATGTTGAGAGAAAGCGAAGGACTGCAAGTCGACGTCGAGTCGGGTTGGCTAGAATCAAGCGACACGTTCCGAGGGGCGTGCAACGATGTCTAGACAAGACCAGCGGAGCCTGCCGGTCTAGGAAAGGGCGAAGACGGTGAGAAGACGACTGGCGACGGCGACGACGACAACGAAGGAATCGAGGTGGACGTCGAGGACGATGAGGACGATGGAGAGAAGAAGGCGGACAAGACCTTATGCTGGCACCCCAACGCCGTTCCTAACCAAACACACCAAAACACCCCTTGTGGCTGATTCTCCATCACCCATCTGTTCATCGCACACCGCCTGTCCCAATTGCGTCCTCTCGCTGTTCGTGGTCTGAAACATATCGTCTCTCAAGACGATGCTGCTGCGTTTGAGCTCGTATGTCTGTGCGTTCCGATACAGCCCAGGCAAGGCGTCCCGCACCGCGGCATTTGTGGCGTTCAGCACGTTGGTCCGAGAATTCAACACCAATCACCACGCTGCTGCACAGTCTTCCTGCTCATCACGTTCAAGACCACAGTCGCGTCTCTCCGGCTTCCAAGCTCTGTTGCATTGAACCCAATCGGGTCTGTGACAGATGCTATGCGCGGTCTGGACTGAGCTCACTAATCTTGCTAGACACCGTCGGGAGCTCGGAAGTCAGGGCCTCCGATAAACAACCGGACGAACAGACTATACGGTGAGTGATATGCCTTCTTGGGTGTTGGGCATCACTTAATCGCATATTGCAGGTATGAACGCACTCGACTTTTCTACCGCATTACGAACGCCCTGTGTCGCCTACCCGGGCCACGCTCCCTGAGCATGGCAATCGCAACCATGAGGCATACGTGCAACAATACATGTCAGCTCGGGCAACCTCCTTGCATATTCAACTACATGCAAGGCGGTGAAGTCCGACGCCAGTGCGGGTCGTTTGTGGTGTCAACTACTGCTTTCGCACTGCTACTGCCCGTTGAGGAGACAGCTTGAAGTCAGGTCAGGGTGGAGACCCGCAGGGGTACGATCGCCGCCCACGACACCCCCAAGGACACTCAAAGCTTAATGATAGTCGTCGATGGCGGCTCTCTGACTACTGTGTATGAGGATTATACGTACACGACCTCCGGTAAGCTCGTTCAACTCGACATGAACATGGCAGCGCCCAGTTGGAAGTCCAACGCAATACCGCAGATGACCCCGCAACGGCGTTCATCACTGCGCGGAACTCCATCCTAGATATCGGATCGGCTCACGCTATGTCTCTTGCGAAAGCATGCCCGAAGCTGTGGATCGTCCCGCTTTCGCGGCAAGCTAACGAAGACGGAGACCCCATGGTTGTTGGACTGGTCGTGGCGCAAGCATCGGACGGCGTAGCAGAGCACGGGAACAAGATATGTCGCAGAGTCGGATGTTTCGAGATCGAGGACGACACCGTCGAGGAACTGGGTTGGGACATGACGAATTTGCCCGTGGTGGAATCGAGCTAGTATGAACAACGAACATACACTTCATTTCCTTTCAAAGTGGCGTAATCTTTCCGGGCAGAAACGCCTCCCCACCCTTGTTCTTCTCATACCACTCCCAGTCATGTGCAAGCAAGACATGCACCTTCGGCATCTTCAACAGCGCCCCAACGCGGCCGATATGCTCTACAGCCGCATCCTTGTCCGCATGCGCGCAGAGCATGTGTCCCTGCGCATCCAGCATAAACGCGACCTCCTTCTCGCCCGTCAGCAGCCGCGTGTCGTGCGCGCAGTCCGCCCCAAGGTAGATCCACGACCCCGTAGGGGAAGTGCGCGCAAGCACGTTGATATGGCCCGCGAGGTGGCCGACCGCGTCGATGAGGTAAAGGCTGCCGTCGCCGAAGTAGTCGTGTGCGCGTGGGAAGGGCCCGACGCCGGTGTCGAAGGCGGACTCGGGCAGGAAGCGCGTGCGCTCGATGGGGATGGTGGACTGGAGGATGTCGGACTTGGGGTCCCCAGGATATCCCTTCTCAAGTAGCTCGCGACTGGCTTCGCCGATAATGAAAGTGGCGTTGGAAAATGGCTCTGCATCGCCGATACTATGTGATCGTACACGGTCAGCAGATTCCACTGACAACAGGAAATCGTAGCTTACTGGTCCCAGTGCAGATGGCTGAGCACGACGGTCTGCACGTCCTTGGGGTCGATACCGCCCTTGAGCAAGGACTCATCGACGGTCTGAGGAACGCTGTACGGCATCCATTTCTTCGCGTACTCCTGTACGACGAGTGGGTACGTGGATATATCACGACGCAGGCCCAGGTCGAAGACGAGGTGAGTGCCCGATGGGACGTGGCGCAGGGAGAACGCGAGCGATGGGCATATGCTGACTTCGCCGGGCGCCGCGTCCTTGATAAAGAAATGCATGGGCAGGTGCATCGTCCCAGCTTCGAGAGCTGAGACTTCGATGTAAGCCTGGTTAGGCTTGGGATCGGGCATGGGAGAAGTGGTCGGCGGGGCCATGTCGAATTATCGCGGTATGGTAGTGGGGGAGAATGAGCGATGTCTTCCCAGCATATGTTGCTCAGCCTTATGTCCTCGCGGTCTCAAGCCGCCCGTATACAGATCGTGAAGCGTGCCTCGAGAATTGTGGGTACTCTGGGAAATGTCAGATGTAGGATCAAAAAGGTGATCATGCGACTCACCCAGTGAGCTCAAGCCCGAAGACACCTTTGAACCACTACACAAGCCGGGGCATCCGACTGTATGTAGGTCAGCAGTACACTTGGCACATGTCTGCCAGACTCTCGACGAACAGTGCTAGCCTCGTCCCAGTACCGCAAATGACACCACTTACTGGCAGTAGTAGGTGTGCTCAATACATCAAATACCATAACGAAATCCTTATGATCATTCTTGTATCACTCCCACTGGCAATCATGGAAAGGGTACTTTAACGTCGACGGCAGTGCTGCAGAATAATATGGGCTGAGGTTGAGTCGATGTTGACTCACTCGGATCGTTCTTGCTTCTGTGCTCGGCGCTAGTAATAATAGATAAGATAAGATTTCCTGTCCCATGGCAATGAGATTGATCGAGTTGCAGAGCGACGGTTGCTAAACTTTAAACTCTCCTCCGCGCAGTCATCCATATTACTCTCAGGACTCTCTACAGTTCTTTGTGCTCTATCTCAGTGTGAACAGAACGCTTCGGCGAACCGGCCCCTCTCCCTCGACTATGGTCTAGCAAACTCCCACTTTTCAACCGCTTTCCAGAGCATCTAAAAAGCTACCATCATCAAGGGTGATGGGATGCTGACGCTGTATACTATTGACCAAATGTACTGCTGCTGCATGTGTGGCAGCCTGCTCAGTCTCTGTAAGCACCGTCTTTTCTGCGTGTATGTATTCTCACTGAGTTGAATTTCCTCAGTCAAAAGACAAGAATCCCCATAGGCGCTCGCAATCCACGTCGGAGCCGCGCCGTTCCCTTTCACCTGCGTTCTTCACGATCTTCAGAGCACGCATCTCCCTTTATCATTCAAAGCTCCACTTCTACAGTTCTTCACAGCTCTGCTTCACCTATTTGCCCTCTGCCCTGCGCATCGGTGTCTCGGTCTCGTTTTCTAGCTGCTCGTCCCGTTCTTTCGCCCGCCGTCCCGTTACGCGCACCTCCGTTCAGCCTCGAGTCTCGGACATTTTCTCTCTCCCAAATTCAAAAATTGGTGAGGACCTCAGCCAGCCAGTGACCTTAGACGCGACATGTCCACCCGGTACTCAGTACTGAGTTGGGACAGCGATCGTATGTCAATAGGTGGCGCGTCGGACTGTTGTCGCGCGGAAAGAAGCCCCGATCGCGAGATCGACTTTTGGCGTGGATGGAAGGAGACGTGGCCATGCTTCGGACCCAAAACGGTCACTTTCCGTCTCGTTTAGGCATCCATGTCGGGTGCTCAAAACATGTATAAGAGGCGGCCTGCGACGTCCCTCCGTCGGGAGGACATGTCTTCTTCTCTCCTCGAGCTATCCGCCGCTGTCTTCGCAGCGCCGCACCGCGCCTGTGTTTTGCGCAGTGGAATAACGGATCCCGTCTTACTGATCATTATCAATGTATACAGCGCGGCAAGCAACGTTGACTCTCGGCCAAGGCGATTTCAAACTAACCGTGGGCTCTCTCGTATACATTAAGCCGCTTTTTCCAGTGACATACTCACGGAACCCTCCCCGTGCTTACAACAGCCTTGCATTGAGCAGTATCATGCCTATCGCAATCAGCATCCCTTCGCTGCCGTCGATCGTTCCAGACTGGCTCCTCGAGCATAACTTCGGCGCGCTAGCGTCGCGCATGACCACCATCTCGAACACTATGGAGCGGCGGTCGCTCGAGATCATCGTTGTGAGTAATTCGACACGCCTACCCAAGGTCGGCTACACGCTTGTAGGCGAGGCCGTGGAAGGCGAGGACATCATGAGCCTCTTGCGCGAGCAAGCCTCGTGTATACGAGATGAGTCCGGTCGTCGGCTGCTCATCGAGAAAACGTTCAAAATCAAGGCGGATATGGCCCCATCGGACAACGAGAAGCACACGGGCGAAGAGCTTGCCGCACAGATGTCGTACATCTTCCCGCGGCTGCCCCGTCCGCCGCGTAGCGCACCTGATTTTGCTCGCTTATACTCGGCAGCACCTTCATGTCGGTGGTCTGGACACCAATTCGAATACGCTCATCCATGTCCTAGACCTCTACCCGCGGAGAGCTCGGAAGCTTTAAGCGGAAAATACCTCGCGTACGATGGCTTCGTGTAGCCCTCATACCTAGACTCTGGAAGTCGCCTACGGCGAGATACTTCGGTTGTATGTGCCCGTGTAATTTGAAAAAGAGCCTCGCCCGACCTTCATCCGAGCGCGCGCTGACCATCGGACGCCACTGACACTTTCATTCGGCAGGGCCGCGAAAGACATGATGCCTCCGCTCCCGCAACCGACTCGTGCCCTCGACGGCTCCGTGATCACCGAGGTACCGGTGGCAAATGCGACAGTACTGCTTTAGTGCCTCACGGGAAGCGAAACGAACAAGTACATGGCAAGTACCTGTGCGGAGACGATGTGGATGAATGGAAACGCGAGCGGCAGGTGGGTAAGGCGCTGCATACGGCCGACGACGACCGTGTCTTCGTGCGTCCCGCTTCGCTGACATATCTGCGCGGTTGTGCCAATGCCCATTCGATGACCGCTGTATACAGCGGGTTTCATATCGATAAGTCTCGACCATCTCATTCTGCGGAGGGATGCTTTAACGATCATCCGAGGACGAAAAAGGTCGACCCAACGCGTTCCACGCCGCACCACCGCTCCCGCCGCGTCCTCCGCCGGACTGTGCGTTATGACAACCTCCAGACACGGTTAGTGTCCGCTCCCCACGCGCGAGTTCATCACCACTGGCGTCAGCCAAATAGTTATCCTGCACCTGGCCTGTGTCTAAAGTATGTTCGTTCAAGCGTCCGGAATGCCGCGTACACTGAACCGCTATGAGGCTCCTGTGAGCTGGGGGAGGTAAGTCGCCGCCAGTGGTACAGGGCGTCACGGTGCTCCACATGAGAGCAAGAAGTTCATAAGCGTCGGTCGATATGAAAACTGCCGTAAAATGTTATTCTTCGGGAATCGGCGTAAACTTAATCAACCATCATATACATAGCAAACAATGAGCACTTGAATAATCCACTCGAGCCGACGGTCTACTACAGGACCCCTGACAATCCTCCCTTACTACATCAGAACCGCCTCCGAGATGCAAAATCTGGTCCGGACCAAGACAGGGTATTTTGTGGCCCGCCGTGTAAGGCATCTAGGAGAAGCATCAGGGTAGGGTTAGTTGAGTCTGCTGTTGACGGTGCGCATGCGAGTCAAGTGCCTACTAAATGAAGCCTGCGTAAGAAAACATTCGATGAGAGGACGAGACATGTACTATACAGGTATAGAATTGCAGTACTAATACGATACGGCAGTTGAGAATCCGCGACGGACGTAAATAAGCGGAAGGAGGTGGTACTGGTAGGCTCGGGCGGATTCCAAGATAGGCAGACGGGACGAGCGTGTAACTAGTAAGTGGAGGGGTACAGTAAAAGCCGACCTCCGTCAATGAGCTGGACAGTGCCGTTCATATAAGCACCAGCCTAGGCCCGTATTAGTGACGTGTACGGCGAGGCTTGAAGCTTGAACAGGCTATAGACTCACACGGCTGGCTAAGAAGAGGATCAAGCCGCCCATGTCGTCGATGCTTCCCGCGCGGTGCAGCGGCACACCAGCGTTGATGTATTCCTGCGAGATAAGCCCTTCTATCATCTCTGCGCGTGACGCCATTGCCGGAGTCAGCGTCTCGCTTGCATCGCCAACACGCCAGGGGAATCAAGATGGATCAAGTCCGAGGAGACACGCACCCGATGGAAAGATGCCGGGAGCGATAATGTTGCTCCGGATGTTCCAGTCCTTGAGGAAGTGCGCGAGCATCTTGCCCAGGTGCGTCGCGGCAGACTTGCTGAGCGTGTACGGCACGCTGAACACCTTGTCATCCTTCCGGAACGCGCCGCCGCTCGAGACGGTAATGATCTGGCTGGTGACGCCGGGCATGTTGCCGCGCTTGTTCGCGGAGTCCAACAGGTCGAGGAAGGCGACGGCGCAGTACCAGGCGGAGGTGACGTTCACGTCGAACGCGCCGGAGAACTCGCGCGGTGATCCGGCGTTCCAGAGCAGCTCCTGGTACTTCTTCATGTCGACCTCGCCGGGCCCCGGGAGTTTCGGCAGAAAGCTCTTCGCGAGGCCCGCGTTGTTCACGAGCAGATTCACGAAGCCGTGCTTCTGGCGGATCGTCTCCGCGACCGCCTGCATGGATTCGCGCGAGGTGACGTCGCCCTGGAGCGGAATGAGGCTGCCCCGACGCTGCGAGAACGGACGAGACTGATCAGCCCGGGAGCGCTCTTACGGCAGCGGACCGCATGATGCCACGAGCCCGAGAGGATGATGCACGCACACTGTGCTCGCGCGCGGCTTCTTCGAGCACCTGCAGCCGCCGGCCGACGATGTACACCACCGCGCCGTTGTGCTCCAAGGCCTTCGCGATCATCAGCCCGATGCCTGCGCAGATGGGTGAGTGACGAGCACATCGGGCGAAGACGACGCGCAGAAGCGTCGGGTCGAATGAATGGTTCTTGCTGCGAATGGACGTACCGGTTCCGCCGCCAGTAACGACGGCCACGAGTCCCTCGACGCCGAAGAGGGTGGGGGTGTCCGCGAGCCCTTTAACGGTGTCGCATGCGCTCGGCATCCTGGGTGTGCTGTTCTGCTTCGGTGAGTGAGGTGCGGGGGGTGTCGCGGACGGTGCAGAAAACTGGCTTCGTCCAAGAGTGAGCTGCGCGGCCAGCTAAGTAGGAAATTCGTCTGCTCCGTTACGGCAACATTCAAATCTGCTAGCCGCGTTGGGCCTGGAGCTGACACGAACGACACTCGGAGAAAAGGCTGATGGCTCTCCGTCTATGAACAGTGTCTCGATGGGAGCGCTCGGTGTCGGTTACGGCCACGCTGTGATGATGATTCATGACCTCACGGGCCTCGCGCTGCCGCCGCCATGCGCGTGCTAATTGACCCCGCGAGGGATCAGAACCGAGGAGCAGCGGACGACATGCACGCTCGAAAAGGCATCGCGCTCTGGCGGACGCGCAGCGGCAATCCCTTGACCAATGGCTGACAGTACACGCCAGCGCCACAGAGCGCAATCACCCCCGCGCGTTCTGCGGCTGACCCGATCCAACCGGCCGTGGATTTAGGATTGCCTCCAGAGCGGGGGTCCGGTGTCGTCGTTTACATGTTTCTATCGACCGGGGGGACGCTTACGACATGCTTGGCGACACCATCGGGGAGCAATACGCGGTGCTGTCCGACCGGGAACACTCTGCGCCACCGACAGTCGCCGCAGACACACACGACGAAGCTGTCGTACGTCCAAAACACGCAAGACAGCGAGAATGTTGCCAGTTCGTTTGCCGAAGCGGTGGTATACAACGAGTCGTCTAGTATAAGGGTGGCAGTGTCCATAAAGAGCGCGACGCGACGCTAGGCCAGTGAGGTAAGTAGTGGATACAGAAATGCGAAGGAGGGGTGAGGCGTGCCCAACAAGCAGGAGGTCTACTCAAAAGATCTGCACAAGAGCAAAGAGGCTTCCCACAGCCAGCAGCAACGCCGCCGCCCAGCGCGCCTCCGCGGATCGACGGCCGCCCGACGGTTGGAGCACGGTGAGCTCCCCGGGCTGCCCGTACACTCTCACATACGACACCTCAAAGTAGGCCGTATCGTACTTGGACGGATCTCCGAGGACCCAGTCGTCGTAGCACACGCCGGTGCACGTCTGGTAGAACACGCTCGATGCGCCGGCGTAGTCTGCGCAAACGCCCGGGCAATGATGTCAGTATCGACGCCGCCCGCGTCGGCCGCAGACAGCCTCGGAACAGGCACGCACCTCCGCATAACGTAATGTCGAAGACGAGCTCCTGCGGCTGGAAGAACGCGTTCACGGAGCAGTCGGACGCCGGCCAGTTCGCCACAGGGATGCCGAGCGTCGAGGTGTCGACGCTCGTCACGTTGCCTTGCAGCTGGCTCGGGATCGAGGTGCGCTGGAGCCCACGTCGGTCAGACTTTGCCTCGCGGCCGGTGGCCTATACAATTGCTACGCACGTTGAAGTACCAGATGCTGCGTCGGAGAAGCGTCAGAACGGGCTGCGGCAGGGGAGCGAGAGAGGCGCGCGCCCGGAGACTCACGAGATGCCGTCAATCGCGAACTCGGTAACGTACACGCCACCGCCCGAGTTGGCGAAATCTGAGATGCAAGGTTGGAACACCGACGCGACGCAGCGGACACCTCGGGGAAGACCGCACCTGCGCCGTACGATGCGGGCGTGGGATTCGAGATGATACAGCCTTGGTTGCCGTTCGACTGGACCGAACAGTCCGTGGAGTTGATCAGCGTGCTCGACTGCACGGCGTCGCTGGCGTGCGTGCAGCCCTGCCGGGCGGAGCCGCGCGTGATGAGCGTCCGAGCGCAACGGAGCGAGGATCGCGCAGAAGACGCACCGGGTTCGTGTGCAGACCCATATGGCTGTAGTAGTCCTGGTTCACCGCCTCGAAAGTGTCAATCTGAGGCGGGGATGGCTGCGTTAGCGGCGTGCGGGCGTAGTGCGAGGCAGCGAACTCGCCTCGCCGCCCACGGGCCACGTCGGCGCGGACGACCAGAAGGCGCCCCACACGGAGCACTGTGCGACGGGCGCGACGTCAGCGCAGATCGTGCTGGGACAGGGTTCCGTGCATGCTCACCCCGTACGGCACGTGGCGGAGGTCGGCGACCCAGACGGATCCCACGGTGAACTGGTCCTTGGTGGATATGCGCAGCGAGTTCCGGTTTTGGTTAAACTTGAGCACGGAGCTGTTGTCGACCTTCATGATGGCGTTCCCTGCGTCGTTTATAAACGCCAGTTTGTCATGGAACGCATCAATGTCCCCCAGAAAGCTGCGTGGAGCACGAGCATCAGCGGACGCCGTCGCCAGAACGTTATGTCGCGGCGTACTTGACATTCCCGTTGGTGAGATTGTCGACTGGAGCGAACAGTAAGCACCCATTTGAGACACCTCGCCGCCCGTCCGGACTTACAGTGGTTGTAGAAGTTCCAGTCGTCGAAGAACGACTCTCCTGCGTACTCCTTCACCAAGTCGTACTGGGCGAGGACCGCCGAGGGCAGGAGCAGCGACGCGCACAGTACCCACGCAGAAAACATACTGGGAGGGGGCAAGAGGCAGAGGGTGGCAGCTAGCACGAGCGACTGTTATAGCTGCTATTGGGCGGCCTTTGCGGTGCTTCCGCCGGCGTGGCAAGACGCTGCAGGCACGTAACGCGCCCGTACTGCACGGAACGTGAAGCTGATGGGTGGACCTGGACGTGCCGAACGTATCAGCGCTGTCAGAATCTCAGTGTCTCCGGTGAATGCGTGATAGGAACCTGCGGCGACGAGGTGGACGGGAGGAAGGGGCGAAAGAGAGGGCAAGGGCTTGACGTCGAGGCACATCGGGATCTCGGCGACTCGGAGAGCTCGGAATCCTTGTCATCGCATTTGCCCACCGCGCCGGCACCGCTGCGCGCTATTTCGGCCCAACTCGAACAGCGCGGAACGTTGGCGCAGAAACTGCGCTGATGAGCGGTGGAGGCGTACGGTAAGATATGACGATGGTCAGGTATGTGCAGGGCGCAAAATATAGCGAGGAGGCGTTTGTGCAATAGTGGAGGACATGATCTATCGTTCAAGCGCACAGGCGCCGCACTCGGACGCTTTTGGACGGCGTGATACTCACGCATCAACATTCGCACCTTCTTCGCTCCCACATAGATGCTCAGGATGCCTCGGGAGGTGTGCGACCGTTCCTGGCTGGACGTAAGGCCGGTCCTGGGCCCTGGTGAGGGGTGTTGCTCGCCGTCATTCGAGCACCGCGAAGAGAGAAGTATCGCATCCGATGTCGACGTATAGGGTACGAGCTGGGGCCTTGATGCTAGCTGTCAATCCCATTGAGTATCATAAATCTCGGCTCAGAGTGCAGGTACAAGCACAAATATTTAGCAGGAGCGGAACGGAAAGGCTGACCATTTGATTGAAGGTGTCGAACTGTCGATGTAGTCAACCTCACATCCTACGATACTCGTGAGCTAAGATTCTGAGTAAAAACGATCAGAAGCATAGTTTATGACTCGCCTGTGATTATCTATGTGAACTAGCGTACGTTCGCAACGATGCCGCATTTCTTACTGACCAATGACGGGAAATCCAGAAGCAAAACGAATTCGAATCTACCGACACATCCTTTCAACATTTGGTATCAGCGATGTAGGTCAAGTATATAAAGGATATTCAGCGAATACTTCGCAGTCCCTTCTACCTACATACCTCCAGATGCATAAATGTAATCATTGTTCTGATGTGTGCATAGGGCTTGGGACTCACCGGCAACGGTCACCGCTTTGTATTCATGGACACTGTTCACGTTTAGCTCGCCAGTGTGTGTTGGAAGCCGGGGTGACCTTCTCCGTACTTCCCTGGTGGATCAAATACCAATGCAACCTAGCCAGCGCAGGACGCGTCCGACATATTCTTTTGATCATTGCAGCTATACCCAAACGCTAGGGAGTGCGTATCGGCGATGCGCAACCTAGCTCGATGCGCGTTCACAGCTGCGTATCAAGAGATGCGCTCCGCGTATGGGCGACTCAGGAGTCGATTGATTGACCGTAGCAAGCCCAGAGAAACGCAGGTTTAAGGTGAGCACATACCTGCGATATTCACGCAGGGGAGACGCAGCAGTTGACAAACACTAAGTGTACCAGAAGAGCATGCAGAAGAGTATGAACAAAGCCGCGACCGTGTTCCAGGCGGCCGGGAATGTGCAAGATCGAAAGTCTAGATCCACGGTCGGGAGGATACGGGCCGGAGTTTCAAGAAAACAAGCGGCGCCTTAATACGGAAGGGCAAAATTGCACATGCCGAGCCCGGCCGAGATCCAGAAGGATCCTTCCGACAGCTCCGCTTCAAATTGTGGCGTGGAAATTACGAACTATCCTGACAACATGCGCAACTTCGCGGAGCTTGCTCGGCACCACCTTCACCATCGACCACGACGACTACGAGCTGTGCTGCCTACCTCTGCTGCACCGACTACGAGCAGCGTTTCTGTGAAACAAAATGGCTCTGTCGTACTTCCCCGGCGCGACTCGCACGGGCTCGCCGCAGCCTATGGTGGAGGGCTCAACCAAACATCTAAATGAAGCAGTCCAGGAGTTGTATGTCGAGCACAAGAATAGGTGAGCGTCGTTTGGGCAGTAATGACACCGGGGACACCGAATATTGCCCGCTCCGTGTGCACCATGAGCTTTGGCCAGTCGTGATACGCTTACATGCGGGAGCGTCGCACATTGGACATAGCGTGATGTACTCGAGGTATTATATCCTGGTTACATCAGCGGTGCAGTATGCCACGGAGCAGACATACATTAGTGCTCTCATGATCCATATATGTTCCTTGTGCTTACACCGACGCAGACTACTCCAGGCATTAGACTCAACGAAGTCTATCCTGGGGGACCTTCGCAACTTCAACAAGGACAGCTGGGTCGTGCGCTACCCTCAGTTAAGCGAACAGCCTGCGACTGAGCCGCCAAGCGCTTCCCGCCGGAAGAGCATGCGCCGCTCGCTTTCCTTCCCTGACGACCCTTCGTTCGAAGCCGATGTCATCGTATCCCCCGCGAAGGCGGGGCTCACTCGGTCTGTCACTCTCGCCACTATCGCGGACAAGGACGAGGAGCCCTCTGCTGAGACGGAAGAGGACGGAGACCGGCTGGTGTCCCCCGCTGAGGCGTCTGACTTCCACGTCTTCCGTCTCGATCTTAAGCTCGGCGCCCACGGATCTTCCTCGTCTCCCGCCTCGCTCGTTGCGCAGCTCGAAAAATCCTCCATCGCCAACCTCCTAGACGACCGCATCCTCAACGCGGTGGGCCATCTTGACAAGCTCCGCTTGCGGATCGAGGACAAGTCCTCCAAGGTTCTCGTCACTGGAGACCTGAACGCGGGCAAGTCTACTTTCGTCAACGCCCTTCTCGGCCGCGAAGTCATGCCTGTGGACCAGCAACCCTGCACCACTGCGTTTTGTGAGGTCCACGATGCGTCAGAGAACGGCGGGAAGGAGGAACTCCATGTCTTGAAGGAGGGCGCCTCGTACTCGGTCGATGACGAGAGCACATTCACTCGGGCTGACCTCACGGATCTGGATGCGATCGTCTCGGAGAACGAGAACGACTCGCAGGTGCTCAAGGTCTACCTGACTGACCCCCGTGATCCGCAGGCGTCGCTGCTTAGCAACGGGATCGTCGACATATCGCTCATCGATGCCCCTGGTCTCAACCGCGACAACACCCACACCACTCGTGTCTTCGCCAGGCAGGAGGAGATCGACGTCGTCGTTTTCGTCGTATCCGCGGAAAACCACTTCACGCTCTCCGCAAAAGAGTTCTTGACGAATGCCAGCCACGAGAAGGCCTACCTCTTCATTGTTGTCAACAAGTACGAGCAGATTCGCGACAAGGCCAAGTGCAGACGTCTCGTTCTGGAGCAAATCAGGCAGCTCAGCCCACGGACATACGAAGATGCCGAGGACCTCGTCCACTTCGTCGACTCCCAGCACGCTCTCGACGAGAAGTCCGAGTCGTTCACTGGCCTCGAATCTGCGCTGCGCTCCTTTGTGCTTGTGAAGCGCTCGAAGTCGAAGCTTGCGCCCGCGTCCACGTATCTCACCAAGCTGCTCTCAGACGTCGACCTGCTCGTCGGAGCGAACGCCATTGTCGCTCAGACTGAGCTCGACCGCGCACAGAACGATCTGCAGCGCGTCCGGCCCGTCCTGGAGAAGATGAAGGGTGGCCGGGAGGTCTTGGAGGAGACGCTCGAGTCTGTCGAGGACCTCGGCGCTACCCGTACGCGTATGCGGACGAAGGAGCTCCTTACCGACGCGGTTGAACGCGTTGGGCAGGGCAAGCTTGGTATCGACAATGTCTCCGTCTCTCTCCCCTCTTACCCTGGCCTGCTCGGAATTTGGGACTACGTACACGACGTGCGCCGCGCGTTGCTTTCAAGTCTCGACGCGGCCGTCAGGCTCGCGGAGCACGAGGCTCGTGGTGTCACCACCGAGGCCGTACACAAGATCACGCAGCTCGGCGATGAGCACTTGCCTGAGGGCGTGGAGCGCTCACGACGGGTCTTCATGCCCGAGGCTATGTTCTCCACGCGGGTCGACAAGAAGAGCAACCGGAAATCCCGCCGGGCGTCTGGCACGGTCGTCGCTGGTGGCCTCTACGGTCTCGGCATCGGTCTCTCTCAGCGTCCGGAGATGCTCGACACGACTTTCTTCGACCTTTTCGATGTCCACCACCAGTTCTGGGTGCACTTCGGCGAGGGCAAGAGCGCGGACAGCGAAGACATGGCCGTCAGCACTCTCGGCTTCGCTTCCGTCGGCCTTGGTGCGCTCACGATGGTGGGCGGCAAGGCTCTCGGTGCACGCGGTCTGTTCGAGGGCGTCGTCCGTATGTGGGATCTCCTCGAGAACGAGACTGCGCGCAAGTGGGCAGCGCCTGTCGTAGGCGCCGTCGCTATCGGCCTCACCACCTACTTCATCTTCGAGCTTCCAAGCACTGTTCCCCGGACCGTCGGCCGCCGCATCAAGGCATCACTGGCGAAGGAGGGCGAGGAGATGGGCGAAGACGGCTCGTTCGTTGGTGCGCATGCAGCCCGGGTCAGCCGGGAGACGCGCAAGGTGCTGCGACTGGCGTCCTGGGACCTCAAGGAGCGCTTCCGGGCCGCGATGGAGGAGCACGGGCGCGAGGTACACGGCGCGGAGGAGTCGGAACGGCGGGCAAAGAGAGCGCTCGAGTGGTTCCACGAGGTAGAGCGGCGGGCGGGCGAGGTGCGCGAATCCGTGGTGCTCGTGAGCGCCGCGTGAACGACCTGTCTACGACGCATTGGATATATGTTTCATGGTTTGTCTCCGCGCTCTTCGTTTACCCTTCTGCGACCGTATATTGCTTAGCCCCTTTCTCCCGCAAGGTCTTGGGCGAAGCGAGGGCGTCTGTGCTGCTCGCTTCGCCGTCGTTGTCGGGGGCTTTTTCGGCTTTGTCGCCCGTCTAGATTTCTCCTGTGCAAGACCTCGCCGACGCTCCTTCTACCCTTATGTTCTCCCCCTACTCACGTATTCTACGACACCCATGTATTACCTGTACGTTTGGAAGATCATCAATGCACCCAGGCATAAGGCCTGTATATACTTGTTATCTTCCCCGGCTGCTGTAGATTCGTCCAAGACTACATCACAGAGGTATGCAACGCAACGTTCGTAGCAAGAACGGTATGACAATAAGGTATCAAATATTGAAGCTAGAAGTTGCACATCCTCCGATGGCCACGCGGGTACGCATTTTCAACGACTACGCAACTCTAGTCAATTTGAGTATCATTTCCGGCTTGGTACTCTCTTCCCCTGTTGTGGGGTAGAGCACAGCGGATGCGTTCCAGGTGATCGGCTTCTCGGTCGTCTCGAACTTGAACGCGCTGAGAAGAACAGCAAGGACAACCTCTGGGAACGGTGTCGATCAGTACACGGTTGGAGAGCAGAAGACCGGACTACATACTCATCTCGAGCTGCGAGAATTTGAATCCTCTAAAAAGTGGAACATAGGTATTAGAACCTGCGCAACATCGTGTCCTGGGTGCGAGCAGTATACTCACATGCAAGCTCTTCCGCCACCGGAGAAGGTCATTCTGAACAACGTACCAATCAACGTGAGTACCCGGCTTATGCACGGATATGTCGAAGAAGCAGGAAACGCACAAGTTGGAGTAGACGCCTGGAACACGGGCGTCATCAACCGCTGGTGGCACCTTTCCCAGCCACCGCTCAGGTTTCCATTCTTCCGCATCGTCACCCCACAGGCCCTTGTTCGTGTTGCATCCCGTCAGGTGTAGCAGCACCATCGTCCCTCTAGGCACCGGCACCTCGGTCATCGCTGACCCGTCGAGGGCACGAATCGGCTTCAGGAGTGGAAGTGTCGTATCTTTGGCAGCCCTGAATAATGACAACGTAACGCGCGTTAGAAAACACTCCCGGACGTAATTCGGATGGGGACTTACGAGCGGTTTATGAATTGAACCGGTGCATACAGCCGCAGCGTCTCGCGACAGACCGCCTCTAGGTACGGGAGTTTCACAAGCTCGTCGTATGCGAGGTCCTCTCCGCCACATGCCTCGGCGATCTCGGCACGAAGCTTGTCCTGCACGGCCGGGTGCTGGGCCAGGAGGTGCAGGATACGAGAAAGCGCGTTCGATGTGGTATCCATGCCGCCGAGGATGAAGGTCCTGCCACAGGAATGCGAGTAAGGTCAGGCACGACACGCGGTAGAGAGGGGAGCGCCACTGCGTGCAGACGTACGACATCTGTGCAACAAGCTCTTCGTCTGTGTGCTTTTCGGCGTCCGATGCGAGCATGTTCGCCTTCACTGTGGGCGTTCGATGAGCAGCCGACCACCGGAGACGTCTCGCCTCCTCGGAGGTGAAAGAAACTTACGCAGTAGGCTCATGATGTCCTTGCCCTCCCCGATCTGGTGCACGAGCGCGTCGTCGCCCTTGAGCAGGGCGCGCTTCTTCTCGCTGATGATCTCCATCGAGCGCCGCTCCATCGTGTCTGAGATCGCGACCATGCGCCTCACCTCGGCTTGCGGAAATAGACTAAGAAGACGCTTGAGGAGCCGGTCCGGAAAGATGTACGAAAGCGAGGGGATACTGAGCGCCACCGGCGTAATGGTGCTGAGGACGGGGCTTGTACAGACGAAGGGCGTTACCACTAAACAGTAAGACAGCAAGCGGACAGACTCACAAGAACATCTTGAGCGACTCCCCGTACGAGTCGGTGGAATCGTCCATAAAGTTGTCGAAGGAGTACCCGAGCCCGGCCTGCCCGAGCATCTCGAGCGTCGTGCGCGCCATCCATCCGTTCACGTCCATGACGCCGCCGTCCTTCCCGACTCGTGTGTCCATGGCCTTGTGCAACTGTATCGCACGGTCAGCAATGTATATGCTCGAGAAGCTGCGTACACTCACCTTGTGAGCAATTCCGTAAAATATGTGTGTCATGTTCCGCAGGTGCGCCACGGAGAAGACGGGGTTCATCAGCTTGCGTTGCTTCCTGTTCTGCGCGCCCTCAGTAGTGAGCAGTCCGGGCCCAAGGAGCATGTGCATTTCGCTGCATCCCAAGTGAGTTGTCTTATCAGCTGCAGAACATTGTGGGTTCAAGACTCACTCAGAGGGTGCGTTTTGCTTCGGGAACAACTCAACATCCTTGATGAGAACGCTGTACATCGCTTTTGGGTCGGATATGTGCAGCAGGCGCGTCTTCAGATACCGAAAGATAAGATAAAATCTGCGGCTGCTAAAATGGTACGGAAACGTACGCCGAACATGCCTTGAAGCCGGGACACAGGCCCGTAAGCTTCGACCAGCTCCTTCCACCGTTTCCAGCTGTTCCGGTCCGTGACCTCAATGACGTTCCCTAAGATAAACAATACAGTAAGTATACCGCCTCGTAAAAAAAGTCGACAACGCACCAAGCAAGAACGACGGGGAGGGTGGCCCGGGCAGGTTGTCCAGCGGCGAGCTAGTGAGATACGCTTGGAAGATGTACCATAAGGTGGCGATGACGACGGCGGCAGTTGCCCCTAGAAAGAGGGTGTCCGCCATGCTTCGAGCTGATAACCAGTGAGAAATGCCGAAGACAGCGAGGTATAGCAAACGATCGGAGGTCGTACGGGCCAGTACACTTTATATGGAGGGGAGGCGAAGCGGGGATCTGATGTAGGCGTGAGGCTTGCCGACCGCACGTTCAACAACCCGTATGAAAGCGCAGTAAATAATGAGAGCATGCCGACGCCCAGAGTCTCCCATTACACCTCGCCCTTGATGTCAGTGCTGACAATCAACAGAGCCCGAGGAGTTCGGACGGGAGATCCTCGGTCTCACGGAATATTGGCCGTGCACGAGGGTAAGCGTGTGCGCGAGTACGACGTAAGATGTTAGAATCATACTCGCCACACATACAGCATTTACAATACTTAATTGCGGCAGTCGAGTGACATCATTGCAGTGGTGCTCGGCACACCATCTTAATCCGCGCGGCCTCCACATACCCGTGCTAGGAAGAGCTACTGCCATACAGTTTATGTTGAAAGCTGTCAGAGTAGAAGCAGTCAGAGTAGATGACGTTAGCGGACCGTTGCTTTGTCCAACCTAGGCCGGCATACAGCATCCCGGTGGAAGATGATAAGCGGCGTCAGGGCTTTCTTGCCGGCTAGCGGTGACCAAGAGCAAGTGCTCGGCGATCTCCCAGGGGACGGAAATATGGCGCCATATTCTCGCAGTCGCTACGCCAAAAGGGAGGTGCAAAAATGCAACCTGAGCTCATGGATGAGACGTGTGTTCCTGTGTAGAAGGAAGCCAGCGGCATGTGAGCGAGGCAAGAGTAATACTGGTGACTTGTGAGAGCACGGTTTCTTGAGTGCACTCACTTTCAGGCTTTCTGTCCGGACCATACTTCCACTGCATACCCGAGTGCCCATAGAGTACCTTCCTCAGTCAATCGAGAAGAGCGGTTCACGCATTCATGATCAGCCGCCTGCGATTGGACATGATGGCCGTACGAAGACAGGAATATCATTGCTAAGCGCCTGTTGAAGCGTTGCTTTGCGGCACTTGGGCGTTTCTAGGCACAACGTACGTGTATACTTAGGGAGCATTTGTTTTTTGGGAAGTTGGTTTCTGGACATGGGGAGATGTGAAACAATGGATAATTAAGCTGACGTATCGCGTAGTAAGTAATATAGAAATACAGTTCAATGATACAGCAGACTCGGACAACTCGAAGCTCAACCCAAAGGCTATGAACAACTTTATCACCGCAAGTACACGCAAAGCTAATGAGAGGCCTGCGCGATTCTGATTAGCTTTAAGAACATCTCCGGGCGTGTGCTCTTTTCGCCAGCGGTCGGGTATAGCACAGCCGACGCCGATTTCCATATAATCGGTCTCTCGGAGGTCGTTTCGAATTTGAAGGTGGAGAGGAGAACGGCGAGGACGACCTCTGCGCGGCACACCCATCAATAAGGCAGATCATGCAAAATTACGTCGGCGGACTCACTGATCTCAAGGAGCGCAAACTTGAAACCTCTGCAATTGAAGTCAGCGTCGAGGCCTCATTGCGGGTTATAAAGGCAAAATACTCACATGCAAGATCTTGGTCCACCCGAAAAAGTCATTCTTATGGGCGAAGAAAATGTTAGCTCAGTAGCTCCCGGAGTATGGGTGAGACGTACATGTTGGAGTACACGCCCGGGATGCGAGCGCCGTCAAGCGCAGAAGGCAATTTTTCCAACCAACGTTCGGGCTTCCACTCGTACACGTCGTCGCCCCAGAGATCCCGGTTGGTGTTGCAGCCCGTCAAGTGCAACAGCAGCATGGTCCCCTTTGGCACCGGCACCTCGGTCACCACAGAGCCGTCGCGTGTGCGCATCGGGTTAAGGAGAGGAAGTGTCGTGTCTTTGGCGGCCCTGCCAAATACAAGATGGTTAGCTTCGATCGCGGACGGGGATCGGACGGTGGCTTACTCTCGGGGTATGAACTGGCCTGGAGCATAGAGGCGCATCGTTTCGCGGCATATGGCTTCCAGGTACGGGAGCTTCACGAGGTCGTCGTACGGGAGGTCCTCTCCGCCGCTTGCCTCCGCGATCTCAGCGCGCAGCCGTTCCTGCACATCGGGGTTTTCGGCTAGGAGATGGATAATGCGGCAAAGTGCGTTCGACGTCGTTTCCATGCCGCCGAGGATGATAGTGCTGTGGACCGATATATGTGAGCACTGCATACTTCGCGGGTAAGTGTGAAGACCATACGTCATTTGTGCGACCAGTTCTTCATCAGTGTGCTTCTCGACATCGGACGCTGCCGTGTTCGCTTTCACTGCGGGTGGTGGTGCTTGTCAGTGGCTGGGGGCGCGGAGTGTTCCAGCGTAGGATACCCACACAGGAGACTCATGATGTCCTTCCCCTCGCCCACTTGGTGCGCCAGCGCCTCGTCGCCCTTGAGCAGTGCGCTCTTTTTCTCGTTGATGATCTCGAGCGACCGCTGCGCCATTGTGTCCGAGATCTGCATCATGTGTCTGACATCTGCATGGGGCACCGCACGCAGCGCCTTCTCCAGCAGCCATTTGGGAAGGACGTAAGACAGCTTCGGGATGAGGAAGACCACCGGGATGATCCGGCTCAATACAGGGCTGGTTAAACGGAGTCAGCGCCAGTACGCGCGTGCGCTATGCGGATAAATAATCTTACAAGAACATCTTCAGCGAGCGGCCATACGCGTCCGTCGAGTCGTCGATGAAGTTGTCGAAGGAGTAGCCGAGGCCGGCTTGTCCGAGCATCTCCAACGTGACGCGTGCCATCCACCCGTGGACGTCGACCACGCCTCCGACTTCAACTTCGACGCGGGCTTCGACAGCCTTGTGTAGCTTCGGCAACGTGTTAGCGGCCACGAGGCAAACTCCTGGAATACATGCTGCACCCACCCTATGCGCGACCCCATAGAAAATGTCTGTCATGTTGCGCAGGTTTGCGACGGAAAACACGGGGGTTAGCAGTTTGCGCTGCTTCCTGTTCTGGGCGCCCTCGGTGGTGACCAAGCCAGGCCCGAGAAGCAGGTGCAAATCTCTGTTGCGTAACGTGAGAACGTTGTCAGAATCCCCATCGGCCTCGCAGGCGTTGCGGAGCGACTCGGACGCACGATACGGGAGCATTGGACTTCGGATATGAATCCATGTCCTTGATCAGGATACTGTGCAATGCCCTGGGGTCGGCGATGTGTAGCATACGGGCCTGAAAGGGGCAGGGATGTCAGATGAGGCCCCTGCAGTGTGAAGGGAACCCACGGCAACTCACCCCGAGCATGCCTGGAATCGTCGAGACTGGTCCATATTTATCGACGAGCTGCTTCCATCGTTGCGAGCTATGATGGTCGGTGATTTCCAAAACGTTGCCTATCGGGGGCATCTGAGTCGGCTGGTCGTTCTGAAGACACCATGGAGAGACCGAGAACAACTCACCCAAGAAGAACGACGCGGACGGCGGCCCAGGCAGATTGTCCAACGGAGACCTGGCCAGGTACTGTCGGAGGATGTACCAAGAGGCAAAGAGAAAGGCAGCGGCGATGGGGGCCAAAAAGACAAAGTCTGACATGTCTTATCGATCGGTAGACGGAGAGGTGGAAGCGTGGAGTTAGAAAGGAGCAGATATTCATATCCGAGCTTTTATACAAGCGAGCGTGAGGAGGGATGAGCTGATATGTTTCCGAATATGCCTTGGTGTGCGGGCGCAGCTAACGTGACGTGCAAGGGCGTCGACATCGCACCGACATGAAGCTATGTGCGCCACTAGGTGCATCTGGTGGTCAGCGATGAATAAATGCCGGTCCCGAAACGACCGCACTTGTCCGATACGCACGCCACGCAAGCTATGTCGGAAACACTTGGGCCCTCGGGACTGAACTCTCCATACGTTGCTAGGCCTGCCAGATAGGGACCCTGGTCTATCCGCATGCGTCAGAATGCGACACCGCAACATGTTCGCACGGCCCTGCGACATTGGCCGGTTGTGCCAACTCCGCAGATGACTCACTATGTTGTGTTTCTCCCGCGAGTGACTCCGCTAACAGCGCGGCGGGGGCAGGGAGACGGGGACCAAAAGGTCAAGCCACCCAGGAAACTCCGCGTGTGGACGGGCGATGCGTGGCGCACCATGGGCGCGGTATACAGTAATGATCTGACGACACCGATGATATCAGACAATTGAATGCTCGTGCACATGGGTTGTAACTTACGATGGTGTGTTCATAGAGTTTGGCCCTGCAGCACTATTCGCTTGCTGCCGCAGTCTAGCTTTGAAAGTCTCCTGAACAGATGTCGTTAGACCCGCTCATTGAACATTAGTATACTATCCGCGATTCTTACCGATCCGCAGCCCTCCGTCCATGGAACCGCGCGGTCGGAATCCTGCGTGCCCTTGTCTCCTTTGGGCTCGACAGGTTGCGCCCATGAGCATGAGTAAGCATGAAACGCCAACATGCTGTGGAGGGGCTCGGGGAATATGCCCATTCGTGTCAGCCTAAATCATGAGTTGAAGCAGATACGTTGAACGACATGGGAACCAACGCACCTCAAGGGCCCCGTTCCGCTGGTGTCAAGGACCGCCTGAGCGGTGTGGACCGGTGCACCATACTGTAACAAGATGTAACCCACGGCCGCCGGCGCGGAATGATGAGCGTTCAATCGCAGTGGCTGGCCTAAACTTTGAGGGAGCACATTGGCCCTCCGATATTTCCGGTGGCCGATCCGAAGAGAACACCGCCTCCTCTTACAAGGTGCAATAGCTGTGTCTGACTTTGCTTCCGCTACAACTGTGGTCCTCTCGCACTGGTCAGGCATTAGCTCACCGACACTCACTTTCGTACAAGTGTGAAGCAAGCGCCCAGAACGGACGGATCATGGCACAGACCTAAAGCTGTGTGTGATAGTTTTTCCTCGGCCGACTCCCTATCGGCATCCATAATGAGTAAGTACACACACCAGTCCCCTCTGTAGACAGTATTGTGATTTCGGCTCTTACTAGTCCGCCTTTGAATGCGCATATGTCGCCTCTAGCCTGGACTTGACATATTCTCCTGCCGTGACTACCTCGTACTTGGGAGGCGAATCCTCGGATACGCAGCTGGGAAGTGCCTTAAACAGACCAGTCAGCGCACACACAGGCTATATACAGAGGGAGGGGTGATTCGTGGCAGACTCACTTCGAGCTTGACGTCGTAGTCGGTGCCGAAGAACAGGGGGATCGAATAGCGCTCCGTGCCGGAGCGATTCACCGCTCTGTGGACCGTAGACTTGAACACGTCGTCTGAGTGCGGTTTTGGTTAGCCAGGAGAGTGTGGATAATTCGGGGAAGCGCTGACTTGTCCATCTGGCGAACTGATCTCCGAGACTGCTAGAGTTCAGAGGAATGATTCTACGGAGAAACTAGGGGCCGGCTTACTTCACGACCAGGGTCCCGGGAATAGGGACTGCGTCGATCCATTTTCCCGCTTTGTTCAGAACTTGGAGAGCGGGCACAGTATCTTGCCACAGGATGGTGAAGCACTATACCAACAGATGTCAGCTTCATTACCGCACCTTGCGTACATTTTCGACGCCGTATACCTCGTAACTGCAAATTCTTATCAAATGGTGATACGAGTGAGAAATAGGAGATGACCAACTCGGTATGCGCACCGATGCCTTCAATGCGATCGTCTACTTCACCTGTTTGCGGAGGGTAGTACAGTAGCCGCATGATGGCGGCGGGTTTGGTAGTCTTCGTATCAACATAAGCGATGCTATCCCAAGATCTGGGATCCTGAGCGTCACCTTGTCATCGAAGTAGTTCTCGGGTAAGTCTAGTGCAAGCGCGAATAACGGGAAGAGGGATGCTCCCAGCCTCAAAGCAGCGTAACTGGGGGCACGTCAGCATGCACCACTAACCCCCATATTGGTGGACTCACAAGTACTCCAGGACATCCTCCTTGAACCCCGGAAGGCCGTCCGGCCACACGTTTCCGCCGGTCATGGCGCCGTCATCCGCCCGACTCGCTCCCGCAGGGTCCTCCCACCCAAGGTCGAACCCCTCGTGCAGGTCTCCTCTGTTCTCAGGATTGGTATTCTCCCCAAGGAGGCCGGTATAGCCTTTGAAGTTCGCGCTCTTGTGTATATCCAGCGCCACCTTCTGTTCCTTCGGCAGCGCGAAGAACCGCTTCGCAGCGCCTACTGTGGTCGAGACGGTTTTCTCGGGAATACCGTGATTCTTCACTATGGATACGCATGGTGAGTACCGCTCGGATCGTCATGACTCATATGACACACGATTTACCATAGAAGAAGCCGACGTTGATGCATGCATCCCGAATCTCGTCTGCGAGCGCTCTCCGAACAGCCGGATCCGGGTTCCGTGCGTGTTCTAGGTTTCTGTGACAAACAAAGGCAAGCGTTCGTTCAGTATATGGGTACCGTGGAAACATTGTCGCATGGTGTTGGAGTTCACATGATCGGTATCTCCTCGAACGCGCTCTCCGTACGTTGGGACGCGAACACAAGCGGCCGTTGGGACGCGTTGGAAGCCATTATTACCGTTCGACCTGTCCGAAGGGGGTAAAAGGATCTTCGCAGCCTTGAAATGAGATGGTAGCGGAGGAAGATGATGATAAGAATTCAAGAGTGGTATCGCGTTGCGCGGAAGACTCCGAAGAGTGACGATTATGCGGTGGCCGCTGCCTGATAGCGGGAGGTGGCGGTGCAAAACCTGTTCCCACGAATAGAAGAGGCTTCGACTACAACCTAAACATGCAGTTACAAGTTTTGCTGATATTGTAGTCGAACAACTCACAGGATTAGAGAAAGGGAACATCTTCGTGTTATACAATTCTTCTACGAACGTGATAGGTACAGCTGCTTTGGTACAAACGACACAAGTCTCCGCGCGATATTAGTTGGTGTACGATGCGAGTCCATTTCCGATACCCATATCCAGAGCGACGACGAATGCGACTTTGCGACAAGTGAGCTTGGAACGAGGCCGTCTAGATTTACCCTTGATATTCTTTTCCTATGCCGCGAGGTCACGCGCGAAGTGGAAGAAGTCCACAGACGACGCGTTCACGCCGTACTTGTAGATCTGCGGAACATCCGTCAGTAACGCGTCCCCCGTGAACATAATAACGCATCAAAACTCACGAAGTGCGACGCGACCCAGCTCGAGAACAGCGCGCGCTGGTACGTGACAGGAAGGCGGCCCAGCAGGGCATCGAGCCCGACCTGGTCCACCAGCGTCTTCGGAATCGCACGGCGCATGACGCCGCGCTTGCTGGGCTCGTCGTTGAACAAGTCCGAGTCCTCGAGCTCCTCCTGGAGGTCGTTGAGCTTGCTGGACAGCTCGTCCGAGATGATCGTGCGCGGCTTCGCGCCCTGCAGGCGCGCGTGCTCGCGCCAGATGCACGCGAACTCCGCCGCCGCGTTCTCCGTGATCTTCTGCTGGATGTCGCGCACGTAGCTCTGGTAGAATGGAGACGGCTTGCCGTCCTTGAAGATCATGTGCTCCAGGTACTCCTCGGACGATAGACTGAGGCCGGCGAGCACCTCGAGCGAGGAGCTCGTCACGCCGCCCTTGTTCGCGCTGGAGTCCTTGAAGAGGACGACTTTGCGCTTCTCTAGGAACAGGCGAGCCTGCTGTGTGAGGAAGAGGTTGGCGCCTTCCACAATGTACTTGAAGTGAGGTTTGCCCTCAGAGTCGACGAGCGCAGCCACGTTAGAGATGTTGACAGCCTCAGGCCTGGAAGGGAAGTTGATCATCAGCAACCTTGTCAGAGCAAAACGCAATGACTCGTACCGTCCGCCGCAGGGCACAAACAGGTCACCCTTGAACCGCAGGTGTGCGCCGTTGCGGAAGTCGGTGCCGTCAAGCACAACTTCTCCAGCTGTCAAAGACTAGTTAGCACGATATCGCACCGCAAGGGGAATACCACTTACATGGCAATTTGACATCCTGGTCCTCCACCTTGACGAGGTATCCGTCCTTGCTGAGCTTTGACTTGTCGAAGAAGCCCACAGGCTTGCGTGCCTTTGCAAGGCGCACGAGCTCTTCCCTGTTCAGCCCAGCAGGGTCGTGCAGCACACCACTGCCGTCGATGATCGCGACAGTCTTGTCTGAACTGAGCAAAATCTCATCTGTAATCTGCGTAAGAAATTGGGATGTAGCATCTGGTTATAAGCAAACGTACTCGATCCGAGATCACCGTCTAGATGAAGAATTAACATCAGCATGTTTCTTACGTGCTCAAGTGTTAGATGACCTACCAGGACCACCAGTCTGCACCTTCGTGATGTCTTTCTCCCGCAGACCGAGCTGCTTGTAGATCCCGAGGACGTACTGGCGCACTGACAGTGACGTCATGCCGTATACGTCGTGGGGGACACCACCGAGCGTCTCAGCGCTCTTTCCGGTCGTGAACGACTTCCACCATGCGTCGGCCCCACGAGCGCGCGCATGCACTGCAGCCTTGTCAGTTTGACGACGACAGAAGTATATGAATATTACTAACACGCAGCCCAGTCCATGAGGTCTGCTGTACCCTCTGTGTGCGGTCATGACAGGTCAACAACTTCGTTATTCGATGCAAGACGGCTATGAGCGCACCATCGGGGCCGAAGAACAGGAGCTCCGGCTTGCCGTACAAGTCGACCAAACGCTCCTTGATTCCAGGGGTCTGTCCCGGAATCAAGAGGTCGATCATAGCCTATAGCCACTGGTTAGCACGGTGTTGTTGTCAATAATACCGAGACGAAAGTGTAAACGTACATCGACATACTTCTCGAAGCACAGTTTCGGGTTTTCCCCCAACCTGATCGTAATGCGATGAGCTAAGTTCCAATGTAGCGAGGGAAGCAACATACGAGGGAAGAATGGTACCCTTAGCACCTCCTTCGGGGATGTCTTTGTTCTTGAGGGTCTGTGTCGAGGCCAAGCCGTAGTTTTCGTCGAACCTGAACATGAGCATGAGTGAGCGTCGAATATATCGAAGAAAGTGTTTCTACATACAGCATACGCTGATTGATCGAGTAGTTCCTATGATCGCATTGGGTCAGCGACACGCAAGAACTCAGCATATGCCAAGACGTACTCCCGGTTCCTGGACATGACGATACGAATGCCACCACGAGCAACGTCCTTGAAGCGGAGGTGGAAGCCACGGAACTCCCCGCCTATATACGCGCGCATGAATCAACTTGCCAATCCCCGCGCTTCATGGGCATAACCTCCCACTCACCAATCACGAAGAACATGCCAAACGGCTTCCTCGGGTACTCGACCTCGGGCAGGAAGTCCGGTGCGAGTCGGAAGGAGAGCGCTACCTTCGTGGGCTGGTAGAAGTTTGTCTTCAATACATGCCTAGTTCCACATCAGTACCGCTGAAATCAAGCGTCCACTGGGGCATGCGTACTTGTTGAAGATGAGGAAGCTCTCGAGGACCTGTAGCTCGTGCTTGTTGGGCACAGTCCGGCGGATGCGGTCGTAGAGCTCGGTATCAGTGAGCGGCATCTGTGTGCGGAGACGCTGGTAGGAGAGAGTCGGCCTTCGAGTGATTACAAGTTAGCTTGGTGTTTCTCGGGAGGTCACAGGGGGTGCATACATGAGTTGTGCGGCCTCGTCGGTCTCGGGATAGTGAGTCATCGCAAAGTTGACATAGAGCAGGTTGATCTGCAATATCGTCAGAAACCTAGTTTCGTACGTGCTAGGAATATTGCTCACCAAGTCCGCGTGTGCATGGATCACCTCGGCGATACTCTCGCGGGTGAAAGTCTCTTCCCTGAAGCGACGCTTGATGTCGTTGAGCACGCTCGCGTGGGTCGGGTTAGTCTCATCAAGGACGCCCTTCAGTGCGAGGTACGCCTGACCGAGCCTGTTACAGAAGTGCTGTGCAAAGACCCATCCACAGTCTACGAGTGTACGGCATGATCGTTAGCCTGGGGAAACCCCGATCGCCAGCGAAGACACGCACAAGCATATGTCGCTTCCTGTACAGCGTGGTCCCCGCTTGGGCCCTTGCCCGCGTAGAAGAAAGGGTTGTCCGGCAAGCAGTAGAGCAGCGAAGCCTCCTTCATTACTTGGAAGATCGAGTGCTCGATAGGGGGTGCATTCGCGCCCGGCAGCGGGTTCAGGTACAATGAGATGATCGTGATACCGTTCGAGAATTGCTCTGTGGTCCAATGTCAGCCTACATTCCCTAGTCGATCAGGGTAACGCTACTCACCAACATACTTCCTTGCGGAGTAGAGCGAGTAGAAATGGTAGAGGTTAGAGAGCGCGCTGAAGAACTTCTTCGTGCCGTTCATCTTGTAACCGATGACCATCCGGCGCTCGCGAGAGCCCTCGACTTCGAAGACCTCGATGACAGGCCCGAAGCGCTGCTCGACATTCCACATAACGCGCTGGTAGATCTCGAGCGTGTTCTCACTCGCTTTCTCCAGGAAGATGGGGTCGGAAACGGTGCGGATGTCTGTCTTCCTGTTAGCGGTATATTGTCAGCATGTAGCTTAACAACGATGAGAAAGGAGGCTCACTCATCGGTCCGGCTGGACTTCGGTGGCTCCGCTGGGAAGTTGCACTTGTTGACGAAGTAGCAACGCAGCTGCTGTGACGCGGTTGCCGAAATGCTACCCTGCGAGCGGTATGTCTCGAGACGGAAAGCCTGCTCAGGCGTCGAATTATCGAGGAAGAGCTCGTCGATGCGTGTTTCGCAGGTTGCGCCAGGACCCTCGGTGGAGGTCTTTCCTGGTGAACTGCTGTGAATGAAAGTCGCGCCATTCTCGTCGATCTTCTCGAGATCGATCACGAGTTTGCTGGGGTCGTGCTTGGTGTATGCGAGGACTTTCGCACCAAAAAGCGCGATGATGTGATCGGAGATGACCTCCACGGACTCGGACTGGAAGTAGGTGTCGTCGATGCCGAGATGGGTGTAGAACCAGTTCACCTCGTTCACCACGAGTTCGCGCGGAATGAAACCCTAGTAAAATGCATCCGGTTAGTCTGACCGTTATCGCGCTTTACGGCAGAAATTCGCGCGCGATCGCACCGGCCGCGTTTCTGCAGCCTGGACGATCGCGCTCTTGCAGAGTTCATCAAGGATCACTTCAAAACGCGCGCGCAGCATCGCGCCCCTCTTGATATCAACCGCTATTGACTACGCGGCGAGAACACGGCGCATACAAGCAGCGGAATGCGGTCCCTGGGTGGGCGCGCACGTCCAACGCGTCCAACGCGGCCATTGTATGCCCGTTCAGAGCAGACGCACTCGACTGCGACACGACTGGCCTTGGGAGGAGCGCAATCCACGACGCGTACGCGTCCACAAGTGACGCGATCCGGGACATCCAACTCACCTTGGCAGCCACATTGGCCTGGACCTTAGCACGCTGCTCCTCCTTGCCGGCGAAGACAGGCGTGGTGTATCCAGGAACGTTCTTGAGGCGATGAGAGACCTCCGCATGTTGTCCGGGCACCTGAAGGTGGGCAGCGGGGTTGCCGGAGGGCGTTGTGCTTGTCGGGGTCGACATGGTCGCGTCGGCGATGGGATCCGCGCTCGTCGTTGGCTATGTATTCAAGAGAGAAATAGGCCTTGGGCAGAGACGATGTAGAGGAGATGGAGGTCGGAGAAGACGATGGAACTGAGACGGCATTTTATATACGTCAATCCAAGCGCAGAGCTCCGAGACGTTTGGGTTATGGTCCACAGTCCAGACATCACATAGGCGCCCGATGTTCCTCTCCCTTTCCCCACACTGCCGCCCATCGGCCGAGGGGCGTCGCTCGCCGCACAGCACGACGCTCACGACTCACGGGTCTGTTCTCATCGCCTTCCGCATCACCAGCAGCTAGCAGCACACCCTTGGTCATCTCTGCCACTGTCCAACGGCCTCAGACATTCGCCGCTTGCTATGGATTGGTCCGCCCAAGAATACCCTGCAGGTCAGAAGAGGTCAGAAGATCCGACATGCTTTCCCCAACATACGTGGACCTCGCATCGGCCGGTCCATGACCGCCGCGCGCCCACCTGTCCATCATGCGTACCTCTTGTGACCGTGCGCGACTCATGGCGACCGGGCGGACCCACCCATCCAGGGCCAATGCGCGCGCGCCCCTGCGCAGCGAGCCGCGCAACATCCCGTGCCACCGCCTCCGAGCCCCCCGTCGCAGGCGGATGTGTCCGCCCGGACCAAGACCGCGACACCCGGCTCTCAGCAATTCAGGTGCGTGTCGTTCAAACACTCAAAAGTCTCTTTGCCCCAGTCACCTGTCTTTCATCGGCTTTCGTACCGGCCCTACCGAGGGTTTTGTGTACGGTCACCTGTGGTTCGCAAGTCCGACGTGAACGTTTGATCGAGCCTCGAACGTGGCCTTTGGGTGGTTGCCGTACTCAGCAGGGCGGCCAATGTATACGATCAAGTGCGTCCGACGGAAGCACGGGTCGTCATTGCTCATCTCCGTGGGGTGCTCACCCAATGGCGTGCGACCTGCGCTCGTAAACTTGGACGTGTTCTTTGGGTGTCCAACCTCCTCCCAAGTTCGTTAAATCCACAAATACGTTCTGGTTATGTAAACCTCACCCCCGTGCCAGTCTTCACCACATGTCCTGAACAAACGCGAGCATCGCGTGTACTGGCGAATACAAACGTGTCGTGTCGAAGTCTTGCGCGTGCGCCCACAACGCATATGCGAGCCCACGATGCACGGTGGAAGATCACGAGCATGTTCGGCTACTGCGGTCTCTGTCGCAGATCGCGCCACCGTGGATGCCATAGACGTCTTATGAGCCGCGGATGCAACTTGTACCAGCAAATGTGTGCTTTGCCAAGAAGCTCGAATTTGACCTCATGTACATCATGGGCTTGCGGGACGATACCCCAAAAATATGACACGAGAGATTTGGGAAGCTTCCCCGTAGTGGTCCAGGTCCCAGGAGGACCGACCTCGCTACGGACGTGCCTAGCTATGTCCCACCCTCTTTACCGCGTAGGTTTTGCTGCGAGGGAGCTACAAGCGAGAAAAACACGAGTTATCCCTAAATTTTCAACTCAGGAAGGTAGTATCCTTCCGCTCGCCCAGCTCGCTTCATCGAAGGATACAGCACAATGCAGAGCGTATATTCAAAGCACTGGGTGAATACAGGGCACAATCCGCCCATCCGAAAGCACTGACAAATGTCATAGCTAGTCTACAATTCCGTTTTTGTCTTCTTCATGAAATACCAGACAGTCCGTCGCCCCTCTCATACAAACACGCTGCTCCGACGACTGTCGTCGAGCAGCACTCGGGCATGCCTAGTCGAGCTGCTCGAGACCGTCCCGGATGTACTCCTCGAAGAGCGCCTTGTAGTCCTTGTGCCAGCGCGAAAGAGCAGGACGGCCCTCTGCAATGTCGCCCGCACCCCACATGATCCGGAGCTGATCGACCTCGCGCCTGGTCTCGTTGTCCGGGCAGATGATGTAAAACTGTCCTTGACGGACCTTGTCGAGCTATGGGCGGGGCATGTCAGAAACTCGCATCGTGGACAACTAAAGGCCGATCGGAATACGCACCATGTAGAGGACGGTCTCCTGCGCCGACCACGCACCCGCGGGCTTTTCCTTGCCCACATTCGCACCCGTCATACCGGTGAACGTCCAGCCCGGGCTGCGCGCGAAATATCAGCGTTCAAGCTCACGCATACGCGTCCCTGGCAGAAGCTCAGAACTTACACAAGCAGATGCGCGGTAAGGTTGACAGAAGGCGTCTCCCGAAGCTCATGGGCGAGACTTTCCGTGAGCGACTTGACTGCGGCCTTGGTGGCGTTGTACGCGGGGTTTCCGCTATCGGCCACGAGGTAAGGTTAGCCAAGGCACGGCATCGTGGACGCGGGGAGGAACGCACGGGGGGTTCGTAATGCCCTGCTTCGAGCCCGTGTTGATGATAACGGCCGGGTTTTCCTGGTGCAGCATCATGGGCACAAACGTGTGCTGGACGTTCAGAACGCTGCCATGCGCCGGAATATACGCACGCGGATAAGCTGCAGCCCGCGCGGCGAGACGCATACAAGGGGACGCACCCGAACAGGTTCACATCAAACATCTTGTGCCAGTTATCGATGCCGCTCCAGGACGTGCCCTTGGGCTCGCCGACCGCGGCGTTGTTCATGAGCACGCCGACCTGGCAGAGCAGTCGTGTGAGGTCATCACTGTCGGTGCGCGGCGCACCCAGGCGCGCGGTCGCGCCGACCGACGGCTTGTGCGCGAGGCGGCGCGAGAAGCACTCGAGCTCACCTCGCCCCATGCCTCGTACACCTTATCGCGCAGACGCTCGACCTGCTCGAGCTTGCTCACGTCCGTGGGGACGGAGAGCACGTTGACCTCGCCGACGATCTTCTCGACCTCGGCGGCTGTCGCGCGCAAGCCCGCTTCGTCTACGTCTGCGATCGCGAGCTTGAGCCCGATCCTGCGCGGTGTGAGCCGATCGGCAAAGATGGGAGGGTGAGTGTACTCACTTGGCGAGCTCGATCGCGGCTGCGCGTCCGATTCCGCTGCCTGCGCCGGTGATGACTGCGACGCGGCCGGAGTGGATGACGGGATGCACTTCATCGTCCATGGGCGCGACGGGGTTCTCGCGTGCGAATGAGGCTCCTGGGCGCAGCGGAGAGGGACGCCGGCTGCTTTGCGCGGAGGAGAGACCGAGAGCCATGGTATAAATATGGCGAAGCCGCAGGAATTTGAGAGTAAAGGTCGAGAAGGAGAGGAAGGAAGAGAGTCTATATGTCGCGGACTCTTCTGGCCCGCCCAACTTATATACGCCCTCCGACTCGTGATGACGTCGGGGGCCGCCTTCCCTTTCCGAATAGCCATCCGCAGTGTCCGGGGTACGCACCCAGAGCACCCTGCCCTGCTGCCTCGACCTCGCAACTTGCTCCGACGTTCGTCTCGAGGTGTCTATCACGCAGATTCTCGCTATATGCTGCCTCAGACCCTGGTGGTCAGTCGACATCGCCGTGTGCTCGACCCTGACAACTCCCCGACGGCACTCGTCCCAAACCAGGGTGCGAATCCGGTCTTGTGAACGGAAGGAACCCCACAATGTTCCTTGTGCCCACACGCGGTCTCAATCCACTCGAACGTGTCGTTAGAGAGCAGGTTCCTGGGCGAACGCGCTCCTAATATCGCCCCCGGCATGCATGCGGTAAGCCACGCACGAGCCACCTGATTATTCTATGCCACTTTTGCTGAACACGCCTCGGTCTGATGATACCAGCATGCGGCAGCGGGAGTGAGCGACGGTTCGCATTCGCCAGTTCCCAAGTCCTTTGTGGCGTCGGCCGCTCTTGGCATTGCATGCAGGCGCCCTCAGAAGACACCACGAAGCTCAAGCTTCACGCCGGTGTTCCTGAAACCACTGGTTCACGTTGCCCGCATTCCGTTTACAGTCCAATGCGAGAGTGGGTACATCGCAAGCTGAAGTGTCGCTGAGTCGTTCATACGCCAAAGGACGTGCTACACCGATTTAGCTCCGTTGTCTGTCTCTGCAAAGGTCCGATCGTGGACAATGGCCGCTCGTAGTGATCAGGTGTGGTGCAATTGGATGGGCGTACCGCAGCTGCGTCAATCGCGAGGTTTGGCTCGAGCGCCTTGCTGTCCATATGACTGAAGTGTATTATTGTAGAGACGGTGATAGCTACCGCATCCCACGACTCTGTCGGGATATGGTCAGCACGCGGGGTCCGTAAGGGTCCGTACAGCCATCGGTGTGAAAGGTAAGTACGCCAAACCACTAAGTCCATGTGGCTCTGATCACCCTCTGAAGAAGGCTGCTTAACGTCGGACGATATTCCCTCGTTATCGCGATACGAAATATGTGTGAGAAGACATACCGTAACTCCCCAAGTTCGCCAGTGACGGCCGTTAGCCGATGCAAGTTGACTTGCTTCGAACCCCCTGTGCTCCTCCTTCGCAGATGTCGTCTCGGTTCGATGAGAAAGCCAACGCCCAGACGAATGTCGTCGCCGCCAGCGACATTTCACTGACTCACGCCGATGTAGGTAAGAAAGGCAATGTATTTGTGGAGGTTCGGAGCGCCGACGACGCACGTCTGGCGGAACTCGGATACAAGGGAGAGTTCAGGAGGGAGTTCTCGGTACGTACATTCTCCTTGCTTCTCATGCAGTACGCTGACCGGTCAATACAGCTGATCGAAACCGTTGCATTCGCGTTCTCGATTATGGCCGTGATCGGAGGCGTCTCATCGACCCTATCTTTTGGGCTCGCATCGGGTACGTTAGTGGTTTTTTAAGCTTCTTAGGACCTCTGTGGCACAGTCCTCACTGTATGCAGGTGGTCACGTTGGAATGGTCTGGGGATGGGGCATCCCCTGTATTTTCGTGATGTGCATTGCGGCCTCCATGGCCGAGTTGACTTCGTCTATGCCGTGAGTAACACAGCTGTCATTCACGATCCTGCTGGGAGGCACTGACGAATGAGATACAACAGGACCAGCGCTGGGCTGTACTACTTCTCTGCGAAGCTCGCGCCCGAGCGATACTCTGCACTCGCTAGCTGGATCACCGGCTGGGCGAATGTCACCGGCCAAATTACCCTCGTATGCTCCATAGATTACACAGTGTAAGCATGGCTACTCTTTTTGTTTTCTGTTGAACATTCGCCGACCATGTAGATGCATACAGGGCTCAGATGATCACCACGGCCATCGCAGTCAACACCGACGGTGCTGTGATCCTCGGCGCAGGTCCGACATACGGAATCCTCCTCGCAATCCTGGTAATACACGGAATTATCTGCTCCGCGGCCACCAAGATCCTAGCAAGGCTAAACTTGTTCTACGGCTTCCTGACCGGTACGGCTCAAACACCCTTGAAATTCTCTCGCGCTTAATTCCTGGTCGCTTCGTCTGTAGCTGGTGCGACCGTTGCAGCCATCGTCGCGCTCCTAGTCTGCTCGGGGGACAGGAAGGTATCCACCAAGACCGCATTCACATCCTTCGAGAACAACACCGGGTGGAGAAACGGTAGGTGCACATAGCAACCCACAACGCTCCCCAGTAACTCTGCCCAGATGGCTGGGCGTTCCTCCTCGCGTTCGCCGCCCCGATGTGGTCCCTCACCGGATGTACGCCCCCGTTTCCCCCCCCCCCCCCCCCCCCCCCCCCCCCC